AGCTCGAGGTCAAGCGGAAGTTTCAAGACGAGGATGAGACTTGCGAGTTCAAGTTCTCGGTCACTGACTCTGGCATTGGCATGTCGGAGGATTACATCAACAACAGACTCTTTCACTCTTTTGCTCAGGAGAACCCTCTAAGTCAGGGTACCGGCTTGGGTCTTTCAATTGTCAAGCAAATAGTAGAATCTCTTGGAGGAGATGTCGAGGTGCGAAGTGAGAAGGATCGCGGTACAAAATTTACAGTCACGTGTCCTCTGAAAGAGTCACGCATGTCTCCAAGCTTTGGCGCCACTGCCCCAGAGTGTGAAAAGGACATGCACTTGCAGGAAGTTTCCAAGCGCACAAAGGGCTTGACAGTGCGCTTTGATGGTTTCAATGAAGCAGAGGAGTATTTTGTCAAGGACCTGAAGAACAAGAACGCTTCCAAGCTGTGTTTGAAGGCATTGGTTAGCCTCTGTGCCGACTGGTTTGGCATGGAACGCTTCGAACAAGGTGTCAGCACTGGGGAGCCGGATATGATCATTGCCACTGAAGGCTGTGCAAAGACTCTGCGCACCCAGTACAGCCAATATCCCAGCAAGACAACTGCAACGCCAGTCATTGTTGTGTGCCAAGGTGCTGCAGCTGCACAGTCAACCACAGCCATTACAGTCCCAGGCATGATTTTCGAATGCATCAGTCAGCCCGTAGGCCCGCACAAGATGGCAAAGGCTCTCTCGTCATGTCTTGGGCGTCACGCCAAGCAAATCAATGTACAAAAAACCAACAGTGATCCAGCCCTGCCTCAGGTCACTGATTTCCAGCTCAAAGAGGGCGCGCTCCCCAAACGCACTGATTTGTTGCACGTCATAGAGCCAACTCGACCACCGCTCACCAGCGCTAGCAGCGCTCCAGAGATACGGTCAGTTAACAACAGTCCTGTCAAGCCGTCAAAATACATGAAACCAACTCGGGCCCTGCGATGCCTTTGTGTCGACGACAATCCCATCAATCTTCGTCTCCTCCGTACCTTTGTCAACAAACTCGGTCACGAACACACTCTCGCCGTCGATGGTCTAGAAGCACTCGAAGCCTACATAGCTGCCAATAACGAAGAAGAGTCACGCATTGACGTTGTGCTCATGGATATCAATATGCCCGTCATGGACGGACTCGAAGCAACCCGTCAAATCCGCGCTCATGAGATTCGTCACAATCTTCCCAAGGTCACCATCATTGCCCTCACCGGCGTAGCAGACACCGACATACAGCAAGAAGCAAACTCCAGCGGCATCAACCTCTTCCTCATCAAGCCCGTCCGCCTAGCCGATCTCGAAGTCATTCTCAAGGGAGTGGTGACGGGACAAGACAAGGCGAATCTGGAACTAGAAGCCGAAAAAGAGAGACTGCGACTTGCCGAAGCGAATGCCATTCTCAACATGGATAGCACCAGCGAGAAGTCACGAGGCATCAATGTGGGAGTTGCAGTCGTTCAAGACCAAGACGAAGTGCAAAAGGCCGTCAAGATGCACGAGCATGCGAAGAGTGTGTCTATAGGTTGACGAGAAGGGGGGTTGAGACTTGAAGCAAGCAAACCTCATTATTACCTGCGGACTTTGGGACCCGGGGATTTTTATCCTTGTACACTGCATGGAAGCAGAGCAGTTCCCCCTATTCCAGGGCAAATTATACTCGTCCCCCAACGCATTTTGGCGTTGAACCATGAAAAAGCATCAATAAACGCGGAACCATGGATTTGGGAACTCAATCAATCCATACGACATTTCTTCCCCTTCAAAAGCCCAAAAGAGGTTTACCCTTTTTTTATCCTTTCTACCTCCGCTGAACCTCTTTTTTTTTTCGGTCCAGCATTTTGACGTAACACCTTTTTTCTTTTCACAAAAAAAGAGAAACGAAGAGATGTGAAACGTTCGAGCAGAGGTTTTTCATCTATTCGTTTTGAATGGAAAGGGTCAGAGAAGGAAGAAGAATAACGACACGAGTTTGAGGCACGCCGAGAGAGAGAGAGAGAGAGCAAAATTAACGAGAAAAGTTTGATGATGATGATGAAGGGGAAAATGCGCAAAAAAATGGGAGAAAATGGAATCCAAGAGCTTCATTACGTGTTTATGTTTCATCATAGGTTTTCCAACCCTCATTTTTTTTTTCTCATCTCATGTCATTCATCTTTTTCCATCCTTGTACTTTTCTTCCTGGAAAACCCGTCTCTTTTCTTTTTTTTTAACCCGCAACCGGAGGAGAGGCATAGCGTACGGCGTTTGCATAGAAACCCCCCCCCCTTTTTTTTCTCCTTTCTCTCAGTTTTACCAGGCTTGCCATTTTTCTCTCACGTGTGGCTGTTTTTTTTTAACTCGCTTCAATTCACACAGCAAAGCGTTGTTATCTCTTTAATTTTTTTTTTGTGGCTTTGGGATCGGGGTTTAGGGAGGAAAAGGGGGGGGGGGGGAGATTGTTGTAGATGGATGGATTGGCTAGGGGCGAAATGAAATAGATATTATTATGGCACAGAAACTACAAAAAAAAACAGAAATAAAAGAAGATGAAAAAAAGAAGAGAGAATAGGATTAGTACATGTGACAAGACTTGATGTGACTTGTATCTCATTCATCTGTATATTGGTATTTTCAACATCTATGTTTTCTGTGAAATGAGTGCTCCATAATCTCACAACCGTCTCAACCGAACACCACCGTCCCAAGCATATGCATTCTGATAACCCAAAAAAAACTACTCTCTTTCCCACACACACACACACACACACATCTCACTTCCCCTTTACGCACGTCCGTTGATACCATCATGCTTCATCTGAGCCAAAAGCTTTCCAACCGCAGGCCCCATGATAGCAAAAGTCTCAAAAGCCACAACGTGGATAATGACCAGCATCAAGGCGGCGAGGATGAAGAAGTTTTTCATGTAAAGCTTAATAAGACGACGACGAGCCTCCCAGTTAAAGGACCTCCAGGCATCCAAGAAGCCCACAACACCAGTTCCGCCCATCATCTTGCTGACGACCTTGCCGCCAAAAGAGCGGTCAAAGGGGACCATGGTGTCGTGGTCGTCGGGGAGGATGGAAGCCTCGATGCGAACGCGGGTGACGAGGGCAGGGAGGGAGAGGAAGAGGGTGCAGGTGATGGCGAAGATGGCGACGCCAAGGACACGCGCAATGACGCCCATCTTCTGGGCGCAGGTAGTTACGGGTTCCATGTTGTCGAAGCCGAGGAGCATGGCGAGGCCGACGGTCAGGTACATGCTGATGTAGGGCATAGCGGAGGCGATGGCAGCGGGGAGGGCCAGCGTCTTCCAGTGGCTCTTGTTGGGGATGCTCTGGTAGAATGACTGTTGGGTGGGCATGCCGACGACCCTGTGCGTCCATGCGGCGTGGATGCGAGCGAGCATGGCGCCAGAGAGGGCGGCGCTGATGATGGCTTGGCCGGGGAAGAAACCGAGGGCGCCGTTGAAGAAGGTGAAGATGAGGCTGTTGAGGAGCGAGTACACAATGTGGATTCTGTAGCCGCGGAAGCGTGCGAAACGGCCGGCGTTGGCGACCAGGTGGCGGATCGTGGCGCGGATCGAGGACGTGATGGGCTTCTGGTTGACGAGGGCGATCGTGGGGCCGGTTTCAAGGAGTGTCTCTTTCTCGTCTTCTTTGGCCGACGGCTCCTGGGTCGAGGGCGTCACGGTGATGGCGGCAGTGGGGGACTCGACCATGCTGAGAGACGCGATGACATGGTTCAGCATGTAGGATACCTAGGAGTGCAGTGTTAATCCATGGCCTCAAGCAGTACAAAGGCTGAATAGGGTAGGCTACTCACAAGGCTGAAGGCAACGCTACCGACCAAGACGGTCAGGTAGACGACTACGATGCCCCAGGTAGGAAGCTCGACTTCTTCTCCGTTGCCATGCTTGATAGCCACAGCGCGCTTGACAAACGTCGCCGTCTGCGGGTGCGAGACGGCGCGACGAGTGAGCTCAACGAGCATAGTCATGGTGGCCGCTCACTATGTCGAGATGCCAGTAACAAAAAAAAAACTTCTTGGTCCAGAAATAAACAGTCAGAGTAGGTGAAAGAAGACAAGGTACAAAAGAGAGAATAGGCCGACCAGGTTACAGGCGGGGGGATGTTGTTGGTCTTCAAGGTCAGCACGGAATAGGCGGCAGCGTAACAAGGAGGAGGCGAAGCGACCACAAGCCAAAGTGGCTGTGCTGAAACTGACGCAACAAATCGGTGGCCTTATGCACTGGCCAGGTTCCACTTAGCCGCCGATCTACCACTCTCCACCTACTAGATACACTACATGGTATGTACATACACCCAGGTCTATCTACTACTTGGCACAGGCTATGGATTGTGCTACATCAGCCTTGGTACGTTTCCCCTGATTAACGCTGCATGGGTGTTCTTGGAGAGAAATATTTAAAAGGACAGACAGACAGAACTGCTGCCCAGATACAGATTGCGCGTCTGCATCAAGGCCATGTTTGAGACAACGTCAGCACTACATGCGTTCCGATAACTTACATTCAGGCATTACGACTATTAAGCGGGGCCATCAGACACACCTTCACCACCAAAAGTCCGAATACCGTCACGCACAATTCACACCGCTTTGGTCACACGAAAATCACTAAAAGACAATTTTGATTAAAACTCCCATGTTGCCATGATTATCATGCCCAAACCCCACCCACAAGAAGCAAGGCCGTGAAAACAAAAGTTGGTGAATGCAGAGGGAATACTAGACACGCTAGACTAGAAACACGAAAAACAAACGTTCTTGAGAAAGGGCATGCACAGCGGCCAGCGTTGTTTCCAATTTCCGGGCTTCTCAAATGTCGAAACTGGCACCGTCCGTATTTCGTCCGCAGTCGTACAAACGACGAGTGCGTGCGAGAAAGGTGGCCGTAGCATGTTCAAAGGTTGGATGCGCAAACGGTTTCGAGGTAAATAGGCAGCGCACAAGGCACTCAGTGTAAGATGGTCGCAATCGAACAGCTTACTTGGCAGCCTGTGCAACTGGCTCATCCTCGTCTTCCTCCTCAGAAGATGACTCGGCAATGGGCTCGTGCTTGGGGACACTGGGTAGAGTCTGCTTCTTGACCTCTGGCGAAGTGGAACGTCCACGGTACTGGTTGACAGTCTCTTGAGCCTTGGCGGTAGCCTGCTGTGTGTAGCCCTGGACAGTCTTCATGGCGTTTCCAGCATGCTGGTTGGCGAGGCCCTTGACTTGCTGGGCCTGCTGGTTGGCAATGGTGTAGCCCTTCTCCAACTGAGCGTCGATGACGTCCTTGTTCTTGATGTAGATGAGGGGACCGAGGAAGGCAATGTGCGTCGCGATCAAACCCAAGCCCCAGAGAGGAACCCACTTGATCAGGAAGTATGAAATGAGGGACGCAAAAAAGGCCTAGTAAGAACAAGTCAGTCACATTGTCTTGCATGTGCAGCGGTAGCTCAAGAGCTCTCTACTTACAGCAACGGTGACGTAGACGTTCTCGGCGAAAACGATACGCTGGGACTCGATGACGAAGAAGTTGATGAGTTGCTCGAAATCATCCGTCAGGCGCTCGAGCGAGGCCTTTGGAATCGTGAAGTACTGTCGTGGCCTAAACTGAGAGGTGAGGCCACGTCCGATGGTCAGCTGCCCCGCGATCTCGGCAGTAGCAGTAGCACCAAGAACCAAGTATGAAGTCTTGAAGATGTAGCGGATCAGGTTCAGGTAGCGGGCGGCGAAGATGAAGGCAACGGTACTAGCAAAGGCGATGCCGGTAGCGCGGGGGTTCTTCCAGCTCAGGAGGCGGTAGAACATGCTGTGGTAGTCTGGCCGTGGTGAGCTGTGCGGTTACGCCGAGAGCTCGTCTTGGACTTACGCGTGAGGTTCTGACCAGTCGCCGTCTTTTGATCGGGAATGGTCTTTGAGTTTGCAAGATCGGCGAACTCATCGCGGGTCTTTGCGCCCTCTGCCTTGACGTTCTGTGCAACGGGTCCTGCGGAATTTAGCTACTGGTCGTGTGCGTGCGGGCACTTTCGGAAACTGCATGGGGTGTGAGCTGGTTGTGCAAAGCAAAAGTGCGGGGCAAGTGTACATACCCTACCGTTCATGACGGTGTTCTTGATGTTCTGCACGCTGGGGTGGTTGTTTGCGGCGTTGATGGCGTTTGAGGCAGCTGTGTGTGTGTCAGATTAGGAATTCGGGTGTGGTGCGGGCCGCAGATAAGACTGTGATGTATGGCGTTAGCTTGCGTCTCGGCAAATGGTCGAGGTCATTCTGTGCCACTCACCCTACAATCTAGGAGAGAGCCGTTTGTCTGGACCGCACCGTTGGGCAGGTGGTGGTCTGCGTTGCCGTTGGGCAGCGGGGCAGCGTCAGAGTTCATCTGGGACAGCTTCTGGTTGACGGGCGCGGTAAGGTCGAAATCGAGATCTGTGCTGTTGAGTTCCACACGTGGGGCTTCTCCGGACATTGCTTGGGGCGAGTATTTGCAGTTTCAGGCAGGTATGAATTGCAGAGGAGAGGAAAAGGGTCGGAAGGGGTCAGAGGAGAAGAGGAGAGCTTGCGGAGGAGCTGGGTTGGTTTTGTTGTGAGACTGTCGTGTGCACAGTTTGGTGGGCGTTCACTCCAACGTCATATGGCTCCACATGGAACTTGGTGGGCTTGCTGTGATTTGTTTCCGCGGGCCTGGACGACGTACCTCAAGCAGCTACAGGTCTGGTTCTGCAGGCCATTCGTCATTGCCATTGCACAGTGTGAGTGCCAGCCGCACGCGCTGTCTGCAGTCGCATTTGCAGTGCTTGCTGCTGTTTGCTTGTGGGCGAGTGACGGAAGGTGCTCACGTGCCAGCCCCAAGCCCAAGCATGGACGGTTTCACATGTGAAAGACGGGCCCAACGCTCTAGCAGTACGGCTAAGGAAGTATGTCTTCACATGACGCCATGGCATCTTTTGCACGCATGACGCCGTGCACATTGGTCTTGCTGCACGCCTGGTGGTGGAGCAGATAGGCTGGGTGTTTGCATGTGTACACTGCTATTTGTATCTGGGTTGCTTGTGTTGTTTGAGCGTGATTTGGCAGGTACGGGTGGATGGTGCCGCTCGTGGTTTCCTCCACCAGGTACGAGGTGCACGTCCCCCTGTGTAGATCACCATCTCGCCTGTCACCTGCTTTGCATGTCTGGTGCTTATGTACATAGTATGTATACATAGTACATGTACACATGTATGTACACATGCATGTATACGTGGGACGTGGGCACGCCTACTTACATAGTGCCAATACTGCCGGCCGAGGGATTTTGGACAAGATATCCCTCATCCGACCGCAAACCCCCGCCTTGCCACGACGGCTGCCGGTGTGGCCGCTGATACGTCGACGGCAGTCACAGCAACCGCAACCGTCTGTGAGAGGAAGGTGCGGATAGAGGCACAACAGCACTCGCCCTCAGGGGGAACTCGCTCGCCCGTCAGCAGTGCCCACGCGCGCGGGCTTCTCCAGGCACTCCAAGAGCTCAAGGGCAGACTGCGAGATTCGGCGCCCGGCGCTCCGATGGCGGTTTCTGTATCCCATCGTCGGTGGCATTCTCTTGCCTGGCCTCGGGCGGTTATTGCGGCCGACCCGACGACAGAAGGCCCGCGCCGGGGCAGCAGGACGAGGACGAGGACGAGGACGAGGACGAAGAGGACGAGGAGCAGTTCAGTGCAGCCAGGGTCTCAGTTTCGCATCAGGCAGGCGCACAGGGCAGCCCTTCCTCCCACGCGACGGCCCAGTCTGCAGTCATGGATGAAGGTGGGGGGCAACGAAACGAGGGGCCTCACGCACGCACACGCACACGCACACGCACACACGCCTTCGCCGCAGCCACCGCCGCCCTCTGCGCAGATGCGCCACGCGTGGAATGATAGCCAGCCCGCAAGCACAGCAGGACTCGCTGATGCGATGATGCGCACACTCCCCCTCAGCCATCCATCGTCCATCCAACTCCCCGGCAGGCCCCGATCCTGGCCCTCGGATCGTGTCCTGGTCCAGCTCTCGCCCAAGTCTCGATGCCGCCAATGTAGGTAGCTGCAAGTACCCCAACTGGCGCTGCGGCCGCGCCTGAGAGCCAATCCTCTCCATCGACACCCCCAATCCGTCGCCGCCCACGGCCTCCAGGTCGGAGGCGTGTTTGACACCCCCCGCCTCCACGTCAACCTGCCCCAGTCGCCCATCTGCATTGTCCGCACAGGGAGCCTGCAAGCGCCATGGGGGCCTCTTCGTACCCAGTAGCAGTAGCAGTAGCACCATGCACGTCGCCTCCGGGGTGATGTGATACAAACGACCGACACCATTGCCCAAGACTTCGGCGCGACTCGACCACACGATAAAACCCGGACACGACACGAGACAAGACGGCCGCTGACTGCACCAACACGTCCCAACCCGCTCCCAGCCTCTCTCGTCCCATGCCATCCCACTGATTCCCGACACGCCAAACCCATGCCTATCAGCATTCGCCGGGATCTGGATCCAAACTCGGTGGGGGAACATTGGCACCGCACGGCATCAGGCAGTCTGCGCACTTTCAACCACAGGCGCGGCCTATAGTGAGTTTGTGGCGTCCCTCCGAACCCTGGCCAAGTTCTGCCGTTGCGATAACGACCCACTCACTCGCACTGCGCCTGCTTGGGTTATCACGCACACCTCCGACCCTCAGCCCCGTCACCTGCCGCTCTTCTGCTGCTGCTGCTGCCTCTCCTTCCTCTTCATCCCCCGTCTTCCATTCTGCTGCCCGTGGCCGACGTCTTCAACATTGCCCAACCGCTGCCTTTGGCCTGGCACACAAATACACACACACACTCTCTCTCTCTCGCAACATACCCACTCCGCGCTCTCGGGACCTCGGTACTCCACCAACGTCACCCCAATACCGAAATGGTCAATGCGCTTTCAGCCCACACTCCCGCATCCGTCACCGCCATCGCTCTCGCCCACAATTGATACTGAGCACGCGACCTCCAAACAGCTCCCCCCTCTGCGGAGGCGAGAGTCTGTGAGGACTGCTCCACAGCATCATGGTAATACCGCGCAGTCTGTACAGCCCTTCTGCCCCAGAGCCCCGGACTCGCCTGACCAACAATCCCACCCTCTTGTACAGCTGGTGGTGCACCATTTTCTCCGCTGTCATCATAGGCGTCCGCCTGTCCGGCCGCTACATTCGCAATGAACGCCTATTCCGCGAAGACAAGGTCATGGCGCTCAGCATCTTTCCCCTCTTTGCACGCATGGGCTTTGTGCACGTTGTCTTGATCTACGGCACAAACAACGTCGATATTACCGGCTTGACAGACCCAGTTAGAATTCGCCATCGAGAAATCGGTTCGCGCATGGTCCTTGCCGCGAGGATCTTCTACGCGCTATTGTACGTGTAGCCACCTTTTCCATCCATAGCATAACTAATGCCTCTGTAGCATCTGGTTGGCCAAGTTCACCGTTTCAGAGTTCCTCAAGCGCCTGACAGAGCGCTTCTGGAAAAAAGGATACGAGTGGGGACTGCGCGGTATTCGCATATTCCTCGTTGTTACCTTTTTCATGGTTGTAATTGCTACCTTTGCTGAGTGTCGTCCTGTGAGTCACTACTGGCAAGTCGTTCCCGATCCGGGCCCGCAGTGTCGCCAGGGTTACGCTCAACTCCTCACCATGGGCATTGCTGATATCGTCACCGACATTCTCCTGATTGCCTTTCCGATTCCAATCATTGTTCGCTCAGGCATGCCCTTGAAGCGCAAGATATCCCTAGTCGCACTCTTCTCCCTATCACTTGGTCTCATCATTGTCACCGGGGCCCGCATGCCTCTAGTCATTGAAAAAAAGGGCCTCCAGCAATTTCGTACGGTTTTTGCCTCTTCCGAAATCCTGGCTGCCGCCATCGTGTCCAACGCAATCATCCTAGGCTCATTCCTTCGCGATCGAGGTGTCAAGAAACCAAAATTCAAGGCACCCTCGACTACTGACAGCACCGAGCGTAGGGGGTCATCGCGCCGCTTCACAGACCAGCCCCGCAGCAGCGATGAAGACCTTGCACGATCCTTGGGTTACAGGACCAAGCCCGAGCTCTTGGAAAAAACGCCAAGCGTACCCAGACCAGCTCCAGTGGCGAACCTCGATCTCTTGCAGCCTGCAAGGCAGTCTGGCCCTTTTGCAAACAACAACTGGAAATTTCCAGACGAAGAAGGAAGTGTATCACATGGCGAAGACCGCTCGCACTCGGGGGTTGACGACATCCCGGATCCAATGCCCAGTCCCCGCGGCGGCAGACGGGTCTCATGGTTTGATGTGGGCGGTCTACTGGAACAACCAGGAGCAACCCCTTCACCTACAGACTCTGTGGTTGCTCACGATTTCGCGACGCAACCCAGAAGAGGCTCCAGAGCTTCAAACTCAATCATGTCGGCCGGGCGCGCGTTTCTTCCACAAGGTCGACGAAACTCCCGCCTCTCTCAGCATTCTGAGGACTTCGAAATGTCATGCCGGCCGAACCAACAGCTGCAGGACCTGGGTGGCCTGCTGCCTCGACACCGTGAGCAAGAAGAATCGCCATCCACTCCAACTTCAAACCCCAGCCCTTCGGTCGCTCCTCGGTACGCGCCTATACAGCGCACATCAACACGCTCAACACGAACAAGCTATGATGTGCCTTCTCTACGAGACCCTGGAGGCTTGCTTTCATCCGCACCCTCTGCTACGTCCCTTCAGCGTACCCCCACAAATCAGAGCCGTGACGCGCCTGCGTTGCATGACGCTGGTGGGCTGCTAGGTTAATGACCTATATTTCTCTTATCCCTAATTTTCCTCTTGTGTGATACCCCGGCCTCAGCGGCCTTTTCATTTGCATAGCTTGAAGGTTTCTTTTTTTTTCTCTCCACATGTTCGATATCCCTCTTACTCGGACTGGTGTTTGTGGGTCTACGATTGATGGGTTATGACGGCTCCATAGGCGCTACCTTGTGTGTCAGGAATGGACTACAAGTGGGGTCTCGGTTTGGAGGGGAGTCACAAGGCTCGTGTACAATAATCGTATTACATAGTCACCGCTGCGAGTCGCATCGATCTGGCAGTCTACTGGCCTATAAACGGATTTAATATATATCTTCGGCACTTTGGTCTCCATACCTGCAGCATGCTATACTTAACGTGACACGACATGGGTCTGCGCTAAGGCGCAAAATCCACGACGATTACCGAAGCCAGGGTTCAACTCTAAACGCCGCTTAATGAACTTTAACGCCCGGGTAACGTTCGGGTACTCTGGCCATGTCTTGGCTCGTCAACGGCACGGAAAAAAGTAGTAAATGGCCTAAGCTCGTGCCGCTAGCAATAGTACTAGCTTTTCCGCAATCACTCACAGTACCATTGTCATCTGCAACTGTGCTGCGCTCCATCAGAAATGAACAATGATGCGCCTACGCTCCAAGAGATGATCCAACTAACCCGTCAGGAACTTGTTACCCCGCAAAAGAATGACCCCATCCGCGAATGTGGACGTGCTGCACTCGCGCTTCTTCCCAAGGATCCTGAGCTCGGCTTGAAGCTTGCGTATCAGAAACTGCACGATGTTCCTTACAAAGAAGTGAAGACTTGTTGGCGAAGACTTTATACAGATGCGACTCTATGGAAGGTGCTAAAGCGGGTAGATGGCGGAACAGAGAAACAGCAGCAAGACACGACAGAGAGGAATTGGACCGATGAGGTTGTGAAATCATTAGATATGGCACTCATACTTGCCGGTGCACCTGCTAGGGAAGAGCTGGTGGAACTATGGTTTGCGGCATTGAAGGCTGTTCTGGATCTAGAGCGACAAGCAGCAGACGGTGCAAACTCAGAACGCCCCTCAAAGCGACAGAAGCTATCATTGCCTTGTCAATCCTCGCCAATCCCAGAAAGGTTTCCTGTAGAGCTCCTCAATCCTGAACCAGTCCTTGCGTGTCCTTTGCCGAGAATGAAAGAAGTCAGTCTAGAAGCTTTTCAAAGAAAAGTTGGCTCAACGGAAACCCACACGCCGTGTATAATCGAGGATGCAATACAACATTGGCCTGCACTCAATGAGAGGCCATGGGCGAATCCACAGTACTTACTGAGACAAACCCTCGGTGGAAGAAGATTGGTACCAGTGGAGATAGGCAAAAGCTACACTGCCGAAGGCTGGGGCCAACGCATCATCACGTTCCGCGAATTCATGGAGACTTATATGCTCCATCATGCGATCCCAGCCAACCCAAACAACACTCCACAACCGCCACAAGACGAGACGGCAAAGTCCGCAGTAGGCTACCTCGCCCAGCACGATCTCTTCGCCCAAATCCCCTCTTTACGCCTCGATATCAGCATCCCCGACTACTGCTACGCCGACCCCGCCCCATCCCCTCACCTCACGCACATCAAGCCCGTCGCCAAACTAGAAGAACCGCTACTCAACGCTTGGTTCGGCCCTGCCGGTACCGTCTCCCCCCTCCACACAGACCCCTACCACAACATCCTCGCACAAGTAGTTGGATACAAGTACGTGCGCCTTTACGCACCAGCGGAAACGCAGCGTCTGTATCCAAGAAGCGTAGACGAATCCGGTATCGATATGAGCAATACCAGTCAAATCGACCTTGATGAAGCTATGGCCTTGTTTCCCACTTTATCTTGCTTTGCGACGAGCCCTGTGGCCCCGGATTCCGACGTCACGCTGCGTCAAGAGAGGAGGAGAGCGTTTCAAAACCTCTTCCCGCGCTTTGAAGATGCCGGCTATGTCGAGGCCGTTTTGGGGCCCGGCGAGTGCTTGTATCTTCCCGTCGGGTGGTGGCATTATGTGCGGAGTCTTACGCCGAGTTTTAGCGTGAGTTTTTGGTTTAATTGATGGCAAGGGGGTATGATATTTGACGGTTGTGTTTACATGTCTATTTTTTCTTTTCCGTACCTTGGCGTGATTTATACTTGTTCATTGATTTTTTTTATCTTGCGAAAATAATTGGTTGCACTGTAGGATAAATATGCTTTTCTACGTAACGTGTTTTAGCGCTGCGAGTGTTTAGTGGCTTGTTGAGTAATGTAGCGTATGGTTGGCGTACTCGGATATGAACATGGGGAACTTGGGATTGAGTATCTTGTGTGGCTGGGTTTGTTACATACCTCTGGCGGAACCGAAATGGCCGGACATCTCAGGCAAGCGAAAGGGCTAGTTTCTTAGCGTTTTACCACTTGATCAACTCAAACACGCAGCTGCACCTTTGCACATAAGGTCTAACTCTCTAAAATCTTAGACATCTATCAGACTCGTATAGCGCTTTATTTTGCATATTATATATATATATATATATATTTAATCGTTGTTGCTGTGCTGATATTTAGCGTTCAAAGCGGCTACTTTTTGTGGTGGTTTGGTGTTGTCCGGCTATTTTAGTTCCGCCAGAGGCTGAAAAACGGGTCGGCGGCCGCGCGTTATTGTAGGTGGATTACGGACTGTAGTAGTGGATATAGGGTGTTTCCGCAGACCTCTACAAAATTTTGTTGATCAGATTGATTTCAAGATGGATCATTGAATTTACCTCAGTCTAGATATGAAGATATACTTCGCACACGTGACTGTACCTTCCTCTAATCTAAGAGGCACCCGACAGGTCCCTAATGGTTGACCATCTTGGGATTCTGCCTAGAGTACTATCACAGTGTACTCGGTGATTTTCTAGATTAGTTTTTTTTTTTTAGCAGAAATCACGTTATGCACTGCAGGAGATGAAACCCAGTAGGCTAAGAAGCGGTAGTGAGACACTGGGCTATGTTAGATACTTTGTTTTCTTCACACTCTTCTTAGTTACTCTCGGCATGAAATGGGTTCTCGTTGTGTAGAGTAGGATTCGAGGATAGTAAGCTGGGTTTCTTCTTTGTTTAGAGCTACGTAAGCATCAAAGTTTAATGTGATTAGATGTTCAATTCAAGAGGTAAGCCGCTCTTACTTGCCATATATGTCACTTTTTAATCGGCACAAGTCACGGTAAGAGGAAGGCTCATGGTAAGTTATTGAAAGGGCTAGTAATAAAGTCAATATTTCTAGTAGTATTTTGGAAGCCAACACATGCCATGCCCATGTTCCAGAGATTGTTCTTAGACTAGACTGATTGATGAATGCTACCGACGTTTATTCCGAAAGCTTTTGCTAACCACAAAGATAAGAGTTCAGCCTCATATTCAGCAGCAGAACTCTGGGTCCGTGGCACCAGTATTGGGGCAAGCAGCACCTGGGCAGGCAGTAATGCAAGCCCCATACTATTGAAGACGAAAAGTTAGTCCAATTGCTGTCAACTAGCAACAATTTTCAACTTGCTTACCGCAGTGTAGCATTTCTGCCGCTTATCAAGACTCTCAGGCTGAGCTTCAGGAACTGCGAGAGCAGATGCTGTGGCAATAGCAGAAAGAAGAATGATGAAGTACTTCATTGTGGAGTTTGTCTGTGGTTGATTGGGTTTGATTGTAACAAGATATATGTCAGAGTGGATGATGTGGAATGAGCTTGGAGGAAGGCACCGGACCAGTTTATATAGCTTCGAGTCTTTGTTATATATTAGTAATTGCCAAATTGAAGGTTTGCGTCACATGGAGGTTACTGGATGATGAGAAAAGTGGCATGAGGATTATGTTCTGTTACCCTGGTATATCTTCAGCAGGATCATTGAGGCACTGGGATGAAAACGCGTTCGATATTGGATAAGTGGGGCGTAACAAGACTATCATAGGCTGATCCCCCTCATTCGTGGCAGTTCATGGGAGTGATACACTAAATCGGATCTGAAGCTTACTCCGATTGTGATACGAGGACTCATTGGTGAACAATCCGCGCTCCGAAGCTTATGCGAAACGGTAGCGTAGCGTGTATTTGTGATGCTTGTGGTTTGGAAGATCAAGTAAACATGATAGACTCGAGAAAAATGCAACACTACATAGTCTGAGTTTATTTTCTAAATCAACCCACTGCTAAATATGATAGAGATGAGATTGAGAACTTAATAACGACATAGCCACAATCACTGCAGTGGTATAAACCACAACTATCATGCATCTATTGTTTGTGTATCAAACCTTGGATGATCGGATGCATGAAAATCCGGGAAAGCGGGGAAATGTGCGAAACAGAACAGACAGAAGATTTAACGTTGCATTCGACAGTGAATACGATAGCCCCTGCCAGCAGTAATTATGTTGTCTACGTCATCTCGTGGTTAGAGCATCTCATAACTTTAGAGACCATAGTTTTGGACCATATAAGTACCCTACACGTAATCATACTTCCGTACTTATAATCCTTGCAAGGTTTTAGTGAGCATATCCTGGTTCGCAGAGAGCAATGTCAGCATTATAGACTTTGTGCACAGGGCACTTAGGTCACGTCTAGGAAGTGTGTTTTGCTACAATGCCACGACCGACAGAAAGACATGCTTACCATAGACCATCCCAAAGTGACCACAATAGTGAATAAAAATTTTGATAAGCAATTTGTCCGCAGTCTATCAATCCTACTTGCTAAACTACTTGGCAGCGCGGCAGCGTCCACAGAGCCGTTAGGAAGGTGCGCTCGTCTCGGCGCGTGCTTACTCTGCTTGTGATTACTTTGCTTACTTCTTCCAACCTAGACACATTGTCATATGACAAACAAAGTTTCCGGCTTACCTCTCTTCCGTTCCGTTGCGCCCATTGTATCAAGCAACGGGTACAATAGCCACGGAGGGAGACGCTGGCATTCCGCTACGGCTTACACGAACGGCTTTACCTAGAGAAGTTTCTCATGCGTGTGATCTGATGCCGCTTTTACTCTTAATTATGCGGAAACTTTGGTCCTTATCAATGCCATTGCATTGAGTTAAATCAAGGGGATAACCTAGAATGCTTGCGGTTGAACTGCTACCAACGATTTAGGATGCTGTAGAGCGGGGGAGTATGTCCAGAGTAACACTACAGGCAACGAGTATATGGATGTTTCCAAGAATGTGCTCATGTGTTAGTCGTGCAAGACTTTTAACAACCCTTCTTAGCCTTTGCTAGCTAATACCTGAATACTCGACAGACAGAAACGATAAGATCGGCTTTACCATTTTACATCTCACTAGAACTAGCTTTCCTTGTCCAAGTCAAGTGTCGGGAATCAAATTTGGAGGAATCTTAACATGTAAGCACGGGTGCGCGGCCAAGGATCGGTTCGCCTCCGTCTTCCCGTCCAATAAACCTAATATGGGCTCCATCTGGGAATCGGAGCGAGAAACAGCTACTAGCTCTTACCCATCGAAGCTCTAAACCCAAAACGGTCATAAAGAGGAGACACAAAACGACGAAGCGAACAGGACCTAATAAGCGTAAGAATTCTTAGAGCTGTCTAGATCGCATTTCTTCGTGCACGAAAATCCCTCTAGGGACCAATTGTAGTATGCAGTCAAAGCTGTGGTCAGTATTAGATATCTTGTAAACAGATTTGCTTATACGAACTTGTTAGCCACCTGCCTCGACAACAACGGTTGTTTTTACTAATTGCCACGACAAGAAAAAAGGAATCAGTTGCTAATATGGCTGCACGAAATGCTACACGTGTTGCCCTGAGCCATCTTTTAGTGAGTCATGCATGTGTTAAAAACATAATCAATCTGACTAATCCGTGCGTTGTCAATTGGTATATTATCTTGGTCTTTCATATTTAGTGAGAGCATGTCGGTTGTTCTATCGTGGCCCATAATTCCCGTCTGCGCGATGATTCCAAGAATCTCCTTCTCCCATTCACACGTTAAGATAATAGCTACACTTACAAGAGTAACTGCTCTGGATCATGTCACATATTGGCGTCCATCTTTGTAGATTGGATATCTTTGTGCATGTAAGTAATAATATGCAAACCAGATACGATTAAACCGTAGAGACTTTAAGACTTAAGTAGATCTTTGTACATTCTCTAGATCCACCTCTATCTATCGCAAACTCTTGAATGGTAAAACTTGTCGCCCAAGGTTAGACCTTACTGTTCTATCCTGTCATGCACTCAGGTAGGTGGATTTTATGCTGTGGAACTGCGAGGGTTTATATTGATGTTGTAGAGAAGAGTTATGGGGCTGTGCTCTTTCCATGCCTAAGGTCACATGGATAGGAGCTTAGCTCACGATTAGGTCTCACGAAAGTTTGCTTTACCTGAACTCCCCCTCTTTCAAAACTTCTGCGCAGCCTCTCTTTTGCTGGTACTAACACTGAAAGAAAAGGAAAATGTGTGTTCCATCTCTCCCGACTCACCGCTGTCACTTGAAAGACAGCATTGAGCTGCGTCATATTTTGGCCCCCAAAGATCGTTAGGCCTCCACTTCCGTGTGCTGGCGCCTTGTTCCCGCCTGAAGATGTCTGATTGGCTAGTCACTGATCTCAAACATGTAGCGTAACCGCTCAAGAAGAGCTAGTTTGGTGGCTTGTACCATCATCTATTTAAAATACACACAGCAGTACATAACGGCAGGGTGCCCTGGATGCTCACTTCGCACCTGCCCCTCACGCCTTCCATTGCCCGGTTCCGTGTGAAAGCCGACAATGGCCTCACATAACGCTACCTCGTACACTGCAGTTCCCAGAAGGAATTCCGACAGCCGTTTCTCTTTCGAAGACATCCCGTCCGAAACACCATCTGGAGGTCATCAAGGCTATGGACACCCATCTGCACGGAGAAGCATCAGCGAGGAAGATGATTTGCATCCTCACACAAATACATCGACTTCCACAGCACAGGCTATATCCTTCCCCAGCGACCACCAGAGCAACGAAGACACAATACAGTCTGCAGAATGGAAGATATCTCTGTACACGCCAATTTCGATGATTGCCCTCTTCATTTCCGGAGTAGCAGTGGCGATTGGTCACCACCTCTTCTACTTGCGCTTCGACAGTAGTCCTGTGCGAGGAGCAGATGAAGACTATACCTCTCAAGTTTGGATCATCCGATACGGAACGGCATTTGCGTTTGTCACAAAGACACTACTAGCGGGTGCGATTATCATAGCGTACAAGCAACACATGTGGATCAACCTCCGGCACAAGGCCAATTCAGTGTCTACGATTGATGCGGTTTTTGCAGCTACTCACGATCTTTTATCTTTCCTTCATCCTTCGTTCTGGGCCAGAGCAAAGATCCCGGCATTGATGGCATTGATTGCATGGTAAGTACTACAAAAACGTATACTCAGAGGCGTAATATCAATATATTAAACAGGTGTCTACCCCTCGCTGCTCTCATTCCGCCTTCCACTCTTACTGTAACTGGCGCTGAGCTTTACAGAGAGCGATTCACAAAAGTCCCAACCCTCAATCTCAACGACACCGCCCTGTACAAAAGTGAAGGCATTGGTGAAGGCACTTCACCCCTACTCCACCGCTTGACCATTGCCACTGCCACAAGCATGCAAATCCTCCCTATGCGCCGCACCCTCCCCATCAACGCAACCTATAACTACTCCTTCGACGCTCCCTCCCTAAAATGTGCCCCCGCGACCGGCGACCATCTCCAGAACTTCACTGCCATCCGCAAAGAATCCATCCGCCAACTCCTCGATCTAGCTGGCCAAAGCCTCTCCGCCGATGCCGACATGCGCTACCTCTCCTTTTCCGCCAACACCACAGGCGTCAGCCTCACAGGCTCCGAGAACGTAACCACGTACGTAGCCAAATGCGTCGCAGGTGAACGCTTTGACGACTGCGGCACCAACTCCAACATTCCCACCTTTTTCATGCAAATGGGCAACGAAACCATAACCTGCACCACACACAATACAAAATTCACCGCCCTATTTGGCGATTTTGGCGCCCAAGACACTCAACCCGTCACCTACGTCTCGCACGAATTCAAAGAACCGCTCAACACAGAAGTAACAGGCAGAATGTTCAGAGCCCTCTCTACCATCCTCAACGGCTTCTTCGGCGCCTTCACCGAAGGCGGCGCAGCCGGCGGCTATTTTTCCGGCAAATCAATGATCCCAGACACCGCGCTTCTCGAGCTTCTCCAGCAAAATTTCCCAGACCTACGCAATACCGTGCCGCAGGAAGCCTGGATGTCGCAGCGTACCAATACCACTCTCGCGGACATGGTCGAAGAGCTATCGCGCAACCAAACGCTCAGTCTTTTTAGCAACGAGAGGCTTTGGGAAACCGACGAGGCCAAGAAGGCAGAGGTGCCCGTTCGCTATTATACTTTTTACAACATGTATGAGTATACCCCGCGCAATCTGTGGATCGCGTATGGGGCTGCAATCGTGTGTTCGTTTGCCGCAGTGCTGCTGGGGCTCAGGGCCCTATGGCTGAATGGCGTGTGCCATGATAATTCTTTTTCGGCGGTCATGGCCGCGACGCGGAGTAGGTATCTCGATCGGCTTACACGCGGCCATTCGCTGGGGGCTACGCCCATGGGCGAGAAGATTCTCAGGGCGAGGCTGCGGTTTGGGGTCCTCGAGCCAGAGGATGAGGTTGCGGCCAAGGGCATGTATAGGGCTGGGTTTGGCACCGAGGATAGCGTTACGACGTTGAAGAAGGGGCAGGCTGTTTATTGAGTTTTGATATTGTGTACGCACCACTTGGATATATAGATGAGAGATTTGGTTATATGAATCAACATGTTCCTTGTATACGCCCGTCAAATATGCTATGTACCATATAGTAATACACATAACCACATTGCACTACGCTATGCTTTCATTTTAGAATCCCCCAATCTTCTTTCTCATTCGGGAAATACCCGTATACATACACATTTTTTTTCCTTGCTACTCAGCAAACGGACAAAAAAGCATTAACTGTCCCGAAGATGAAGGACGAAGAACAAACAATCAGCGAAAACAAAAGGAAAAGAAAACGACAGTTGATGCGTCGTACGTCCTACGCCTCCCCATTAAATTTTCGTATACGTACACTTGACAAAGCAGTAAATGATGCTACTACTCAGCAGCAGCTGGTGCTCCACCGCCAGCTCCACCACGTCCACCTCGTGCTCTCTTTCCACCACGTGTAGCGCCCTCGCTATCATCTTCTGCATTACGCTTCTGGCCACGGCCGGCCTGGGCAGCCTGGCCAGCAGGTTGGAAGCCAGCAGCTCCGGGATTAAGTCCCCGACCTGGTGAGGCTTGATTCTGGTTCTGTTGGCTGGCATTGCCGCGGCCGCGACCACCGCCTCGACCGCCGCCACGACCAATCTGTGAAGCGCCTGCAGCTTGGGTTGGGAGTTGGGTTTGCGGCTGCTGTTGGTTCATCTGCTGGCCTCGACCACGACCACCAGGTAGCGGGATGCCTGTCCCGCCACCACGAGGAATGTTAGATTGAAGGGCACCGCGGATGGCTTGTGGACCGGTTCCTACGCCGTCACCACGACCGCGACCCTGTTGCTGTTGACCTTGATTTTGCGCGACAAAGCCTGGTTGAGGCAGGCCTCGGCCCATTTGGTTTGCGCCTTGCATGAACGGGTTGATGGTGTTGCCCTGGCCGACCGATTGAAGGAATGGGTTCGATTGCTGAGGTGCTTGGGTTCCAGGATTGTTGTCAGCCCCATTGGCTTGAGGAGTGTTGTTCACTGAAGGTGCTGCCTGCTGTTGCTGCACCGGCGTTGCACCGGCCTGTGATGGCGTTGATGCATTTGGCGCTTGGTTTGGAAGCTGAGCTTGTGCAAGATTTGGCTTCGCAGGAGTAGCTGGCTGCGCGCCAGGCTTGTTGTCGGGCTTGGGCTTCTGAGTCATTGCAATCGCATAAACTTTTGCAACCTCCTCGGTCGGTGTTTCCTTCGCAGCCGTCTCGACGTAGCTGAACCTGGCTCGTACGAGCATGAGCTGCGAGTCTTTGACTCTCGACTTCATCTCGTACGTCTTGTTCATGCTTGTCTCCTTCTCTTGTAGCTTCACCTTAAGCTTCTCTTCCCAGGCAGCGTTGATTGCGTTCACATCTTCGCTCGAGGCAGCTTGCTTCGCCTGCTCCTGCTCCTGCTTCATACCTGTGATGCCGTCGATAGCCTTTTGCGTGTTGATTTGTTCAATCTCTTGACGCAGCTTAGCAATCGTCTCGTCCCTAGAAGTTGTTGCCTTTTTGAGGTTGTTTTGGATTTGAGCCTTGACAACTCTCAGCGCTCCAGTGTTAGTTCGGAACCATTGAGCAAGTTGGCTGTCCGTCACTCTGGGTCTTGGGAGATCCTCTGTATGGATCATGCCTTCAGGCAAAGGCTCTGTCGATACCTCGGAAGTCTCCTTAGAAGTGGCCATCTGTTTCTCTTGCTGTAATCGTTCGAGTTCGGCCTCATGAGCACCCTTCAATCTGGCGAGCTCTGCGTCCGTCTCTGCTCTAATTGCTGAGACGCGCTCGTTGGCTTTCTTCCTCAGATTCTCTAGGTTACCCTCCTTCTTAGCAATGACGCCTTCACGACCATTGAGTGATGCCTCAAGTTCCTTAAGTTGGGCTTCGCGCTGGTCAAGCGAGGCCTTGATTGCAGCAATTTCGTTGCTATCCTGAGAAGTGTCCGCATTGGCATCAGCCCCTGAAGAACGCTCGCTGGATTGCGCGGTAGCAAGCTGTGCTTTGAGATCATCAATCTCTTGCACCTTTGCAGCAAGCTCTTCCTTGAGTTTTTCAATCTCCGCACGCGAAGCGGAATCGTCACTAGGCTCAGCTGGTACTGCAGTTGGTGCAGTTTGTGGGTCTTGAGCTTGTGCCTGTGCCTGTGCTTGTGAGAACTGCTGGCGAAGCTCATCAATGGTTGTGCTCTTCTCAGCCTGTGCAAACGTCAGTATTGGATCCTTGGTATTTAAATTAGAGCAACGCACGGTTTCCTTTTGGAGCCTCTCAAGGCTGTCAATCTGGGCTGACAATTGGGCTTGCAGGTGAGACAGTTGGTCGGTGGCGGCGGATCGGCTGCTCTCAGCTTCGGCAGCCTTTTGTTGAGCTTCCTCGAGTTGCTTTTGCAGTGTCGAGATTTGTTGTGCCAATGCGGTAGAATCCCCTTCACTGACCTGGCCTTCCTCACCCGCATCTGCGTTTCCAGTTGGCTGCGAGGATGCGTTCGCTTGAGCGATGGCTTCGTCGCGAGCTGCCTTGACCGCCTCGAGCTCTTGCTGGACAACTCCGAGTTGCGCGCGTGCTTGCTCCAGCTCTTTCTCCAGTGTTGCTATCCGCTCTTGTGCTTGACCAGCATCCGTACCTGCTGTCTGTGCACTGGCGAGCTGTTGCCTGAGGCCTTCAAGTTCTTGCTTCAAGTTCTCAACTGACTTCTGAGCTTCGTCTCGCTCGGCAGCAATAGCCTTCATCTCCTCGTTCTTCTTGCCCATACGCTCGTTGTGGATCTTCTGGAACCTATCCCTTGCGAACTTGACTTCGGCGTCCTTTTCACTCACTGCCTTCTCTAGTTTAGCAGTGAGATCGGTAATCTGCTCGTTAAGTCCAGAGGCTTGCTGCAATGCTTGATCACGCTCAGCTTTGTGGTCCTCGATCTGTTTCTTCAGATCCTCAAGTTCCTTGGGGTCGATACGGTCATATCGCTGGAGTACATCCTGGTGGCGCTTCTGCCAACGGTCTCGGTCTTCTTCAACAGCCTTGAGATGACCGGCCTTGAGCTCAAGCTCTCCTTCGAGTTCGGAAACACGAATCTGCAGTGGTTCAAGCTCACTCTGAAGGGCCTCCAGTGCCTTGGCCTTTTCAGCAAACGAATTCTGCAAACGAGTATTCTCGCTTCGTAGAGTCGCGTTGCTTTCGCGGTAGACATTGAGCTCCTCGAGGTTTTTGTTGAGGTGTGCGAGACTGGAGTTGCTCTGTGAACCAGAGGCCTTGGCTTGTTCCTCCAGCAGCTTTTCCCGGGTCTGGTCGAGTTGAGTTTGGGCGTGGGTCAGTTGTTGCTCCAGTCGCTTCGATTCCTGGACCTTGAGGTTCAATTGTACTTCTAGAATTTCCTTCTCGCGGCGGAGATAGGTTTCGATGTCCTGAAGATTGCTTGAGCCCGATTCGGTAGTGCCCGCATCGCCGGCCGCTGCTATTGCACCACGTTCGTTCTTCAAGCTGTTGATCTGCTCCTTGTACTCGTCGAACTGCTTGAGCAATGTTTGGTTGTATTGCTTCAAGTCGTCATGACGACGTTTGGCTTCTGCAATCTGCTCTTCGTACCGGGCTTCTGTTGACTTCCAGTGCTCTTGGCTCTGCTCCAATGTCGTACGCGCCGCTTCAGCTTGCGTCTTGAACTCTGTAATCTCAGTCTGCAGTTGGTTGTGCTGCTCCCGTAGTTCACGTAGTCTCTCCATACTCTCGGCGTGCTTCTGGAACTCGTGCTCGTAGTCCTTTTGGGCGCGCTCGGCGATATCGGCCTGTGTCTTGACGTACTGCATCTGGTTCTCGGCCTCAGCCTTGTAATCGGCAACATCGTTCTTAAGTCGGGTGATCTCTGACTCGAGAGCTTCCTTCTCCTGTCGGAGTACCAAAGTATCCTGCTCATGCTGTCCTCGGAGTTGCGTAAGCTCGGTGCTGCTGGTGGCAAGCTCAGAAGAGATGTCTTCAACCCGCTGTTGTAAATCGCTAATGACAGCATCCTTCTCCTGCTGTGCCAGGTTGATCTGCTCCTGAAGTTTCTCGTGAGCCTCCACAAAGTTCTGCAGTCGGTTCTCTGCATCCTGTGCAATTTCCTGGAAACCGGCAATTTGAGCAGTGACAGCTTCCAGTTCTTCCTCCTTGCGTTCAATCTTGCGTTTGAGTTCTGCAACTTCTGCAGTAAGTTCTTCTTCACGACTGACTGATTCCTCTTCGTTAGAGCCATTGGCCTGCGAAGCAGATCGTGGTTGGAGGGCCTGTACGCGCTCTTCAGCCAGTTGAAGTTGGTTTTGGAGATCCTTGACGCGCTGCTCGAGTTGTTGACGAGTCGAGTCGGCGGTCGCAGACTTGAGTTCAGCACTGTTACGAGCGGCGATAAGATCGTCGATCCTTCGCTGCGCTTCGGTGCGCTCGTAGTCCCGCATTTGGATAACCTTTTTGTGCTCCGCAATCTCATCCTCCAATTTGCGTTCGGCAGTCTGGAGGTCAGCTCGAAGCTTGTCGACCGTGTTTTGAAGTTCGCGTCGGCTTTCGGCAGTGGCCAGTTCAGCTTCATTACGCAGACTCTGAATCGAGGAAACCATGTTGCTCAGGCGGTCACGTTCGGTGACCAATTCTTGGTTCCTCTCCTTGAGGCGCGCTTCGATTGTTGCAGACATCTGCTGTGATGCCTTGAGCTGAACCATCTCACCCTGCAGGCTCTGGAGGCGGGCTTCAGCCTCAGCCGCATTTTGAGTAGCCTTAACAAGCCTATCATCCTGCTGGGCCATGGTGGCCTGGACCTTGTTGTAGCGCTCCTGGAGGGAGTCCTTCTCTGATTGGAGCAGTTTGATGCTACCCTCGAGACGAGCATACCTGTCCTGCTCACGTCGTACCTGTGACTCGAATCGGAGCTTCTCGCTCTGGAGCTGGGAGTTATCCTTGGTCAACGTGTCGACTTGTGACTTAAGCGTGGCACGGTCGGTAGCACTCTCCTCCTTCAGCAAGTCAATGTGAGATTGAAGATCCTTGATAAGCTTGCTGTATTCCGGAATCTCGCGAGACTGGGAGCCGTTCTCTAGCTGCAAGAACCCTCCTGTCGCTGGTACCGACTGTGCGAAGATGGAGGTTGACTGCGAGTGAGAAGGCAACTGGCCACGGCCACTCACGATGCGACTGTACATGTCGCGCTCTGTCTTCAGAGTCTGTGAGCGTACATGGAGAGATTTGATCTCTTCCTCCTTCTCGGCGACTACGGAGCGTAGACGACCAAGTTCATCAATGTCCTTTTGGTACTGTTCGGAAGCCATGCGAGCCTCTTGCTTCTCCTGTTCGTCGCCTACTTGTCGAATGGTGCGTAAAAGTTCGGCATTCTGCTGTTGAATCTCAACTACGTTCTTGTAGAGCACAAGATGCTTGGTGATCATGTTGTGTGTCGGCGAATCATCGGGCAATAGATCGTCCGGTAGTTCGTTCTTGTTGACGGTTTCGAGGATAAACTTTTGCTGATCCTCAGGGAGGCTGGCGATACCATTCTCTTCAGCTTCACGTCGCCATAGAAGCGAGCGCAACTGGATCGTCGTGTCCTGAACTTGACGCTGAAGTAGCGCGCACTCATTCTGGACGCCCTCGAGATCACCCAGTGCCTTGCGAGAATCCCGTTGAGCTGCCTCGCGCTCAGCGATGGCTTCTTCGAGAAGAGTCGAAATGTCGTTGTTCTGCTCAATGAGTGCGTCGTTTTGGCGACGAAGCTCGTCGAATTCAGGCTGTCGGCGTTCGAGTTCTTGAAGCATCTCATTGAGAATGCTGCTCTGTTCCTCGTGCTTTTCCCGGACTTTGCGGAGCTCCTTCTTGAGATCGTTGTTTTCAATCAGCAACTGGGTCTTGGAGGCATCAGCCCTGAGCTGGGAGCCGCCAGGAGAGAAGACAGCAGGTGATGCAGCCCTTCCCGGCGTGCTGAAGCCTCCGTTCATGCTCATGCCGTGACGAGGCGTTGCAGGGACGCGAACCGAGCTTCGAAGGTCAGAGTTATCGCTCTTGAGAGTTTCCACGAGCGTCTCCAGCTCGGCCGTGCGGGCTTCGGCTTCAGCAGCCCTATTGCGTTCGAGCTCAACATCGGCCTGTAGCTGGCCAATCTCGTTAGCAGCATCTTCCTGGATGCGTTCGCTGTCAGCCTGCAGCTGCTCCAGGCGCTTCTTGGTCATCTCATTATTTTGCTGGTGTAATGCCGCCAATCGTCGGGCGCCGTCGAGTTCGATGCGGAAGTTGGCCTCGGCTGTCGATGCGGCATTCTCGAGTTCCTCGATGCGCAGGCGGTCCTCCTCGGCCTTGTTCTTGAGTTCATCAATGTGCTGTCGGAGCAGGGTTTCGGCGCGGCGTAGGGTATCAATCGTCTCGGAGGCATCGGCAATGTCGCGCTGGAGCTGGGCAATTTGGGCGTTCTTCTCTTTGCGGTACTTGCTGTGGTCGTCGGAGCGGGTCTTGAGTTCGGTGGTGTACCAGTCGTTGTTGCTCCGCAGCTGCTCAATCTCCTGCTGCAGGTTGGCCTCGCGGAACTTGACATTGGTGGCATCGCTCTCGAGCGACTGGTTCTTCTGCTCCAGGGCGGACGCCTGCTTGCGCAGCTCTAGCCACTTCTCATGCAGTTCAGACAGCTCCTTGGCCAGGCGGTCGTGTGCAGCCGTCTTGGCCTCGTGCATGGCCATTGCATCGCGGTTGTGGGCCTCGAGTGTCTTGATGCGCGATTCCAGCGCCTGTGTCTCAGACGAGGAGCTGCTGGTTACGGCCTGCAGATTGTGTAGCGCTGTCTCTGCCTCTTGTCTGGCATGTTCTGTACACACAATGTGAGTACAGGTAGCGCCAAACTGGCTGTAAAACATCATACCTTCGTGTGAGAGCTTCTCCTTGAGCTCTTCAGCTTCTTTCTGTGCCTTCTCTGCTGTGGCCTTCAAGCTTCGCGCGCGTTGCTCGCCAGCCTGTACAGCGGCCTCGAGTTCGACATCAATGCGGATCTTCTCTGACTGGAGATCATCATAGGCGCGCGCCTTGACTTCGATCTGAGTGAGCAGTGTTTGGACAAGCTCTACGGTGGGTTCGGATAGGAGCGACTGCAGCGTCGTCTCGGGGACGGAATACGACGCGGCCAGGTAGCCAACGTCGAATGTTGCGGCCGCCATGGTGTATGTTGTAGTTTATCGCACGTCTCGGCGCATTATCGACAGCAGTCCTGGGGTGGTGGACAAGAACTGCAGACAAACGAGAGACGGCGATGGGGATGTTTGACGCGAACAAGAAACGGCGCCTTGTTCTCTAAAGTCGCGAGCCAGCAGTGCTTTGACGACAAGGCGGCGCATGGGCCAGGGGCTAGTCCTGCATGCGCTCATGCCCGCGTCTTGTCTTCCTTTGTCTCCGCTGCCTGGACCTTCACCTTCACCTTCGCCTTGCACCCACTCGCACCCACATACACGCCCACGCTCACTTCAATACACTCCGACTCCGCCATAATCGCTGTGCGACTCTTTAGCTAGACGCTGCACACTTGGCCCCCATTCACGCCGCTGACTTGTCAACCGTCCCTTCACCTTTTCCATCCACCAGCCTTCACCTACCCGTGTCGCCCTTCTACAGCCATGTCTTTCCTTAAAGCGAACTCGTCATCTGCAGCCAATGCACCTTCGCCGACGCCATCAACTTCGTCTGCAAGCGGCTCCAAGCGCAAGCGTCCTGCTGATGGTGCGCCTCCAGTCGTCTACTCGCAGCCGCAGGACACGGGCACCGGCGAGCACGTCTTCACCCGTCTCACCTATGTCAACGATTTTCTGCGCGAGCGCAAGGATAAATGGCATAGTTTTGAAGACATTATGGAATACCTCAACATCCCGCCTGGCCACATCCAGCGCCAGCAGTTGCGCCAGCTAATGCGTGCCGACAACCAAGGCAACCGGATTTCATGGGACTCGCAGGTTCGTAGTGCATGCAGACATAGTGTCTTCCGTTGATACTGACCTTGTATCTTTGCATGTAGAACGAGAGGTACAAGTACAAGAGCAAACTGGACATTCATAATCGTGCCCAGCTCAAGGGCCACTTCCAGACGCAGAAGTCGGCCTTAGGCTTGCAGATCAAGGACTTGAAGGACGGCTGGTCCAATGTGGCCGAAGACATTACCAAGATGGAAGAGAAGAATGAGGTGTTGGTGCGACGAGCCAAGGATGGTGTTCCCAAGACGGTCTGGGCCAATGACCCTTCTCTGATGCTCCCCATGGACCCAGTATTTGCAAAAACATGGCATTCGGTCCAGGTCCCCGACAATCCAGAGGAGCTGCGCAAGGTGCTTTTGGCCAACAAGATGACAGCCGCTACCCAAGCAAAGGTCATTGTCGCTGCCCCCACGACAAAAAAGAAGAAGGGCCCTCGCCGTGGTGGCAAACAGACAAACACGCACATGATTGGCATTCTGAAGGATTTCTCTGGCATGAGAAAGTAGACTGTTTGATTTTGCATAGCGCGGCGTTTAGTTTCTGCTTTACATAATTATGGAAAACGGCCTCTAACGAAGTTGGTCTGCTTTTCGCTGAACTTGTACGATACACATGGTAGGCTTCACTAGGTAAGCCTATTATAGACCGAATACAAGAAAATGTTGTTTAATTGAAATCTATGAGACCACCAGAACTCCAGATTACTCAAAGAAATTTGTTGTCCAATTCTTTTTGCTCAAGGATTCGCCAAGAGCTTCTGCAAACGCGTCCCCGCATCCAATTCTGCAGGCAGTCGTGTCCACTCCACATGTTCTCATTCCCGTTCAACCAATTGCAAGTTCAGCCATTGGGATTCCATTTTCTAGATCACCTGCTTTACATGCCTATTAGTACAACCCCCGCATAAAATAGAGTGTAGAATACCTTGATCATTTCCAGAACGCTTTTTTCCGTAGATGTGTTCCCAATACAGAAGCAACATGATGAACGCAAAGACCAAAACACATATCGGCCAACGTGCTGGCTCATATTTAATCCAATCAGTGAGTATGTGTGCACCTCCCAATGCTGTTATAGTATCTATAACAAGCTTACCCGCATTCATCTTATCACTCAATACCTTCCAGACCTTCCAGTCCAGGACAGCCTGCCAGCATGCACGCCAGTCACAGCAATTCATTGCCTTGGTGTAACCCTTTACTATATCTAATAGTTTGCCCATAGTTTTCGTATATCGACACCGGATATCTCAACTCCCAATGTAAGTTCTAAAGAGAAGAATTTTACCGTGTGGAAGAAAATTAGCAGCTCATATTTATCTCATCAATCCTTGTATGGCAATACCAAGAATGCCAAGCAGTGCGCCCAACCATACAACCCCTTTGGCTCTATGCAGTTAGTATGTGTTATGGCTCAATCAGGCAAGCGCGCTTTTGATTCTGCCCCCTTCTATGCAGCTTCCGTGCAGCATGGTAGCTTAGTCAACCAATCCACTCTCCCACATGGCCTTGACCGGTCCCACGCCATTGCTTGGAAATGGGGATGAAAGAAAAGGTATCGGTGTGGAGACGGATGGTGGCTTGCTGAGTATTGATTGGATAGCAATACGCTGGAGATTTTTTACACAGCCAGCCTACACTTTCTCCCACCTCTGGGCGTCGATTTATCCATAGAACCGCTACAATGACGTCAGTTTTCTGGTAAGAAAAAAAATACATTGACTAAACGTTCGTAGTGTAGACCAACTCGAAGTGTAATTCGTCAAGAGTTAAGGCGTAAGGTCAAAAATATACCATTTTTCACGTATCATAACCATCATTCGTATCACTAACGTTCTCTTCACCCCCAAACTATCTTCCCTTCTCTCTTCGCACTCCCCATATCAGCCAGCATAACCCTCTCATCATCATCATCCTCCTTCAAATTCTCCCTGCTCTCCCCGGGCGTCTCCACAACCGTCGTACGCACCTCCGTCTCCAGCCCAAACCTTCCCCCGGACGCCAGACTAATAGGTTTCGAGTCCTTCGGTGGAGCCTGCGAGATGCGATTCGGCAGCGCAGGCCCGTCCTCGTATAAATTGTACCGCGAGTTCTGCTGCGTCGAGGCAAAAAAGCGGGGGAAGGTTAGGATGAGGAAGCGGCGGAGGGCGGGCATGCAGATGCAGAAGATGCCGACGAAGGCTTCGAGGGTGGACCAGTAGGCCGTGGGGACGTCGTCCCAGGTTGGGTTTGGGGAGTTGTCGAAGAGGACGAGGGATTTGAGGCGGATGATGGCGACGATTAGTGTGCTATATGCTCTTATTAGCCATGTCCGACTTACGCAAAAGTATGTTTTAGGGAGGGGGAAAGACTTACAAAACGCCAACGCTAAACATCGCAATGATGTAAAGTTTACTCCGCAAACTCATTGCTAGTTTCAGCAACTCGGGAATCGGGAGTGCGAGCACCATAATCTCAATAGTGATGTTGACGGCTGCGGCCGAGGCGGCGAAGACGTGGAAGTCGATGCAGGTCCCCTTGTGTTGGCCGTCCCAGCTCGTCCATGTGTAGTCGATGGGCGTGCATTTGAAGGTTGTGATGACGGTGAAGACGACGCCGTAGGCAACGCACAGCGCCATTACGATGTTAGCGCGCCAGCGAAACGAGCTGCTGGGAAAGATGCGCAGGCAGCAGGCGACAAACGACATTTTTGTCAGAGGGAGCACGAGCGAGTATGATAGCTCGGCTATCCACGTATACTGTACATATCAGCTACCAATGTTTAACTTTTTCCCTAAATTCCGGCCATTCTTTGAGCGCCCCCTTTAACAGGGCAAAGAGTGTTTGGGGGAGACAAAACGCAGCTTCACATACTTTCATGATTAGAGTAATGTTCTCAGGAGTAACGGTCCAAGTGTCTTTTCCATTACCGGCATCTGACTTGAGGAATTGCATTACGCCTAGGGGGATAGCGCTGATGAAGGCGAGCACAGCGAAAAAGTCGTTGAGGGCGAAGCCTTTGCCTACGATGTAGCACCGGGCCGCTACGGAGAACAGCGCGGCACCGCCAGAGACTCCGGTTATGATTGGGGATATGCCCGTCCTGTCACGTATGGGGCGGCCGCAGAGGGTTGCTGTGATGTTTTGAGCAACTGGGGGGTTTTGTTAGTGTGTTGTTGGAGTGGACGGGGGGGCTATCTTGGACAAACCCAAAGATTCTCTTATGGTGCATGATGACTGGATACATTTGTTGGTAGTATCAAGATATTTCTGGTCTACGCATATGCAGGTTACATTTGCTGGCGTGCAGGTAGTCTGCGTGGTGATGCTCGATTCGTAGCATTCCGTCTTTGTCCCCGATTTAGTACTTGGCAGCCACTCAGACAGAGAAAGATGTCACTTACTGCGCACACCGGCATCTGCTGTTGACAGGAAACCGTCCAAACGAACAACGCGAAGTTGACGCAAACATATTTCAGGATCCCATGAGGCTTCATAACCAGTACCTATTTGCCGAAGTGGTCAGGTCGGCTGACTGATGGGATGTTGTAACATGGAATACTCGTGACGAGCTTCGAATCAACCGCAAGAGCAAGAAGATTGATCGATCTGAACACACAAGGTAGCCCTTCCCTACAATTACATATGAAAGGGTTCTGTTCGTGTGGAGTCCAAACCGCGTCGCACAAATAGATTGACACACGACTAAAGGCAGACCTCCATGGCCATCCTTGTTCACTCCATGTCCCATCTGGAAAATTGAGATTCCCAGGGGCCGCAAATAGCTGGTGGCTTACCAGCTCCCGCTGACTTAATCCTTGTCCTTGTCGATTTCTGCTCAGCGATACGAGGCGTACATGCATGGTCTAGTAGTAGTACCTGTCAGATGTGGCGCCTTAGCATATGTCTTGGTGCCTTGGCACAAGTCTGTCCCACTCCCGAACTATTCGTCATCGCGAGCACAAACATACTGTCACTTCAGCACATTCTTGCTACTTGTTTTACCTCGAACATGTCGCCAATCGTAGGTAGGTTTCAGCCGTTGAAAGGATGGTGTGCGAGGATGAGTCGCCATTTGCCAAGTCCTTGCACCTCTAGCTCTTATGCCTTTCGTAAGCATGCAGCCTAGACCGAACTATAATGGCGTTGCCGTTGGGATTTATTTTATTTTTTTTTCGCTCAAAGCCCAGGCTTCGGTCCAAGTGCTTGTGGCTTGCGTGATGCTGGATGAATGTGGGGGCGGCCCGAGTCGAACAATAAGTCCCGCAATATACTACCATCTCCTGCTACATTCATCGAACCATGAATCGCATATTCATTTACCGTGAGTCCTGCTATCGTCGGAAGGTTTTTGAATAGGAAATATGCTCCATACTTGACTTGCCGGTCCAGACATCTGGCTTATCTTTTAAGGCACCCTGAGCTCTGTAAGGAATGATTGCGACTGCCTCCCTATTCAATTACATTTGTGCATGGGGATATACCGAAGAACGCCCGCATCTGCGCTAACAAACGTCCGAGACCTGGTCAATCGGAAGGCAGCATATCTGCCGTTGCGGGATCCACGATTCGCTAACCGCCTTAATACATAGTACGTCTTGCTATTACAGTATACATGCACGCAATAGGAACAGTCTACTTCGGCAGTTTTCCCACGTGTTCAACTGGCAAATCGGAAATAAGAATTCCATCTCGCTAACGGTGTCGACCAATGGCAGATGAGGTACCTACGATGCACGTAGTAATTGTAATGTTAGTTTACCGAGTCTTGGCAGAACCCAAACATCTGTCGCAATACGCGCCCTGCGCTCCAAGTAAACCTCTCTTAGAAGTCGAGCAGTTTGTGCATAATACGTCAGTATGACTGTCTCTACGTATAAAGCATGTAGCGTGTCATGTTCATGGAGAACGATCCTACCACAGTGATTTGGAGTATACTTGAATCATAACCCCTATTGACATCCATCCCATATTGGGGGGAAGCTAACTCTTTTGAGACCAAGGGCCATAGTTCTTGACCTTTAGGCTGACGGGGGATGTTCATGAACCTTCATCCACAAAAAGGGCCGATACAACTCGGCGTATAAATATATCCGAGAGAGAGAGAGAGATGCGTGCATACGTACTACGTATCGGGCTTCTTTTCACTTAGCGCAAGTTTCAATTGAATGAGTCCACTTAGAAAGCAGCTTGTGGACTTGGTCGATGATCCCATCGTCAAGAGTCAAGGGTCGAATGATGATCTTTGTCCGTGAACACCATCCCTTTTCCCGGATCTGCATCGCCGTGGTTCTTGAAAACGTGTCGCTTCACTCTCCCCAGCCAATTGCCAATGCAGGTTTGCCATAAATTGTTAAGGCACCAGTAGTGGCGTTAAACGAGAAAGCCCGAGGGTGGGGCCCATCATGTCCAGAACACACTCTTATCTGCCGCTATTATAAGTAATCGCACTCGCAATGTAGTCGGAGACAGGTTGGATGCCGCGAATATGGAAGCGAAGAGCCCAATTCGGCGATGCAGATCAGCGAGTATCTGGTTCTGAAGAAGAATGGACTTGTGCTTTATCTTCTCGCGTTACTTGACTCTCTCGCCTCGGTGACCTGTGCGAGAACACCAGAAACGGCGAGTACGTCATTTCCTGACAGCGCTATTTGTGCTACTCAGGAATGTGGAAATTAGATGCGTGGCTAAGGAAGTAGCCACGAGGGATTTATTCTAACGACATCTGGCTGGTGTAGAGAATGGACAAGATAACCAAACGTGTTATTTAGCTCGACTTCGTATCCGGATGGAACGACACCAAACAAATTAGGATTCACGGACTGAATCATTTTTCTTAAATACGCAGACCCCCACACTAATAGAAACACGCGACTTCAATTTATTGTACCGAACAAGATTTAATATTATGTGTACAATAAGCCGTTGTTGCTAAAGACCTCATAGTCTTAAACTGTTCACATCTTCAGATACTGAGACTGAGATTTCTGGAGGACATCGATATTATCACCAAGATCTTACTTTTTCTGCGGGTAGATATGGCTGCATGTGCTTCCTGAATAATATGGGAAATATCTCGCAACCATACACTACAATATGACATCTCCCAACAGCATTGGCAAACAAGAGAAAATTATCCAACGAAAAGGACAGTTTGAAAGACATTGTAGTATGGCAGGCGAATTTACTCAGACCATATGGCTGAATTTCGCAGTGCAGTGTTGAAGATTGCAAAGGCAATGCAAGCTATTTTGGATGGCAAATTGCAAGCATAATTTCGTTTGCATTCCAATCTGCACATTTCGGAAAAGTTTTAGGTAATTGAGACATCTGGCATGCAGTCGTACAGTTCATCGAAACGCTGTCTGATATCATATGGTTCTTATCACGAGCTAAAGAATGACGGTCGTACGATTTATCGAAAGATTGCTTGATACCACCTGGTCCTTGTTATGGGCTGACGACTTTGATTAGCCGTCGTATAGGTCACCACGGGAGATGATTCTCTCCACACCAGACGATTATATGTACTATTCATTATACAAGCTTGCAAAGTCCTTGAGTATTGCCACCCCAGCGAATAAATGTACAGTGAATCGCCCAACGTCCTTATCAACGAGGTAATGCTGCCTTTAGGAATCTATAGGCCAGTTCTGTCAGAAACGACCCCTACGCCCTTAAAGCCACCAAGAACTGAGCCCGTGGGATAACCGCCCTTGACAATGTTCCAACACGTATTTTGTGCTGAATAGTCTGAGCGTGAATGAGACACATATGTTAGTTATCTCGGACTTACCAGATCATTATATTTTGCCAAGTGCTTTACTATAGTTCATTATAACGCTTATTGTATATAGTATGCATTTCTCGAGAAGCAATGACTCCAATAGTAGCCTCCTACTTTTCTCTAATACATTTATACTTTATTACTGTCTCAGTCTTTCTTTTTTTGCAAAATAATGGCGTACACCGAACGATTAACAATGTTGTTTCACAATTAGATAGTCAGGGAACATATGGCTAAGAATGTGGTTTGCCTGTTTTTCCACGACCGCAGTTCTTAGCGCTACAGTCAGCCAGGCAGTCCCAAAGAGACTGATTGAAGCCATTGATACGACAACGTGGTGCGGGTCACCTTTTGAGGTCCTTCCCTTTTCCTTAGTTTCATGAATCAATCTTTGATCTCTGAGTGCAATTACACCTGCTCCTCCTGCAATATCTTTGATCTATTCACTACTTTTTTTTTAGCCCAGCAGTTCTTAATTGCTTCAGAATACCTTGATATCAATCCTTGTGTTCAGTTAATATACGTTTATTTATACATGTTTGAATGTTTCCTCAGTCTTTCATATCAGCCGAATAGAAACACATACATAATCGCATTGAGCTGAATTTTTGAACGGCTATTGGGGCCTTTTCGTAAATGGTATGTATGTACCTAAGACACATGACGGTAGCAGCGTTGCTTGGGTGCAGATATTTCAGACATCATGAACACAGTTTTTGATAGGAGGATTGTGCTGATTGAGACAAGTGACACATATACATAGACATTCAGTTTTCAGACACTGCCATGCAGTATATTATACCTTTTTGGGCATGTGATGGCCTATCTGGAGCCGAATCGGGGGTCGTTACGAAAAGACTTTACTCATATCATGAAGTAAAAGCAAAGCAGCTAGTTAGTTAGCAAAGAGTCATTCTATTGTAAGTAGGCTTTGCCTAGAGGTTGTTTAGCATTCCCAACATTCCCATCTCCCACCCAACTCGCTAATGTGCGATCAGTACTGCCGTAGCCCGCCGGTTGAGCTTCTCTGCTTCCTTATACTTGACAATGAGCCTGCAGCACTCCCTCCAGGACCTCTAAGCTGACCAGTGTCTATTGACCGTTTGGTCCAAGTATTTCTTCCCTCGTGGACAGTGCCCTAGCTACTATCTCCTGCGCAGAGCCATAGCTTCCTCGTAGCCATAGACACCGCACCGCATTCGTTAGCAACCTACGCCCAAATCAAGATATCCAGAAAATTAGATATTGAATTGAATCTCACGATTGTCACGGGACAATGTAGGGTCTCTATTAACTAATTCTATAGTAGATTCGCTATAACTTAATAATAGCAACCTTTTGCGTTGAACGCTACCAAGCCTTAGTGTCAGATCCTATTGAACCTTGTTGTTAGACACGACCAAACATGCGGGTTAGATTGAACTAAACTTTCGTGTCAGATTCCATAAAACTTTTGTGAATTGGAGCCCACTGTTATATAGCCTTTAAAAAGATATGTGTATGTAGCATCACATACCAGACCAGGATCGCAGTACGTTGTCCCGTTGTGGGGTACTTGTTATCTCATGTCATCAATCGCATGACTTCAAAGTAAGCTCTCAAATTAGGTTCATTTTTTTTCAAATAATCAAAGTAAGCAGTCCTGGTAATTCTATTGGTAATTCCTTGGCGATTCCCGGGCCCATGGGGGTGTTTTTTTGGGCACGTGGGGTCGGATGCTGTATTGCCTTAGTACTAAAATTCCGGCCTAAAGAGTAGTACAACCTTCAATTTTCTCCTCTCCCTTGCAATAAATCTTGAAAAGTAAACTTCGGCTAGGCTGCTATGGTAAGATTTTTAGAAGATTCTTTACGTCGATAGAGAGAGTGAACAAATACAATTTCAAGGCTGCTTTTCTTGTCTCGCTAGTAATTTTATTAATAGCGTGATTAAGAAGAGTTAGGTATCCTCTCAAGATTTTATATATTAAAAAGAAAGATAAAGGACACTAAACTAAGTTGTAATTTTTCTTCATACTTAGCGCTAACTCAAGCTTACAACTGGTGGATCAGTAGTTGGGTAGGTAACTACTAGCGAATCTCTGCTGTTGTATATTTCTCATGTTTTTGTCTTGTACTTTTTACACCGGAACAACTGCCGAAGGACCGATCACCATGACGTACTTGCAGCACCATCGTTTAGAAGTTTTGGGCAACATCATAGCAGGGTCAGTTTTTTTTGTGAGCCCGCTGCTTCCGGGTCTTGATACGTCAGGCGGGTCAAATGGTCAGGGCTAGACCCAGACACAGATTGGCTAGCTGCGCTGTGATGATGTCTTTGATAACCGGGTACAAACGCACAAACCCGGTATAAACTCGTGGGCGATTCCAGCTCGAGGACCCCTCATTCACATCTGAAATACACACACTTTGCAGTAATGTCTCTCAAGTACAACAAGGTTCTTGTAATTGGCGCGACTTCAGGTATTGGGTGGGCGCTGGCGGAGCGGATTGTACAAGATGGCAAACAAGTGATCATCGTGGGTCGGCGACAAGACAAGCTGGACGAGTTCAAGAAGAAGCACGGTAGCGACAAGGTCGACAGTTTTGCCCTGGACATTACGAAACTGGACGAGATCCCCAAGTTTGTCAAGGACGTGATCAGCAAGCATCCAGACCTGGACTGCGTGTTCCTCAACTCCGGTATCCAGCGCGGCTTCGACTTCTCCAAGCCCGAGACGATCAATCTCGACGTGTTGGAAATGGAGTTTCGAACAAACTACATGTCTTACATGCATCTTACCACGGCATTCTTGCCGTTTTTGCAGAGACAGGACAAGGAGACGTCGCTTGTGTACACGACATCTGGATTAGCGCTCATGCCACTTCCGCGTTGTCCAAACTATTGCGCGTCCAAGGCGGCGCTGCATCACATGATTCTCGCTCTGCGACACCAATTGGCCAATGGGCCCGGAAACATAAAGGTGATTGAAATCTTTCCACCAGCCGTGCAGACGGAACTGCACGACGCGAAGCATCAGCCGGATATCAAGGATGGAGGGAACATTGGCATGCCACTGAGCGAGTTTACCGACAAGGCGTGGAAGGGACTGGTTGAGGGCAAGGAGCAGATTCCAGTGGGATTCACAGTCAAGGCCTTTGATGCGTTCGAGAATAAGAGACAGGAGCTGTGGAAGCAGGTGTTCTTGTCGTAGTTTGGGACTGGGTGGGCGACGGGCGCGGACGAGAGACGGGCGGGGGGGGCTTGGCGGGGTAGGGAGAGAGTCTCAAGCCACAGTTGCAAGGAGACGCTGGGCTTGAGTCTATACGCAGCCAATACCATGATTGCGCAGAAGAGAAGCAATGACGCGACAACTTCAATCCTTAGAAATGCATGCCCAGTTGGCCGTACGGACGTTGCTTCTATTGCGCCGTGTTTCGTCACGATCCGTAAATAAATATCGCGTCCCACTGCTGCCGCGTAGGCTGCACAAGTAAATTGAGCACAGCCCCAAATGCGGCGCAGACATTCCGAGTAGTGTGCCGCTAATCACCTGCAACACCCTATCCTCGTATTCAACTCCACTCTGGACTTTGGGCCACTCTTCTGTCACTCGACTTTGTCTTCTCGCTCTGCGACCAGCATACGCCTGCTCCCTCCCCTATCGAGCTCCGACTGTGAAGGAGCCCTTTGTTTCTTTGCGCATCCCAAGCGACACACGGATTGCAACCCACCACGCTCAACATGACGGACAGCTTCAAGAATGCCATGATCAACCGGGCGTTGGGCGACATCAAGAACGTGAGTCTGCGCCGGCTCGGTCCCTGGCGTTGATTCTTGTTAAACCATGCTAGAACCTCCAATTTCTCGTCGAATCCAACGTCCTCAGCTCTGCGCAACACGATGCGATTGCTGCCCAGCTGCCCGTCTCAGCCGAGAACAGCACCCGCATGCTTCCCGCCGCCGCCGTGCCGACTCAGCAACTCGCGCAGATGAACATCCAGAGCCAGCCCACGCCGCCGCCAGAGAAGAAGGCGGCCAACGTTGGCTACTACGCCGACGCGCCTGCCAACGCGCCGCCGCCAGCCTACCCCTCTGTTCCCGCCGCCCCCGCAGGGCCCCCCGTGCTGTGCCACGCCTCGGCCATGTACCAGTACAACGCCCAGGACGCCGGCGACCTGGCCCTCATGCCCAACGACAAGATTGCCGTCACCGAGTACATGAACAACGAGTGGTGGAAGGGCCGCAACGAGCGCACAGGCATGGACGGCATCTTCCCCGCCAGCTACGTCCGCAAGGAGGAAAAGAGCGTCATGCCCGCCTACACGCCCCCCGCCCCGGCTCCCTCCAACTACGGCAACATGCCCCTCGACGTCGCCTCGAGCGCACAGGCCCCGCCCGCTGAGCCCAGCAAGGTCGAGACCCAGGGCAAGAAGTTTGGCAAGAAGCTGGGTAACGCGGCTATCTTTGGTGCAGGTGCGACAATTGGAAGCAAAATTGTCAATGGCATCTTTTAATCGCTTACATTTCTTGACAGGTGCTACCATTGGTGGAAACATTGTTAACTCCATCTTCTAGTCTGGGAAGATGGGGCGTCTTTGTTGTGTGTTTTTTTTGGGGGGGGGACAGGTTGAAAGGGGGAGGGTAATGTATGTCGGGTTCTGAACAGATTCATGTCCAGACGCTGGCTTTCTTTTCAGAGGCGTCTGGTGGCGTTTTGTTATCATGACATGTTTATCATCCATTGTCTGGTATCTCCTTGGTTATGTCATTTGCGATTTTTCTTTTTAAAAAAAATGCTGATTTGAGCTACGTGCAAGGACTTAGAATGAAATTTACTTCTTAATGAAGCCTATTCGCACAGCGTGATATTTTTTTTTTGGTGGGGGGGGGGCGAAATATACTCTAATTTCCATACTTGGTCAAACATCTCCAGGCTGACGCTTACTACACAAGCAGCCCCGGTCAATATTACTTCACACGTAGTAAGTCTGTACCATCCTAAATTCAGAATTACCATATCAATTAAAGAAGAAAGTCTATCATTAGTAAAACAAAAAAACGTATATACACACAGTCGTTTCTTTCCAAAAAAAAAGCGCCTCCTTTTGACACGCCCACGCGCTTAAGCATAAATATAACACATAGGCCCCTCGGTCGTACTCATCAACTCCTGCATCTTAGCCGGGGGGCTCGCCGCATATCCGAGATCAATGACCGTGTCAAGCGTAGTGTTTGCGCTGGGCGGCATATCTCTAAATGTACCAGTTCCGGAAATGCCAGTGGCGCCAAAGCGCGTCTTGCGATCCAGCTGCTGCCAGATCCACCAGACGCGGTCAATCTGGGCGTGGTGCAGGTAGAACAGAGGGTCGCCGGGGGAGACGAAGAAGTCACGGCCCGGGTCGCCGCCCATGCTGTAGTGGCCGCCGCCGTGGACGCCGAGGTCCGGGGTGCCAGGCCAGCCCTGCATGGTCATTTGGAAGTTCCAGATGTTGTTGTTTTGCAGGATGAGGCTGGCGATGGAGGTGGCGTTTGCCCATTTTTTGTTGCAGTAGTCGGTCAGGTCGCGCTTGAGGCAGCGGGGGTTGTAGGAGCGGCCGTCGCCGTTGGAGATTGTGGTGCCGTTTGTTAGGTCGAGGCTTGTGGGGCCGAGATTGACTTCTGTTGAGGTTGTAAGTTATGTGTGTTGTAAAGAGGAGGTGAAAGGAAGACTACTTACTCATGTTTTTGAAAGGTCCGCTCTTGACGCAGCCACCGCCTGTGCCGGGCGGAAGACGAATCTCGGGTGGTCCAGTGCCGGCGATGACGACTTCGCCTTGGTTGGGGATGGCCTCACCGTTGCCGGACATGGAGTATTCTGAGCCGTCGAGCATGGCGGACTTTTCCAGGCCGCTCTGCGCGGTTAGGGCCCAATTCCAGTAGGGCTGGTAGCCCTTGTAGCCGCACTCATTGCGGAGGGCTTGCTCGTAGTGCCAGGTAAAGTAGCGGTGCCAGGCGAGGAAGGTGCCCGTGTAGTGGATGAAAAGAGTCTGGTCAATGTGGTTTGCGACAAAGTCATCGAATCGGGATCGGACTCCTGCTGCGAACGAAGCGGGTGTCTTGCCAGTCTTTGCCTGCAGACACAGGACTGCGTCTGTGTAGGCCTTGCGTTCCGTCTTGGACAAATCGTTCCATTCGCGGCGAATGGCTACGGTTTTGGCATTGCAAGTGCCCCGTTTGGCATTGTTGCCTTCTAGCGCAGCCCTGACCTGCTCTTCTGCGAAGGAAGCAAGCTGGTCGATTTGCTGGCTGGCGATGGCAGGATCACTCGAGGCTTCAGTAGGTAATGAGGGATCATTCTGTGGCGCTGGTAGTGCGTTTGACACCGTTCCAGCAGCAAGGAGGAGCGCTAGAGTGTTGAAACGCATCTTGTCCTGCAGCTCACGGAGAATTAGGCTTAGGCAAAGAAAGACGAGTGATAAAAAAGCAAAGCGGTGCCGCCAAAAAAGAAGCAGACAGGTTTGTAAGGATATATAGTTAAAAGAAAGCAGTGCCTCACTCAAGGGTTACTCTGATAATTTGGGCGTCCAATGCTCAAGTGCCGGGATTGGGGGCGACAGATACCGAAAGCCACATTAACCATACTCCAATCGTATACTCGACCGCGGCTAGGCTGCGGCGCAGGACAACTTCAAAGCCCATTAGGGCTTACGTCGAGGCCATGCGGCAGCGTAAACCAATGACAGGCAAGACCCTGGAGCATAATCTTTCTTCTAGTTCAGGCAGGATGGCCTAGTAGTGAGTATTTTGGGAAGCCAGGATCATACATCTAAGATTGAGTCAATGGGCTATCCTTACACGAGCCTGTCCACCGCGAACTATAGCATAGTCCCAAGCCTGTAGTTGGGGAAACAAGTGGCTATTGAGATCGGATAGAAACTCCCGAGGTTCTGGACGAACACTACTGGGCCTGGCGTCGTGCAATGGCGATTCAGCTGAAGCCGACGGCCCCATCACCCCATAGCCCCCCCATGGTCGCTTAGATAGATGGGCGCGGGATCTGTCAGTCGTGCTATCGTTCCCGCTGAACACATGTGTTTGCGCGAGTAATGGGTGAGAAATCGATATGTTGTTCTGCCGTCTGGAGAGCGGACTACGGACTTCTTCAACTCGGCCACGCCTGCATTGACGTATCTTCGAGACCTGGCTCATGTCCCTGGCTCAGCTGCTGCAAGTGTCCACGTGAAAGCTGCAATCCTTGAGCAGCAATCGTCGGGTGACTTGGCAATATTGCTGTGCCTGCCGGTTCCAAAACGGAGTCTTGATCTTTTTGCCAGCTCTTGCATTTCTTGCGGTCCAGAAAAGCGTCTTTACGAGAATACAGATCCTTCGAGGTTTTGATTGACCGGTTTGGGCCTGGTGTCGACGGAGTACAATGCGTGGCGCATAGTAAAAAGGAAGCCATGTCCGCTGGCTGTTATTAGTTGGCGCACGGTTAAACCCTGCCAAGTGCCGCGTCCCGTACTGCCGGCTCCCCGTCCTGCATCCTCCCCCCTCCCCCTCGCCTTCGCACAGACGTTTTATGGCGCAACCAAGACGTCTTGTCCTACTGGATAATCTTGACTTGCATTCATGCCCAAGGTCAAAGGTCTTCTATTGGCTATCGCGTACTCGTCAAGCCTTGTTGAAACCTGTGTGCCGCCTTCGCACAGAAAATCAGGCCAACCACCACGATATTAACCGGTACCATGACAGCTGGAAACTTCCTTCATTACCCTCCGAGGACGCCTTCTTCCTGTCCCTCTCCCGTCCCGCGAGATGCTCGCTTTTCTTTCGACATGTTGTTGCGATAGGTACCAAGCACATATGCGAACAGATTTGCTGAATGTCTGGTTACTGGCATACACATGTACCATGTAAACACATGCTTACTGGGATTACATGCAGTATGCGGGGTATAAAGTGCCGTCCTGTAGACCTCAGCACATGTGCCATCCTGCTTGACATCTGGGCTGGCTACTCTCGCCGAATATTGACCGCGTCAATACCGCGAGGTGATCCAGGATTTTTCCTGGAGGATTCTCATGCCTAGTTTCGAATAAGTACATGCGTGCACTACCGAGTCCGAACTGCGGCCCATCACACTTCCTCTCACGTAATTTCGCCGTTTATTGATGGACTGATTGCCATTCCCGCGGCGGATTCCGGCTGGATCGGCAGCGATGACATCCCGTACGGCTTCACGACCCACGTGGAGAGTGGCACAGTAAGCTGTAAGTAGAATGCAAATCGGTTCCAGGAACATGTCACCCCCTCCATCTCAAACTGTTGTGTGGGGCAAGACAACCAGATCGTGAACTTTTGCTTTCCTTTTTGCTTCAATCCTGTACAACATCTCTGCAGTTCATGTGATGAGTATTTGCATCCTTGACATCGTGGCAATACCGTCGCAAGTGCCGATCCTTTCTGGCAACTTGTTGATCGCGAACTTTACCGCACTCGGACATCGCTACGAGAATCGATTGACCAGCTGCTCGCATGGACCCTGGGGGTTGATGTCGTGCATACATAGCATATACTTGATCAAACGCATCTGGATGCTCGGCGGAGCATCCGTCTCAAGCAGGTCCTGCTAGATGAACACCTTCTTGTATGCAGGGCTAACCCAAATACCTTCAAGTCCGTTCCCAGCAGCCCGTAAGTGGCAATTGCAGTAGATGGCGACTGGTTTCCCATTAGCCGGGCCCAAGTACACCTACCGCATCAAAGCAGGCTATTACTGACAAAACGGTACCTGTTCCCTCGACCTCCGTGTGGCGGTTTTAAGGTTCTGCAAGTCCAGTCTCAGAAGACAGTTCATCCTGTAGTCTCTCCCCCCCCCCTGATCCATGGGCTGGTCGGTTTCGGTTGGCTGCAGTCGCTTCTTAGAATGGCGGCTTGGGAGTTCTTGTAACAATTAAGAACATAGCATGCGCCTGGGTGTGAAGTATCACAAGTTCCCCTATCCAGCACATACGTTTCCTTGACCATGATTCAACGCGCCGAAATGGCAGCAGTACGGCCAGATGAGAATCAAGGGCCTACTATCCTAGGGACTACTTTGTCGGTTTTCATCCTGGCAGTGATGACCACGATAGCGAGACTCTATGTTCGCATTCGGATGATCCGCAATGTGGGGTGGGATGTGAGTGTTTTCAACAACACTGCGGCTCGACAGTTGCTGATGTTTCCGCCCCTTTAGGACTATACTATGATTTTGTCAATGGTCTTGGTATGTTCATCCACACGCCTTTCTCGCACAATCACTGATTAACAAAAACAAAGTGTATTGCGGGCCAATGCGTAATCATACCGCAGGTCTACTATGGCGCAGGACGACACATCGAGTACATCGACCCCAAAGACTTTTCACAAGCAATGAAGTTGAACTTTATATCGCAACCGATATATCTATTCGCCATCTGTTTTGTCAAGATCTCTGTGGGCTTCTTCCTTTTGAGGATTGCAGTCAGACCCTTTTTCCGGCGTCTCATCATGGGAATTATGAGTGAGTTGACATGGCCTCTTCCCAAGCACTACCTACAACCCTTTACTAACCTACACTAGTATTCATGGGCGTCTACACGTTTGGCTGCGTTCTAACTGTCTTCCTGCAATGTAGCGATGTTCGCATGATGTGGGATCTAACAGTAAAAGGCACATGCTGGACCGTAACGCAAATCAAAATCCTCGGATACCTCAACACCGTCCTCAACATGATTACCGATCTTGCCTTCTCCGTCGGCATACCCGTAAGTCGTTCTCCAACCCGACTACCAGCAATCACTATTTTAACACTTTACCCCCCCAACCCACAGATCCCGATGCTCTGGGGCGTGCAAATGAACCGCCGCCACAAAGCCTCCCTAATCTGCATCCTGGGCCTCGGCCTCTTCGCCACAGCCGCCTCAATGATCAAGCTCTCCTACATCGGCAACTACGGGCGCGCGGGGGACCTAATGTGGGATTCACGCAACCTGACCATCTGGACCGTCCAAGAATGCAACGTGGGCATGGTTGCCGGCAACCTGCCCTGTCTCAAACCGCTCTTCCGCTCCATCCTCGTCTCCACGTACGGCAAAGGCTCACGCAAGACCAGCCAGCCAAAGTACCTCTCAGACGCGTACGCAGCAGGCACAAAGGAGCGCTCCACGAACAAAAGCTACGGCCCACTCGGCTCACCCAAGCTGCACGATCGCGGCTTTTTCGACGCACCAGACGCCCCCGTCGCCCATGATGCCTTGGGGAAATCGTACATGCTCACCACCATCGATGCTACCCATGCACACCAAACAACAAGAGATGCTGCCGCCGCCCCGTCTGTCAGTTCCTCCGGTAGAAGCTCGCCCGCCGCTGTCGCGGGCGATGCGCGAAGTAGCACTGAGAGCTTTGCGAGACTGCATCGCCATCAATCTATCCATGGCCGCGGCGTCGCCGCCGGCCCGCAGGAGTTGGGCAATATTACAGTGACGACAGAGGTCAATGTGAGTGAATCTGTGCAGTCGCCGTTGAAGGATCCAAAGGTTGCGCAGTTGAAGGCAAAGGATATGGTGTAAGATTACAGAAGAAACAGACGTTTTTTCTCTTCTACCTATGAGAGAGTTTGTGTGCTTGTGTGTGTGTATGTGTGGGCTGTGTGGTTTCATGATTACGCTTTAATGGGTCTTTTTTTTTCCGACATGTATTATCGCTGGCGAGAACGAAAGGGACTTCTCGTCACGTGTGCCTTTTCGGTATTGTTTTTTTGTTTAGTTCTATACCTTTTTGATTATTATCTCTTTTGTATCAACTCCTAATATATTCGCACTCGTATTCTCCCATGTAGCTTGGCAGCCTTGTTTTCTTTTCTTGTTTTGCTTCTTTTCGGTATCGAGATGGTGGCGCGATTGCAGTTGCAAAAGGCGCAGTCCAGACTGGAGGGGGGGAGGGCGCATCAGGGGGATCAAAGCACAGAGGCACGTTCAAGGTAGAAAGCGTACAAAGTGGTGATTATAAAAGAATAGTTGACTATGTGAAAAGGAAATATCTACAGTGATCGACTCAGCGGAGTCGTAGAAACGTTTGGTATCTGACAAAGGAAAATTTTCGAAGCGCTGTTGAGCTGCTGATTGGGGGTTGGGTATATGGTCTATGTGGTGTTCATCGCCGGTGGCCTCATCTACGCATCCGTTGAGCCTGCCAACGACAACGTGTACTAAGTCTATCACTCTCTCTCTCTTGGCCCACTGAGTCCCCGAGCGTTCTTAGTCTTTTGCTTCTGCTGCGGCTGGTGTGGCTGGCAACGAGCTTTGTGACACGCAAGAGGGGGTTGGGGGTGGTCTTGTTCTCATCTTCTCTTTTTTTCTTCGCTCCTTTGGGTGAAACTGGCTTACAAGTGTCGCAACTAGAGTCCAAGTGTTCTGTCTAATAGGTCCCGAGTAAATTGTTTGGGTTGAATACTCGGGAGGTGGCGCAGTGGCGCCGGCGCCGGCGCTGCGTCATTCGGCTTGATGCAGCTGAGACGAAGCGGATGCGCGTTTGTGGCTTTCACGGAGAAAGTCAGGTGAGTTAAAAAAAGCCCACGGAAATTAGCGCGAGCCAGACTGTGACGACGCCCTCACTTGGTCGAGTCGTCGTGATGGTCAGCAGTTGATGTTGGCAAGACAATCTCGTAATTTTGGTCGTTGGCGGTGCGGTTCTGGCTGTTTGTCTCCCAGCACCAGGTCTCACGCCACATGCTGGAAAGCTGTCGGCGGTTGCCTTGGGCGGCGATTTCTTCTTCGTCGGGCTGCTCTTGGATCACGTGAATCTTGATTTCGGGCTCATCGGAAGAGGGCAGGCTCTCGAGAGATGCAGCAGATAGCTTGCGGAAGCGATGGACCTCGGCATCCATGGGCTTGTCGAGCCAATCATCCATGTCCTCGTCGGACATTTCGCTGCGAGAGCTCTTTGAAGAGGACCATGAATAGGAGCTTTGCGGGGTTTGAGGTGGCGAGGTGGATGGGGCTTGGTTGATGGTTGATTCGTAGGTAGCTTGCTTCCAGTGGACGTAGGTTTGCATGCCTTGGACAAACTCTCTGCTGGTTTTGCGGTCCATGGGGGCAAGGAACTGCTGGATGGGAAAGAAGCTTCCTTCCATTGGCGAGGTTGGGGGCGAAAGGACAGCACAAGAGACTGGTCGGTCAAGCTCGGTGTGCTTGGTCACGTCGGGAAAGTAGTCGCGGTCAAAGTCCGGGGTAGAAAGAAGGGAGACAGTGGAGACTCGTGAACGGTCGGTCGACAGCCTGAGGAGGGATGCAGAGTCGTCGACCTTGAGGGAGCGCATGCGAGAGATGAGGTGGTCGGGGGTATTGAGGCGCTGGAAGAAGGACTTCTTGGGCCGGAGAACGTGGGGCCGCAAGTCGTCATAGGGAAGGGCAATGGTGGTGGTCATGTTGGCTTGCTGGCTAGTGTGTGGAGTGGCGGAGAGTCGACGACAAGATGGTGTGCAGGTGATGGGCGGTGTTTATGTTTGTGGGAGCATATTAGGCTTGCTTTTTTGTTGTTGTGATGTTGTTTTGTGGACGGGAACGACGGGGCGTACTGGATACAAATGGGCCTGGCTGCGCGTTTCGGGACAGCTAGGGGAAACTAGCAAAAGCAAGGCGGGGCAATAGTCTTCGTCAGCCCAGCTGAGAAAAACGCTTGATCCATGCAGTCGAGGGTTGGGTTTAATCAGACTGCAAACCCCCGACGACGTGCTGATTGGCCGTGCCACGCTTCTTGGGCCGCCGAGTCGTTCCATGGGCCATCCGGTAAGTGTTCGCATTCGGGGGCCAGGGCGATGACCTCAACCTCTCTGCTCGGCCTCCGGCATACGGCTGCTCGCCTACCCTGCCGTGCATGTGTTTCCATGTCCATGTACTTACTACATAGTAGTACACATGCATCTGCCACCACCACCACAACCATCATCATCAGTACATGCTGTCTGCGGCAAAAGCAGCCACCCACTCGCCCAACTGTAGACGTGCAGACTCGACATGGTGGCCCGCCCCAGTGCATCGTGCAGCGCTTGTCTTGCCACACGTGTAACATGCACACGTCCTGGTTACCACTACAACCTGCTCTCTTACAAACGACGGATCCCAAAACACGACAGCCGGGATGCCTTGGAATGAAGGGGTGGAGAGCATCATTAACCGCCACGTTCCAGACCACGCTCCCCCATCCTCGATCCACAGCACGTGCCAAGTTTCCCGAGTGCGTGCGGATATGCCGTTGGACAGGCCGACAAGGTGAAGCCCGGCTGTGTGCTAGAGGCTGCTAGCAAATCAGTCGATCCATCAACTGCCCGTTATTGGAAACCGGTCCGAAACTCTGTCTGCCCATTAGCAAATTCTGCGTCTGGCAATCAAAACACCTGCACCTTTTTTTCTCCATCCCCTCAGTTCACTTTGGCCCTGCTTGAACGTCGTCTGTGCGCCCACGTTTCGTGAGAATTACGCAGCGCTCCACAGTTGTGTCCAGTATTTTCACCCTGTGCATCCATCCTCTGGTCTAGGCCCGATGCAGATCAAACCCCCCTTTCCGCTCTAACAAGAATAATTTTGTCAAACTCTACATACGTACTTGCGTACATACCCAGGCGCTCGTGACGCAGTGTCTCAGCCGCCACGACTTCGTCTTGTAGGATGAAGCCGGTGGAATCCAGCCGCCCAAATCCTCCAAGTCTTACTACTGATCTACCGGCACCGTCTTGCTTGTGATGACCCGCGTACGGCCTGATCGCCAACCATAGTAGATCGGCGCAAGACAACCTCCCACACGGGCTAGACTACATCTCGGTTCATGCCCAAAGCTAGTACTGCGCATCTCCTTGTACCCGACGCTGCGGCATTTCGTCGTCGTCGTTTCTTTTTTTTTTGCGCAGAGTCAAGTGGCTTGTACACAGCAGCTGGCAGCGACAAGCCTCGCTGTGCGCCCCTTACCACGACCATGGCCATGTCCCACCTCGCACCAAATCCTCAACTGCAACAACCAATCTGGGCCTCTGAGACGTACGCAGATTGTCCGTCAACCTGTCCGGCAGGCGCACGCGGACCTCGGGATACTTGTCGCGAGGACCGTTGCTACACTCCGTCGTCCTAACGAGCGCGGCACCGGCTACTTACGCCAATCTACAGGGAAGCCATGCCCGCTACCGCGCACCCGGACGTACCAGGCCGCATGCCTGACTAGCTGTCGGAAATTCGATGACGACACATGCACTCTCCGGGGACTTGGGGTACGCTTCATTTTGGGAACATGCCGTTAACCGTACTTTTTTCGAAGCTTTTGCGAACAAGTCCCTTTTCTCCTAGTCGTCGCCGAACACAATTGTTTTTTCTGGCTCACACCAGCCTCGCCCTTGGGACTGATAGTGGCGTTGCACGAGGCGCTGCACCATAGTTGCCCAACAATATTAGTCGGGCCGTGTCACGAGCGCTTGTGTCCTGTTGTTTCATGCCAGGCCAGAGAGAAGCATGGTGAAGTTTGGCTCCAAATATCGAATTTCCACGTCGAGGCTGCTGGGCCAAACTTTACTCGGCCATCCATTGGTCAACGCTGCCTGTGCCCTGAAATTTGCTTCACTTGCGCAAACTTCTCTCCCGTCAGCGGGCTGCTAGGGTGCTATTCAACAGGCCGTGGCATCGATGAACTGTTTTCCGCTTACCAAAGCACTCAACGCCCACACACTGCGCACAATCTCTTTGTTGAGACGCACATTCTGTGCAGGGTTCGGGGGCACGGGTTTTCATCAGCACATCTCGGGTACCTGAGGCCAAGGCGGGAGGGTGAATGCTCGTTCCGACGTCTTTAATCAGAAAGTCGCATCCCCTGTGTGAGCGACACTCAAGTTCACATGTATACAAAACGACCAGGGCATTTCAGAAACGCCCTCTCAAAATTAGTGTCACTTTGACAGAAAGCCAAACCATACAAACTCGCCTTTCCCACTACTTACTTACTAGTAGCCGCACGGCCCCGTCACACACCCACACATGGCCGCAGGTAACGCGTTCGGTGTGAGTACACAAGCAGCAGGGATATTGCCAGACACAGCACCTGTCGCAGCCCCAGCTTTTCGACTCTGATGTCCGGACGACGCGGACAAAGGCGTTGCGTAGGAAACGGGGCTTTGCACAGCTTCACACAGCCCACGCAAGCTAGTCAGCGTCATTAACACATGGTCTCTCTCTGTCCAACGTCCCTCGCTGACAAGCAAGGAACGCCCTAATAACTACATGATGACTCCAACTCGCCCATATACCCTGAATAAGTAACCGGGTAGCACTCACGGCGCAACAATCCCCCCTTTTCTTTCTAGAACGCCTTACATGCCTAAGTACAGTTGCGCACTGCACGTACCTACTTGGCCATGACAGCCAAGGTTGTTCTAGCCACTTACATCTCAGTCAGCAAGTTGCACTACTTTCTTACCTTTCTTGATCATCTTCGCAGGCGGCGATTAGGAGAATATTACCAACAAAAATAGGCCCAAGTACACACCCGACTTTTGCCGCTTCGCGCTGTGGGGTGCCGCCTGTTGCACTGCACATCAAAATTGTCGTTATCGAGCGGCGAGTTCTTAAGTGATTGATGGTAGCTGCAAATACGACAGGTGCACCACCGCTGTAGTTTGAATGGTTTCCAGTGCATAGCCGCCGCTAGCGGGTTGCGCGACGTGGGACTGAGCATGTAAGAATGCGGGACGAGTAACGTCTAATTTAATAATAGGGTACGTACGCAAGGAGGGTTTGCACAACGAGGAGTTGGGTAAAGGCATTATTCCTTTTTTTTGACAGAGCAGATCTTTCCTATGTGCTTGTTTGGTACATAGGTGTGAACCGATGGGTAGATCCGTAACGATGTGTCTACTATATTTACCGCTTAACTTTCGCACCTGGCGAATCATATCGCGTGCCTCCAAAGTATCTTTGGATGCCGTCAACTTTATGGCTGGATAAAAAAAAGAACTTTGCTTTACATATAAGCTTTGTCACATTGTTTTCATAAATCACTTTACATCGTCTTGAAAAATACTGGTGCGGAAGTTCATAGTGAGGAATTAGGTATAGGTATGCGCATCACTGTGTGGCTTTTGGGATGCATATGAGGCAGATTTAGTGGCACATCTGTTGAAACCCCTTAAGAACAACTTCAGATATGCTTCTAACCATGTCAAATATAAAGCAGAAGATCCTATGTATACACTGATCAGCAGTTTCACTATACACGTCTTCAAAGTCACAGCTGCCTTACTGCTTCTAGGTTCCAGTAGTCTCTCCACCGCGGAACAACCCGGCAATGACACTCGTCTTAACCGAAGGAGCTCTCTTGACAACTCTGTACATTCGGCTACAATGCGAGTTGTCTTCGTTGGACAAGAGAAAAGAACACTAATGGACATAAGGCGGTACAAAGTATCGGGGGACTTGCCGGGAAAATATGTAGTAATCCTGCATATCACAAATGGCATTACGCAGCCAAGTAGCTACGTGGTCTAGACAGTATTACATATAGTTAGTCGTAAGAAACATCCAACTGCGATCCTCAGCGATCCATCTTGTTAGTCAAAAGACTACGGGCATCTGCTCTACATCATCTTGCGTTCTCAACATTTTCCCACATTATCAAGTCCACTAACGAGACTTTGGTTTGGTAAATTATAAATAGCATAGTAGAAAGGCTACAGAAAGCGAAAAAGCAAAATAGTGTTAAGAGGGATCGCGATGATACATGCCAGTGTAAGAATAGACTGTCACAAACGATCTTCCCACACCACAACCACATCTTCATCTTGGCAACTCCTATCCAAACCCTCAACCTCCCCCTTCTCGCACAACACTCGCATCAACCACATGCCAAGTCACCCTTGTAAGCCCTATTCCCGCACAAACCCCCCTTTCCCATCCTCTCCTCACTTTCCCCGACACGGCACCCCAACGGCACAAAAGCTACACACACACACACACACACACACACACACACTTACCACATACCTACGTACATGGCTTGTAAAGTACCTTCCCAACCTCCCACCACCCCCATAAGCAACTATGCCAAACACACATTACAACCCGGGGGGGGGACGGAAACCAACCCACGCGTTCCCTCCCCCTTCCCCGAACACGAACGGCCCTCGAAACCGTTGAGCGACGTGGGGCGGGTCGCGTAAACCAACCAACCAACCAATAAAAGCCACAACAATACTTACTACTAAGGCGCAACGTCGGTAACAACGCACCGCGACTCGCTCTTGCGTCCTGCGATCGCGAAGCTCGAGTATTGCGCGTTTTGCTCCAAATGAACAGCGGCGCAATGAGTACGGCCGAACCCGTCGTACGGTACTTACACCACACGGGGGCTTTTGGACACGCGTTTAAAGAAAAAAGACCCTTGCCACGTTGATGTTCTGTTTTATTGTCGTGATATTGAAACTTAGGACCCGGAAAACAAAATAGGTGATGCGATTTATTAGCGACTAGATTTTATGGGCAAGGAAGTTTGTATTGTTTTGTTTCGTAAGTTGTTCAGATTATTTTTTGGGGGGGGGGAGAGAGAGGCCGAGCCGGGGGAAATAAGATCGGCAGTTTATGGGGTACTTGGGGTTGTGTGAGTGGTAGGTTATCACATGATATTATTTTTCTAGTCTGGTTACAGAGTTATTTGCGAGGTTTGCGAAACAATGGTTTGGGGGACAGGGTTCGTTGGGTGAGGTTTGTTTAGCGAGGGATGAGTGAGGGAGAGAGAGAGAGTCGTGGGCAATGGCATGAGTCGTAGCCGAGGTTCGGGGATTGCGAGTCAATGGGCATACTATGGTGGTCGCTCGGGGGCGAGTTGGAGACGTGCTTGTGTAATCGGCGTGTTGCTCATGGAGGGAAATTCTGGGCGCGGAGTTTCTTGTGTGGAGTTGGGCAGGTAAAAACAGAAAGTTCAACCCGTTGTGGGCTTTGCGATGCAGATTTCTGCAGCGATGCCTTGCGGTGGAGTTTGTTTGAATATTTTTCGTCATTTAGTGTTTGAGTTCATCAACGGAATGACGAATTTGGATAGTGAGAACGGCATCTTGCGTGTTGGGGTCCACATACTTTTGCTCAGAGTTTTTTTTGCTGCGACTGCAGCATGTGATGAAGGATGTTGGAGTCGCCCCACAGCCCAGGTCCACGATGCCCACTGTGATCGAGCTCATGCAAGAATTCCGGTGTGACACGTGACAGATGGGTACTTTGAGACTATCATTTTTGTTTGCCTAGGTTGGTAAGACCGCCGAGGTAGGATGTGGTTCCTTTGGCGTAAAGTCGCGTAACTGTGAAAGGTGACGGTGTGGTGTCCTGTTTTTCGTTTCTTCGGATGGAAGCAAAGTGAAAAGGCTATTCTGCTCTCACAATAATTTGTATGTGCATGCTGACAATATCGCAATACCAATAGTGCCGAGTTCGCAGATTCCATGTCCGAGTGCAGATGGTCATTTATGATATGCTTTGTCTTGAACCTAATATCGTGGGTTCGGACATTGCTCGTCGTATTTTTCTGTTTTTCCAAACCTGACACTCCTTGAATCTATCGTCGCATCTTCTGGTGATGATGCGACAAGATCCTACTCCACTGCAATTCTTCAGTCTCGTGTTGTGTATGTGGAGTCGTTGAGGCGCGTAAAGAGACCATTGCATACGAAGCGCAAACTGCACAACACTGCTGCAATGATCTCCCACACTGGTAATCTCCCTTAGCAAACCTGCAATTTCTTCCTACTTTTAGCCTAACCATGAAACGGGCTCGCTCTCAATACCCTCTTTTAATTTTACTCATCGATTTCTCTCTTCATCTTTGCTGCGATGCGTTCGACCGTATCTTTAATAACAAGTGTTTATTCGATGTATTGACTACACTGGGAGTCGTTGTCCAGCATCGTCAAGACCCCGACATAGTGCACCCTTTCAAGTAGTACTGCAAAGGTTAATAAAAACACCTAGAATATGCGTCTTAGAATCAGCACTATCAATCCATGAATCCAGTTGTCTCATCCATAATGGCAGCAAAACGTTTAGTCTCACGATGCTTCCCACTAGTAATTGGAGGGAATTGAGACATTTTGACTCGAAATTCATCAGATCGCCTGATCGCTGGCGCAAGATTTCTGTGATCTTGTTAGCTTAAATGTCGTCTTTAGGAAAGCTCAGCGTACGTGACATCGCCGCGAATGAGGTAGTTGTTTCGTTCCATGGCGACAGCAAGCTCTTCTTGGTGGTTATCAAGTAGACCAGTGTTGGGCACGACTACAAGTGGGGTTTGATATCGGAGGGCTTCCAGAATTGAGCCAGAGCCTAGGAGAATTAGTCTATGACTGTGTCTACTTAATATATGCACTCAGTACCAGCATGTGAGATGACCAAGCCTTTGGACCTCTGGACAAGCTGGAACTGTGCTTGGAGTCCATCTGGGCTGAAATCGATCCCATCTACGATCAAGACTCGCTGTTCTTGGCTGCTTTGCAAGTGGGCGCGAGCATCGGCAGAGCATTTTGTATAGACATCCCTAGCTGATCCATATTGGACCAGAAGATGTGTGAATCCACCTTGTCGTAAAGCATCCAAGCTTGAGGGACTGAGTATAGATTCAATCAGGGCAGTGAAGGGAGCGGTGGCTCCAGTAGTGACGAAGCAGAGTTTTGACTCAGGTGTCCATTTCCAGGTGTCGGCCATGGTGACGACAAAGTAGCGTTAGATTACTGGTATCAGGCTTTCCTGGTGTAAGTATTATCCAAAATACAGACCAACGATGCGTTAAAGTCGACAATCAAAACATGCGGGGGGCACAGTAGCCATGAAAGCGGAGGTCGGGCTGTCTTCGCTTCAATTGGTCCGGCGCGCGGTGGCACTTTGCTTCCACTACTGCCAAGCAATCCCGCATCGCGAAAAGTCGACGACGGCATCACCATCGACCCGCACCCAATGGCGTCGACAACACGAAGGCTGCTCTTGCAGTCAAGGCAATGCCCGTCGCGGATACGGCCTCGAGCAGCACCAAAGCACACGACCACACAATGGCAGCGCCCGCTGTCCACAACACCTCGACGATATGCCAATGAGCCCACTAAAGAGGGCTCTGCCACTTCGGCAAACGCAAAGCCGCCGACGGAAACTCTCAATGAACTCAGCCCAGAATTGAACTTTTCAAATACTACTCCCACGAAAGATTTCAAGGAAATGTCCCAGGCTGAGCGTGACACAGCCATGTTAGACAATCTCCGGGCTTCACTCGCAGAAATCGATCCAAGCGTTGTCGCCGACGCTCTTCGCAAAGGAAAGCGCGGACTACCTCAGACGCAAGACTTTGGCCTGGAAACAGACGAGGACTTTGAAATTGAAGAGGATGACAAGAGGAAAGCGTCAATGGGATTCTGGGCCGAAGGAGAAGAGAGCATGGGTCCGGATGAGGATTACTACGGCGATGACCTGACGAGCCACGGCCACGGCGAATTACAGCAGCACAGGGAACTGAGGGAGTACGCTCGATTGATAGCCTGGGAGCTCCCACTTCTAAGTCGTACGTCACTTTTACTCCTAAATCCATACTTGATACTAATCAAGCAACCCCCCAGATCTCGCCCAACCCTTCACCCCACCAACATCAGCAACCCCATTCCGCTTCCGCTATACTTCCTACCTTGGCGAATCACATCCCGCCGCGAACAAAGTCGTCGTCGAATTTTCCCCCTCGGACCTCACCCAATCATACTCTCTAACTGCCCCCCAAATCTCCAAGCTCATCAAGCTAGCCGGCCCCCGCTACAACCCCTCCACAAATATTATCAAGCTTTCTTGCGAAAAATTCGACACGCAGCCGCAAAACAAGCGTTTCCTCGGCGAAACCATCTCTTCCTTGATCGCCGAAGCCAAGGATTCAAAGGACATGTTCGACGATGTGCCATTTGACTTTCGCCATCATACCCCCAAGAAGAGGCATGAATTCCCCAAGGAATGGATCTTGACGGAGGAGCGGAAAAAGTACCTCGAGGAGAAGAGACGCCAAGTTGCGTATCTGGAGGATCAGCGCGCGGGCAATGGCGAGTTGGTGGATGGAAAGAGGATTGTGGAGACGAGTTTGCCGTTTACAGACGAGGCGGAGCGAGTGATGGTTGGGGTGGGCGCGGTGAGGAAGCAAGTCAGGTAGTTCGAGGTGAGGGTTGATGGACTTGAGGAAGCAGTGTATACAATACTACCATGTACTACATTTTGTAAAGACAAAAAAAACATTGCAATTGACAAAACTTGTTCATTCTCACGTGTATTATTTCCCTTCTCTCTTTTCCTCCTTATTTCGCAAACTACGGGGCGCCGTGGCGCACTTGTGTTACATGTGATGATGCCCAGAGGGCAATCATGATAAGCAAAATACGACTTAGACTCGTGTTTTTTTTTTCGACCCAATCCAGGGGGCGGATAGAGAATGATCATGATTACAAAAGTATGTGTTTGTGTGTGTGTTTGACGATGTAATTTGCGTCCTCCCTCGTCCTTCCCCCTCTTTCACGAGAAAGAAAAAAGGGCATGGAGACAAAAGGATGGAGTTGGAAAAAAAAAAGCTCGTATGGACCGGAATGTGGTACAGGGTAGTTATGTGTCTCTTGCATGAGCAATGAGCAAAAAAAAGGGGGAAACAGGTTAAAAAAAGAAGAGACCAATGGGTATATCTAAACCCTGCAACACCTTGAGTGGAAGACTCGAGAAAAAAAACGCCAATGACGCCCCCATCCCATTGTTGCTAAATGGCACTGTACTTGTACACGGATTTTGAAAAGGAAAAAAGAAGGTGGTGTTTGAGTACTGTCCTCGAGACAGGCTCGCCTTGCTGGAAACAGTCGTTGGTCGATTCAACTTGGCGCAGAGTAGTAACACTCAATGTCCAATACACAGCGTTAATAGCTGGCTCAGCCAACTGGTCCAGTACTTGGGCGTGTCTTCTTCCTGCCCTTGGGCGCCGGCGTGTCACCTTCTTCGCGTTTGCGTTTGGTGGGTCGACTGCTCCCGCCCTTGGGCCGGTAAGCTGTGTCGTCGTCTCCGCCACCAGTCTTCCGCCGTCCCTTTGCAGTCTCTGGCGCGGCTGAGTCTTCGTCATCGTGGTGGTCGCGTGGACCTGGGGTACCTATGGCTGACTCTCGTTTGGCCTTTGCACTCGCCTTTGTTGCCTTGGGGGCTGCCGACTTCTCTGAGAGGTTCTCGTGGTGTGCGCCATCCTTGTCCTGCAGGAAGACTTGGGGCTGGTGCTTACGCAGCCAGTTGTAGACGCTGTCGGGATTGCGAACAGTGAGGTCTTTTTCGCTGAGAGGTGGCTGAGCTGAGGCGAGGCGGATGGGACGGCCGTGCTGCAGGGACTGGTCGAAGCCGGGCTGCTCGAGAAGTTGATCGGTGGCCAGCAGGTACTCGTCCTCGTGGGTGGGCGACATGTAGCCGGGAGCATGCTCGCTGAGGTCGATGCCGGGGACTGGGTGTTGGGCAAAGTCCTGGCGTGTGGTATGAGGGACTTTATGCTCGAGGCTGGCGAGCGACTTGAGCGTGTGGTGTATTGACTGCGACGAGTGCAGTTGGTCGGCGCGCGTGGCATACTGCTCAGGCGTGATGATTCCGCGGGTGAGGTCGTCTCTCAGGGCCTGCAGCTGCTGCTTGATGACTTGGGGACCAGGGCCCGACTCGAGTGAAGGCACGGCGGTGTCTGCGGGGGACAGGCTGCACAGGTCGAAGCGCAAGCGGGGACTGACGCGCGTCTGGTCGTTGAGCTCGAGGAGGATATCCAGCAGCTGTTCGTTGTTCTCTTGGAGGCGGCGCGCCGTCCCCATGGCCTTCCACTCGTGCTTGATGAGGTTGTCGCTCTCCGTCATAGCCTCGTCGAACTTGATGCGCATCTTGCGATACTTGCGTCTTTGAGAGCATGGTTAGCTGATGGGTCCTCGATGTGCGATGGCGCGTCCTTTACCTCCACGATCGCTTGACGGGCTTGTGTGTAGCATCGGCGGCGTCGGTCTGATGTTGCTCCTGCACGGGATTGGTGGCGGTGGTAGTCGTGGTAGCAGTGGCCGCAGTGGCCGCAGTGGTGTCATTGGCGTCGCTGGCCGCAGCGGGTGGATGGGAAGCCATGGTGGGCGGCGGGTTGGGGATGGGGGAGGTGAAGGAGAGGCGGGAGATGGGCGGTGCTGGGCGAGGGCTGGTGGGCGACGAGGGCGCGTGTGTTCTAGAGGGCCATGGTTGCGCGCGGTGCACGGCCTCGGTGGTTGTGAGCAACACACGGCCTCTGGGAGCATCAGGTGGATCTGGCTCCTCCTTTACTAACTGCTACTGCTACTACTGCTGGTCACGGAGAAGCATCATTCACCCTCGCTGCCGCCATTGCCCTCCATCACCTTTGCTCTCTCCATCTCGCCACCTGCTCTCCCTGCGTCTGATCAGCCTCGCCCTGCAAGCTCGGACAAAGACCGGGAGGGTGTTGCATTGCTCCAAGACCCTGAACGTCCCGCCTGCCGCTTTGCTCCTTCTGGACCATTTCCGCCAGGTCACTACGACTGCGACCACAACCACGACAACCGCTGTCCCGACTGCTGCTGGTGCGCGTGCTTGTATTGCTACTGCGGCCACCACTCGCGTTCCTCCTCCTCCTTCTTCTTCTCGTCCTGTTGTCAAGCCGACCCGTATATCTTCACCCACGCACCGGGCCTCTGATCCGCTCAACCATCCGTTATCCACCACCCCTTCACCCTCCCCGCTCGTCCGCCCGCTACCGCTACTGCTACTACTGCATACATACATCAATACCGCCAAACTGTCGTCCATACTCCTCAACCCCACATCTCGTCTCAAGTTCGCTGGCGATCCCCGGCCCCGCCAATCGCCCTCGACGTCTGCCTACTCCAACATGTCGCTACAACCCTCAAGCTCAAAGGACGCGCGCCGCCGACGTAGCAGTAGTCTTGTCTACAAAGAACCCCCGGAGTCGCTTGAGCAGCTGAGCGACCAGTCGGCACTGCCCAATCTCAACGTCGAATGGGTCAATGCAAAGGGTGAGCCACCACAGCCATGCACAATGCGACCTCTTGGCTGACTCTCGCAGGTGCATGGGCTATCCACTTTGTCCTCATCTTCTTCGGCAAGATCTTGTTTGATATCATCCCAGGCATGTCGCAGGAAGCATCTTGGACCCTCGTCAATCTCTCGTACGTGGCCGGCTCCTACCTCATGTTCCACTACGTCCGCGGTGTCCCCTTTGACTTCAACTCGGGTGCCTACGACAACCTCAACATGTGGGAGCAGATCGACAACGGCGACCAGTATACCCCGGCCAAGAAGTTCCTTCTCAGTGTCCCCATTCTGCTGTTCCTTGTCAGCACCCACTATACCAATTATGGCTTGACATATTTCCTCATCAACTGCTTCGCCACCATAGCAGTAGTTATTCCCAAGCTGCCTTCGGTATGTTCGCCCGCTACACACACACACACACACACACTAGTCCACTAACTCGTCGACAGCTCCACAGGATACGATTCGCTTTCTTCAACAACCCTCCCGATGATGCCTAGTCGACCCCTTTCTTTTCATATCTGCATAGGTTGCATAGATTGCATAGGTTGTAATTTTGACTGTATTTTTAATACTACCCGCATTAGGCCATGGACAAATTGAGTAGCACTACCGCGCGGGCAGGCGGCGTTTGGGCACTGTAGGGGAAAAGGCGCTTTATTCATACAAAAGTAGCGGAATTCATCCTTCGCGGTTCTCCGCCAAGGTTGTGGCTGGTTCAGCCGTACATCGCATTCTACCTTGACCTCTCACCCTGGATGCTTCGTCGTGTCCGCAATGCCCCAACCAACTTGGTCAATATTTCAGCACTGTCATGCTCGACACCGTGCAGTTGGACCTGCAGTATGTGATGCCTTTTAAACGTGCATAGCGCAGTCCGAGCGCACCTTTTTTTTATTTTTTTTAGCTAACATTCGGTCAACTGCCCGTCATCCATTACGCATCATTGTTTGATTTTGAGTCCAAGATGTATGCATTAAATACAGGCGCACCCTTCCATGCTGCCACAATCCCCGGGTCAAGGTTGTCTCTCTGCATAGAGAGCCGTTTCCGGACAGCGCACCAGTCTCTTTTAGCCATTGTATCGGTCGTCTGACGTCACCAGCGCAGAGCGCCTCACCCAAGCTTCGACCTTGCAGCCTCGCAGAGTCTTTACCTCTCGCAACCCCAAATCAACTATCCTCGCCGTCTCGACTAGTATTTTCATCATGGCTTGGTCTCAGCTCGAGCCGACGGGCCCGCATGTCACATACCTAGTGCTCACCTTCTTTCTGATACTCTATGCTCTCTTCTCGCTCATGATACGCAACCGGCTCCACCTTTCGGAGCCACCACTAGCCACACTTTTCGGTATTGTGAGTATTGCACAACCGCAAGCCACACACGAGCATTTCCTGACTGCAACCAATACAGATTGTCGGACCACGTGCCCTCGGCCTTTTGAGGCCTTATGACTGGGGCTTTTCAGTACGCGAAGCAGCATCCTGTTCAGCAAGCAATTAATACTGACTACCAACAGGATGACGCGATTCAAGAAACCACCCGTCTGATTGTCGGGATCCAATGTTTTGCTGTCGGCCTAGAGCTTGAGAATCGCTATCTCGCCAAAAAGAAGTATGCGTTGCTAGCCCTGTTAGGACCAGTCATGACTTTCGGCTGGCTAATTTGCGCCCTGTTTGTTACCATTATATTTGAGACAGACTTTGTGACGGCCATGACAATTTCTGCGTGCCTTACGCCCACCGATCCCGTCCTTGCAGCCTCTGTGCTCTCCAACAGCCAGTTCAGCACACGAGTACCGAAGCGTATCAGAGATCTTCTGAGTGCAGAAAGCGGTTGCAACGATGGGGTCTCGTTTCCTTTCTTGTACATTGGCCTCAGCCTACTCCTCAAGAACACGGCCGGTGGTGTCTTGAAGAAATGGTTCCTTGTCACAATACTGTACCAGTGTGCAGTAGGTATCATAATAGGTATTGTACTAGGACACATCTTCAACCGACTCTACCGCCTCTCGCATGCACGCGAATGGATGGGCGAGGCCTCGTATCTCACTTTCTATCTTCTTGCCGCCATATTTTCAATTGGACTGGCATCAGTCCTTGGAGTAGACGATTTCCTCGTAGCCTTTTTTGCAGGCCGTGGATTCTCTCACAGACAAAAATCGCCCATGGCCGACACCGCTCTTCCTGTCATTATCGACATGATGATCAACTCGTCATTCTTTGTCTTCTTTGGCGCAATGATACCCTGGGAGAGTTTCAGCGCCTTCGACGCCATCACACCCGCTCGGCTTATTGTCTTCCTCATTCTCATCCTTCTCTTCCGCCGCATTCCAATCGTCTTCATTCTCTTCCAAGCAAAACTCTTGCCTTTTGTCAAGACGACCACGGAGGCCCTCTTTGTTGGACATTTTGGACCTATGGGTGTCGGGGCACTCTTCCTCGCCATCGAGGCGCGTGCACAGCTTGAAACTGGTACTTCTTTACCCTTGCCAAATCCACCAAACGACCTCCCGATCGAGAGGCAGAGAACCGTCACTTTGATCTGGCCAATTGTCTGCTTCGTTGTGCTCGGTAGCACAATGGTACACGGCTTCAGTACGCTTGCTGTCAGTATCGGAGGCCATTTTGCACGCAAAGAGGGCGAACGTGCTCCGCTGATAGGAGCCGAAAGCGATGGGTTACATGGAATGGTTCATGATCAAGAAGATGAAACCGAGGTTGAAGACATTGATGAGTAGGTAATTCGTTGAGACGAGCCATGTATACGCCTCGTAAAAGAGTCTGCTGTACTCGATGCAGACCATGATGGATCTGTCCGATGGCAAGTAAAAAAATGCGCGTGCAATCATAGTCTAGATCTGCTGCATCAGATTGTAATTGCGGGCTGATAACGATATGAAGTAATGGAACAGTGTCAGTATCCACTGTTGACTGAAGCCCTTTTCGGAGATGATCGCCTCACCGTGTCCAGGACTTTCCTAATGCGGTATAGTGCATCTGCGTTGTTTATTCCCGTCGAATGTCAGATTTGTCCACCAACTCTCCTACCAACACCAATTATTGAGATGGCTGGCAAGAACTTGGGCGAGCAGGCAGTGCCTCATGCATCATCCAACAACACTTTTCACAAACGCAAATTTGCTACTGGTGCAGTGCTTTGTTTGGCAGCTCTAGCATTACTCAGAAACTGTAGCACCACACCTACATCAACATGGAACTTTCTCTCGAACCCGAACAAACATAGAGTGGATTCGCAATGCCATCAAGCCGAGCCTCTCTTTCCTTCAAGGAAGACAAAAGAGTTGGACGATATGGAAAGCTATCTGACCTCTGACGACTTCCGCAATGTTGCTATCGAGCGCTTATCAGGCGCTGTGAAGATCCCTACTCAAAGCTACGATGATATGGGCGATATCGGCACGGACCCTCGATGGGACGTTTTCTACTCGTTTGCAGACTACCTCAGCAAGACCTATCCATTGGCGCATGCGACGCTTCAACTCGAAAAGGTCAATACGCATGGCTTGCTATACACATGGGCTGGCACCAATCCCAGCTTGAAGCCCAACTTGCTCATGGCGCATCAAGATGTCGTGCCTGTCCCAGATTCAACTCTCAAGCAATGGACGCACCCGCCTTTCTCAGGACATTATGACGGAAAATTTGTATGGGGAAGAGGTGCAAGTGACTGCAAGAACCAGCTCATGGCTATCCTGAATGCTGTTGAGGCGCTCATTGCTGCCGACTTTACGCCTCAACGAACACTCATCTTGTCTTTTGGCTTTGATGAGGAAATCTCTGGTGGAGAAGGGGCAAAGCACCTCTCAGCCTACCTGTTGAAGAAATTGGGACACAATTCCATCGCTGCTATTGTCGATGAGGGCGCGGTGAATATCGAAAGCTGGGGCGCCAATTTTGCCATTCCAGGTGTTGCAGAAAAGGGCTATGTCGATGTCGATATCGTCGTTCGTATGCCTGGTGGTCATAGCAGCATTCCACCACCGCACAACGGGATTGGGGTTGCCAGTGAACTTATTACCTTGATTGAAGCGAACCTTTATGAACCGCATCTCGCGGACGAAAATCCATACCTAGGCTTGCTTCAATGTGGCGAAAAGTACGCACCCGAGTTCCCACAGCAGCTGGGAAAGCTCTTGGACAAGCGCTCCCGACGCCACGCAACCTGCAGCAAGAAAGACGACCTCGCCCTCGAAGCCGCCAAAGCAGGGCCCGGCACAAAATACCTCTTTACAACCTCCGTCGCTGTCGACATCATCCACGGAGGCGTCAAAACTAACGCACTACCCGAGCGAACTCAGTTCACAGTGAACCACCGTATCAACGTCGGCTCCACCTCTTCAGAAGTCAAATCCCACATTTCCTCCTTAGCCGCTCAAGTAGCTCAAAAGTACAATCTCACACTCCACGCGTTCACCGGCGAAGAAACACCTTCTAGCATCTCTCTTTCCCATGGCCCAACTATCTTGGAGCCCGCGCCCATAACTCCCACGTCGCTCACCCGTTCTTCTTCTTCCAACACTTCGGTCTCGACTACTACCACTCCTTTTGCCCTTCTCGCAGGCACCACGCGCGCACTCTATGGCCGCGATCTGATTGTTAGTCCAGGCATCATGACGGGAAATACGGATACGAGGTTCTACTGGGATTTGAGCGAGCACATTTTCCGCTATGGACCGGGATGGGATAGGGAGCAGGTTGGCTTGGGGAACATTCATACGGTAGATGAGAAGGTAGGGGTTACGGCGCATTTGGATACTGTGAAGTGGATGGCAGGGTGGATTAGGAATGTGGATGAGGCGGTTCTTTGAGAGATTGGAAGATTGCCTTGTGAAAGGGGTTGGGGAAAGTATGACGATGGATTGTGTTGTTTCGTTTCACGGCATGTAAACGGAATTATCACATGGGTGCTATATCCCATGTGTAGATGAAGTAACGAATCCTTGAAGTACAACTGTGTCTGGTTTTAATGTCGACTGTTCCTAATATATACACATCAATCAAGTCCATCATAGGACTTATATCCGAAGAGACTACTCACCCAATCAATGCGGCTCAACTGGATTCCCCTGCTCATCCGTATACGCAGGTGGCTTCGGCTTCGACGCCCTCCTCGCCTTCTCCCACGCCCTCACCCTCTTCTGCAACTCCTCCAACAACCTCTTACACCTCGCACGCTTGAACTTTTCCAAATCAGGCCACCCGCACTGCTGATAGATTGCTTTCGCTTCCTGTGTTTATCTCCCGTTAAAACGCAGCCCGTAACCATTTCACTGCCCTCCGCTCCGCTCCAGCAAAAGAAAAGGGGATAGAATAGTAAAACTCACATCCGCAAAAACCTGAAACTCCCTATGCCCCTTCGCATGCCAAATTTCCCAAACCAGCAACCCAGGATTAAACGGCACAGGCAACAACTCCAACGCCACCAGCTCCCTCGCCAACCCGTCGAAATACTCCGTCGCCGGCACCGGCCTTGCAGTCCGCCACTGCTCATTCTCCGGTACTTCGGCAACAGGTCTTGTGATAAACGCCGTGTGCGGCGTAATCTCACCTAGAACACGTCGGCAACCATGCCGACACATCAGCTTCTTCAACGCGAACAAAAGTATTACGCCCCTCCCCATGCCACCTCACGGTGAAAGCTCGAAAAAGGAGAAAAAATTCAGAAGAAAAAGGAGAAAAAAAACATACCGTTATTCGTATCAATCATCCACCACACTCCACCCGGATCCCCTTGCAACGGCCATGAAATCGGCACTACACCCTCTGGAATCCGCTGCTCGGGTAAGGGCCAAAGACCGACTGAATGCGCATCGTTCACGTCAAAGTCTTCGTCGCTGTAGTCGTCGAAGAGGTCGTTGGTGTAGGCGATGGGTTGGGTTCCTGGGTAGACGGGGCGGGTGGCGGAGGTGATGACGGGGAGGTGAAGAACTAGGTCCAGCATTTGGTCGTTGAAGCCTAGGCGCTGGAGATGGGAGAGGGGGAGGGAGGAGGGGTCGTGGCCGGTGGGTGGGGCAGGGTGGATGTGGGATGGGTGGATGGAGACAGTTTTGGAGAGGAGGGTGTAGTAGGCTGTTAGGCTTGTGATTAGTGCGGCGCGGTTGTAGGCCGAGTTTGGGGGTGGAGGTTGTGCTGGGGGGTCTGGGTCGGGCATGGTGGTGGTAGGGGGGGTTGAGATGGAGAGTAGGTGATGGGGAAGGGGGGATTGAAGTTGTTTGTATGCATGTCGCTTAGTCGAGAAATTTCTTGGGGCCTCGGTTTATTGGCTTGGAGGGTTCATTTTTCCAGGAAGATTCTTGGGGGCCAGATCCTACGGACAGACCGGGATGGAAGGGGGAGGATGTGGTGGTGGAAACGATAAACGACGTCATATCTTAAACAAATATCTTATGTAGTAGAACACAAGTTGGCTAGGAAACACTCAAATATCACATGACATGCTCGATGATCAACTACAAAATTTCTGAATATCTGAGATACAAAAGAAATATACAAATAGAATCTCTAGATATATACACCTACTCATACCGGTAGTGCGGATGCCTAGGCGCAGGCGTGATAACCGACACATCTGCCTCCTGCATCCTCACCGGCGTCGCCTTCGCTTCAACCACCGCACTCCCATCCGTCGGCGTCGCCTCCGCCTGCACTACCACGGGCGCCTTTACTGTCTCCTGCACAACCGGCAACGACGCAAACCCCAGTTCCTCCATCTCCCTCTGACAATACCTCTCCTTGCACTCCAACAGCCCCAACTCCTCAAATAACTCCTCCTCCGTCGGTTTCCTCGTCGAATTCCCTTCATGGATAACAAGGTCATTCGGCGACCGCTTAAACTTGTTTATATCATCTAACGCGCTGCGACCACCAGGGAATGTGGGGTCGTTGTCTTCGTCGTCGCTTGGTACATCAGGCATGTCTTCATCTGAGTCTGGGTCTGGAGTATTATTTCCACCACCGCCATTGTTTGCCCTCGGTTTCGTCCAGCCCCAAGTGGGCTTATTGACCTTTCCATTTGTAAACTGCGCCGACGGCGCTTGAGCGTAGTGCCGCGTGAACTGGCCTCTATTGTTGCCGGCGGCGTACCAGGGGTCATCTGTCAAAAGGGCGAAGCCTGGATCATTTACCAGTGTTTCGGGCCAGCATAGATTGGCTGTCATGCCGAAATCAGGGGGCATGTTGCCCATATTGTTGAAGCCGATGTTCATCACTACTTGGATTTTACGATAGGTTTTCTGCCAGACGTCGCGGGTGCTGCAGCCTACGTCGGTCGTGGTGATGGATCTTTCTCTGACGAACTCTTCTTCTTCTTCTTCGGGGCAGCCCTTGAAGAGATGAGCTGCTTTAGAGTTGTCGGCACGGGGGATGAGGCGGATCCAGACACTGTCGTCGCGGGCTTGCCAGATTGCCGCGCCGGGGTATTCGTCGCGTTGGCATTCGAGGTCTGCGGAGCGAAGCCAGCCGCTGCTCCAGTCGGTATGGTGCTGTTCGTTGTATTCGTCGACTTGGGGTCGGTCTGGGCGAGGGTATCTGTAAGACGGGCAGGTCAGACGCGCGAGATCAGGTCGCCGGTTGATGATAGAGCTGTAGTTGTAGCAGGCCTGCTTTGCTACCGCACCATTGCATACTTTGTGCGTGACTCTTACAACAGGCGGGTCATACGCCTTTGTCGTCCAGTCGATGCGAGGCCTCAAGTCCCTGGCTGCCACCCTCTTCGTCCTACAAGTCTTTGGCCTATCAGAAGCTTTGGTCGGTGACTTGGATGCCGGCCGGTCGACCTTGCTCGTAAGAGGCTTGTCGACTTTGACTTCGTAGTCTTTCCCCTTAAACTTGAAGACTGATTTGCCGGCCTTGGCGACTCCTTTGGCGCAGACATTGACCAGTGCGGGCATTGCGACCTGAAGCGCGATAGAGGCTATCCAGCCTACAAACGGAATGATGCGTAGAGGTAGTGTTGCGGCCATGATTGCAACACGACAAAAGGCCTTTGCTGCTATTTCCATTGCAAGAGTTTCGGCAGCAGCAAGAGCAAGGTCGGCTGCTTCGTCCTTCATCTTTTCACTGATTTGTTCTTTTGAAATAGGAGGCTTGAAGCCGGAGCAGCAGTAGCTCTGTGTACCTCCCGTACATGTTTGGTCTTCGTTCTTGTCGACATGGTTGGTGTTGGTAGTAACTTCAGTCTCATCGCCGTGACAACCACCCGTGCAAGACAGTCCCAAGCCACGGAAGCCTCGCCATTTGCAGGTTCCCATAGTGACGCCTTTGGAGCAGCAAAGACGACGAACCTGGTTTTTAGGACAACGAGACATGGTAGACAACAAGCCAGGTTGTCCCCTCATTTGCGCAGCTTCGTAGTCGCCGTTGCGGCATTTATCGTCGCACATGGTTGTATAACAGACGCCCTTTGCAGCTGCATCTTGGTACATGGCTTCTGCTTCCTCCATTTCCTCTGGCGATAAACTGCCTCCAATTGCAGTATCCTGATCTATCTGATCAAGAGCCCAAACCATCATGCCACCAAGGCAGCGAGACGCGCCAAACTCACGTTTCTGCATCAGTGTCTCGTCATCATCGTAGGAAACCCACTGGTCATCATCCCAGTGGATCCACTTAACCCCAGCCTTTTTGTCGTGTGTTGGCTTGAGTTTCTTGTCGTCGATGATATCGAAGATTTCTTGAAGATTCAGGATACCAGATGCCCGTGAGCAGCGACCAGCTTTGGCGCCGCCCGAGAACTGGCACACGCCGTTGGGTTTGTTGCATTTTGGATCAGTGAGAGTGAAGGAGCGACCGTACACTATCAGAATTAACTTATGGTGTCAATGTAAACGTTGCTGCAACATGTGTACTCACATCCCTGACCAAGGACGACATTCTCAGGCTTGACACCAGCTCTCCAAAGAAGATCGAGACCAAGATCGATTTCCGTCAGGTTTGTATGAGTGGCGACGTATGAGCCAACAAATTTTGACGCCGCATCCCAGGTACCATGTAGATCGTACGACATGAGATTGAACCAGTGGACGTACGGCTGCAGTTTTGCAAGGTCGAAATGCTGCAAATACCAGTACGATGCGGGTAGTGTGAGGGAGTAGCCATATCCCTTCTTTTCGAAGGCGTTGTATATGTCCTTGGAGAGAAGAACAAAGTTTGCCTTGTCTTCGGGCTTACCGCCACGGTCATCTGCAGTTGGATATTCCCAATCCATGTCCATACCTGCCAAATGTTAGCTAGTATGTCTTGGATCCTGGCTAGTATCCTCTTAGGTCATTTTTGACGTACCATCGAACCCGTAGGTCTCCATGAATTTGATTAAGTTGTTAATAAACTTTCTACGGTTGGAAGCAGTACTCGACATGATGCTAAAGGCCTGCTGATACTTTCCAGCTATAATAAGAAATGCTAGTCAGTATGAAACAAACGAATTGCAGCTTATACTACTCACGATCGTTGAAAGACCATCCACCAACACTAACCCATGTTTCCAGTCCAGGCTTCCTCTCTTTGAGTTTTGTGAAGCGGCTAATCAGTGAACCAGCATTCTTGTCCATGGGTGTGAGTTCAAAAGTATCCGGTTCAAAGAACATGAACGCAAAGTTGATGTGAGTTAGGCCCTGGAGGTTTAGCTGCTCCGGCGCCACTGCGCTGCAAGGTCTTGTGTTGGCCCAAGTTTCATAGTAGCCGATAGAACGCTTGTTGACTGTAGCCAATAGAGTCTTGTTAGAGTTTACATGAAGATTTAGGGTTTGATCATCTTACCACTGGTGCCATCTTTGCTACACGAAGGACGTTTTGGAGGACCGCAGCCTCCAAAGTCCTTCTGGCAGCCTTCGTCGACATTGCAGAAATCGTCGGTTGAACCACAGAATCTAGAGTCTCAATCAGTCCCATACTGAGTGGAGAGGAATGATTCTCTTACCCAAACTTAGAGCAACAAACACCCAATGGGCATGTTTGCTTTCCAGGAACGCCGTACTGGCCGCATTCGGCTTTGGCATCACAGTTCGAGGTACAATTGCCAACACCGCACTCGGATGGGGAGTAACCACAGAGTCCAGAAACCTTTCATTGGTAAGCTTAAAAATCGAGTAATAACATAGTCAACAGGCCTTGATGGGGATTTCAACGTACGCCGCTGCAACAAGCCCCATTTACGCAGGGAGTTTGGGCGTTACAAGTACCGACTGGAAGTTCCAGCAGCTCCGCAGAGACATCAGACCCGAGTACAGAGAATGCAGAATTGAGTAGAAAATTTGCTTCAATCCCAGATTCAGCCTTGACACGTTCAATAGCCTCACTGACGTTGAAGTGATCTGACGTCCTGTTCACCGGGACGAAGGAAATGTTTGACTCGACAGCAAAAGATAGAGCCGGCCATAACAGCAAGCTGAGCAAAGAATCCCGCATGACTTGGGATCAGGGACGTCTGGAACAAGAGAAAGGAGGAGTGCCCATCTGGCGACTTCTGCTGTACCCAAGTCTTATGAATAAGAACAGCAAATGTCAACCGGATATGAAATGCGCCATAAATGCCTGGTTACTAGCCAGGAGCACACCCTATGTCCCATCAATCTTTGCCAAGTATAGCCTGTGCAGCTCAGTCTGACCACCTCCAATTCCCATGCGGCGGAGTAACGGCCATCACGCGCACTTCGCTTGGAGACATGCAAATTTCCTCAGTAGTTCGCATATGCCGGAACTGGAATAACAAAAGGCCAAGATCATTGTCTCTGTCCTCGCATACAAGTTAGTATCAGACTTACGCCCCGCCGAGACGTTTACTTCTTGGGTTCCATCGAACCGTATGACCTAGAAAATCAGCTGTTCAGCCTTGTCTCGCCTCTTCAGGCCATCCACGTTAGATTAGCACAAGGAGATGCTAAGAAACCAAGACCCTGAAAATCGTATGTCAAAAATAAACCAATAGATGCACAACTGTTCCTGCAGTGGTGGTGGTTACATCCTTCGGTAGTCCACGTGCCGCTGACTGCAGGAACCATAGACTTAGCCACAGCCGGGCGGGCGGGCAAGATACGATTAACAAGCGAAAAGACTAAAGCGGCAGGCGGCCCGCGTTGTTGCCGCTTGTTCCGAGTCCCTCTTAAGGTAGCATCTCGCGACCTTATTGAAATTAGTTGGCCCCCCACCGAAACTCACATCCTTGCGCTCGTAGATGCGAAAACATTTTGGTAACATCTTGGCGAGGCCACCAGTATCCCGTATGGCAATTTAAAGAATTTGCATATTATTGAATTGGAAGGAAAATATCTGTTTGAGGAAGACCTAGAATCTGGGCAAGCTTGGAACAGTAAAGGCTGGACACTTGCCGAGACAACTCTTCTTCTACGCGATGTGGCACACGGGAATCGTGATAGAACCAGGATAAGCAATGCATGTAAGCCGCTCGGCTGTGGCGCGTAGAGCGTTCTGGTGAACGCCTTGTGAAATTGCGGATTCTGGAGTTGGTGTAGGAAGAGGACGCGTGATATCAAAGCCTTTGCCCCAAAGTCCTAATACCTAGAGATTCCTCTATTTGGCATTTGATTCTTCGACTGCCGGATGCTTTCTACAGTAGTGTTACTCCTCATGAAAGTAGATTCATACTCATGACTTCTTTCAAAACCCTCTCGTTCGTACTTTCCTTTGGCCTGGTACAGTACGCTTCGGCGTTCACACTATGGCCGTTGGTAGATCCTCAGGGACTCTCCGGCGTTCTTAACATCTCTACAACATGTATTAGTGCCCTGTAAGTCACCTGCTTCTGTAACAACTCTGTGTTATTTTCTTCTATGACTAGATGCTAAGTATGAGATAGAAACACAACACTGGATTGTGAGCCAAACTTGTTTCAATGGACATCAAACGTTGACAACATCTACTGGAGTTCAAGCAACACCTCTGATCTCTGTACCACGAGGTGTATCGAATCTAGTCGTAGATGGGTAGATGCAGTTGGCGAGTCCTGTGACGGCGAACTTCTCAGTTCAGGAGATCGTGTAGTTGACGCGGAAACGCTTGCGACCCGATTCGTCGCCGGTCTTGACATTGCATGTTTGAAGTCCTCATCCAACGAATGGTGCTTCGTTGAATCTCAAGAATGGGTTGGCTCCGATGTCATCCGACCAGATTGCAATGCAGACCCTTCTGACCCATGGTGCATCAACCCGGCCAATGTATCCGCCGAAAACAGTCGCATGGCCAACATCTACGACGACGACCTCCTATGCTCAGAATGCTTCTTAAAGCTGATGCATGCTCGCATTTCATCAGAGTTTCTGCCTGACGAAGACCACTCCGACTACCTTGTTCAGGAATTCCAGGACATCCAGAATGTCTGCCAGACCACCATTGCCGCCAACATAGCGACGAGATCACTACCAAACTATATGGTCGCCCTGACACCAACGCCATCGTTCGTACAAGGACCGGGAGAAGTATTCGAGCCGGAGCCAGAGGAAACTAGTTTGTCCTGTGCGGAAGATCAGGTAATCATCAATGTCATGGACACTTCGACCAATAACAGCATGCAAGCTTGCAATGAAATAGCACGCCAGTACAACGTGTCGACCGGGAGTCTCGTATATCTCACCCAAAATGAAGCTTGTTACGTTGACGACGAAGAAATTTGTGGTCCTCGTGGTTGCTCGCTTTTCCATGTTACTAAAGGCCAAACCTGGTATGTCTACACTGCCTCCCCTTTCTGCCAACATACCTTATTACAGTCGCTTGATACGGCCTCTGACATCTCCACAGCACCTCCATTGCAGCCGCCGTGTCTGAAGGCACCAATCCCATCAACGGCGCCCAGCTAGCAACATGGAATCCCAATATCCTAGGTGCCTGCGACCACCTCGTCGAAGACCAATACATCTGTGTCTCGTAAGTTAAAATCCCCTCGCCTTCTCCTAACCCCAACTAACCCACCACCCAGCCGTCCCGGCGGCTCCTACATTCCCCCCTCCAACTCCAGCCTCCCAGACGACAACGACGGCCCCATCCGCGGCGGCCCCGGCAGCACCCCCACCCTGGAAATCATCGACAACCCCAGTACCCCCATCTCCCCTTTACTCCTCCACGAAGGCACACCAAAAGACTGCACCCGCTACGTCCTCGTCAGCGCTGGCGCAAACTGCTGGAAAGTCGCCAACGACGCTCGCATAACCCAACAACGGCTCTTCGAACTAAATCCCGTCCTCGGTTCAACCGGTGAATTCTGCAACACCATGATTTGGAAAGATTACTACTACTGTGTCGGGGTAAACGGGGAGGGGTCGCCTTCTACTACTATTGCTACCTCAGGCCCCACAACCGGCCCTTCGTCGAGTGCTACTACTCGTACCTCTACCACGGCAAGTGGCCCCAAGCCAACAAATACACATGCAGGCCAACCTTCTACCTGCAATAAATGGCACACAACCGGCGCCGAATCAAGCTGCTGGGCCATCATCACCGACTCAGGCGTGGCGCCTGCGGATTTCTATGCTTGGAACCCTGTGCTGGGGTCGCGGGGCGAAAACTGCGTTACCCAGATTTGGCCGGGGTATGCGTATTGTATTGGGGTTTCGTCGGCGCCGCCTCCCATTACCACTGCTACTGCGTCTCGGACTTCGACGACGTCGGCGTCGAGTACGACAGGCCCGGCGAAGCCGAGTGAGACGCAAGCGGGTATTGTAGCGAATTGCAACAAGTTTGTGCGAGCGGGGGGTGGAGATGGATGTTGGAAGCTTGCGAATGATGCGGGGATTGAGAGCGCGTTGTTTTATAAGTGGAATCCGGTTGTGGGGGCTAATGGAGAGAATTGTGGGACGCAGATTTGGCCGGGGTATTATTATTGTGTTGGGGTTAGTGGATAGCAGGGCCTTTGGGTATATATTTCATGATCCGTCGTATACGAATAGAATTGTTCATCTCTGTGCAAAGTATCGGCCCAACCTCTAGTAATGCTCTTGATGTTGAGACTTCTCAAAGGATACATGGGCAAAACCGCATCAACTCATTTTGATCAACAGAAACTTCATAGTATAGAAAGAAAAATTGTGCCGACGATTAACCGGCATGTCATTATATTAAATGATTACAGTATTGAAAAACGTGATTGTTAGCCCATCAAGGGTGATGACATAAAAACTTGTGCATCCAAGCATTGTTACCCTTCTCCGGATCCTCTTTGCTCATCTCGCTGTTTGCGCGTGAAACCTGGACAAATTTAGGCCAGGTATTTGTGAGGACAAGGTACTTGATTTCTTTCTCGGCTGCATCAAAAACCATCTCGTTGAAGCTGTCTGGAATCTTGACGTCGGCCAGCGTGCCATTGAGCCAGCCTGGCTCCATGTGCGCCACAGCTCTCAGGTTGGCACGCCCAAGGTTGTCAAGGCTAATGGCGCCCTTGAGTTCCTTGACAGAATCGTTTGCGCTCTTATCGTGAATAGGCATATCAGAAGCGTCGTCTGGGTAAACGTTGTCGAAAGGTGTCGCGTTGTCGCTTGATGATGATGATGAATGGGAGTTTCGGCGACGGCCAAATAGTGCAACAGCAGCTTCTACAAAGACATGATGAAGTCGCTTCATCTCCTTGGAAGAAATGTTGATAGGAAACTCTGAGAACTCGAGAGAGATGAAATGAGCGTAGATGCGGACAGCAGCCACAAATTGATTGCGGTTGTGCTCCGCGGTCGATGATTTTTGTGAAAACCATTGGCGTCGCCAATCTGCCACATGGGTAAGGAAGCTGACGTTCTCGCCTGTTGTGCGGTTAGTGCATGGTCAATTAGGTAATGCGCATCGAGAAAGTAGGTACCAGAGAAATCCTTCAATGCAGCAAACTCAAGGAGTGGCATGGGGTTGGTTCGGAGAGCGTTCTCTAAGGCAGTCATCGTCAAAATGTCTGACTTGGAATCAAACGACTGTTTGCTGAAGCTGGAATCACCAACGGACTGGAGAGCGGTTGATCCCGAGAACTCGCTAGGACTCTTCTTCAGCTCCTCACCAGTAGTTGCGTCCAAGCCGTTGGTCGCTTGACGCGCCTCCCAATCAGCAATAGCATCTAGTGTCTCTTGGCGAAGCTTGTTGCCTTGAAGCACATCGCGAATGGTAGACCCAATTGTGAAGATCTCTACCAGGCCGAAGCAGACAGAGAACCAAAGTGGTGGGGGGAAGACCGCGTTTACAACTCCGAACTCAGGAGCGTAGAGACCAGCAAGCCATAGAGGGGATGCTGGGAGACTGCGAAAAGTCAGCAGAGTACCTGGTATATGGTTCAGGAAAGGCATACCCCACAAGACAACAGCAGATGGTCTGCAGACGCCAACCGTGAACATCGCGGATACCCCGAGATTTGAAGAGAATCCAGGGCGCGTATACCCAAGACCAGAAGAACTGCCATACAATCGACAGCCACCACTCCCATCCTTTGCTGCAGTTCATGCGTACTTCCATGCCGGTGCCTTTGACCGTGTAATCGATGATACCGTAATTGTAGTGGAACTTCCTTGAAGCAAAGAAAACAAAAAAGACGAGTGCCAACTGGTCACAGTGTTAGACGCAGATCCTTTCAACTATGTGCCGACAATCTTACTTGGAAAGCCATGCCGATTCCAATGAAAATGAGTGTTCGTTTGATCTTGTCAGCGCGCTCAAGTCCCTGTGCGATTCTTCGCCATCGGCTATTGGCAGCCTCTTGCGCAGCCTTCTCATCGATTGGCGCATGATCCTTGAGCGAGCTCATGCGAGCAAACTGCTTCTGACGGCTGGCGATGTGTAGAAATTGACTGTTGGAAGCATGGAACAATGCTAATCGAGTTTAGTATACTACTCAAGTCCTTGAACAAGCAAGAATACGTACCCATGCCCACTGGCACCAATACTGACATCATCCAGAACTCTACGGAGCAACTGACGACAGGGCCAATTACGTATGCTGATTGGAAGTACAGTCAGCTCATACTCGCAACGTATCAAAGACGAATAGGCTTTTATGAAGGAAACAGTCAACTTTTCATTGACAAGTTCCTACTAGGATTTGAAAGCATAGTTGTCTGACTTTACTTACCGAGACAGCAAATAGAGCCATAGGCGTGTAGTGGAATAATGCCAGCGAATAACAATGGCAGTCTTCGTATGCGAAGAGAGGGGTGCTGACGATGAACCCAAAGAAATACAAGACATGCGACAAAGACGACGTTCCAGGTGATGAAGATGCTGGTGTAAACCCATCCAAGGGTGTCGAGCATGACGTGGGCCTCCATCTTGTTGTGTAAGAAATTTGTACAAAGGAGTGTATTGAGCGTCGCAATCGACGAAACTGGTAAGCAGAAGACTATGGGAAAAGTCGTGCCTTATACGGACGCGTTGCGCTGGAGGGGTGTCGCTGACAGCATTGCCATCGGCGAACCATTGCATGTAGGGGTTCAGCACACGAAAAGATCGACGACGAACCAGCCGGCCTAATTCTTGGACATGGGAGTTGCCCGATTATGCACAAGCGACTAGCGTGGTAAAAGAGGCTTGTGAGGGAACGATATATCGTTAGTGTGTAGCTAGACACGTTACTAGAGTCGGAAGAGGCTTCGTGTATTGCGTTGAAGGGGCCAGTGCGGTGCCTGGCAATCGAAAGTCTCCAAACAAAATAGCCGATCCTCATCTAATCGTACGTTACCCCGGAGTCAGTTCCTTGCGCCTTTGTGGCTGCATTGGACGTAGATTTTTTTGGACGTTTTCGCAAGGAGCCCTTGGCTGATGTGGTTCGTGGATGACTTTCGCTCCACAGCAACATTACCAGGGTCTAACACAGGTGCATGACTTTGAGTTTGTATATCGTTTTAGAGGATGAGATACTGAAACAAATTTCCGAGCCGAATTACCTCGTCAGGCGCAGCGTTTTGTGGCGTCAACAGACATGGCCTGGCCGATGTTGAGCCGGTGTCAAAGTTGAGGGCTAGTGGACAGGAGTAACCGTTGCTATCGACCTCCAGACGATGAATAGTATGACTCGTATGACAGCGACGGCGACTGTGAGTGGTCCGGTGTCCTGGTGTTTGGAGCTATTAACATTATTACGGCACTTGGCTTCGTAGGTGTGCATCCGGCTCATGCCACATCCGCAGGGTCGCGGGAGCTACCTGAACAAGTGTTTAGCAAAGTCTAAATTCTCTATTGGTTGCAATTAGCAAGTAGCAAGTCAAAGTAGAATTGGGTAAAGGAGAAGCAGTTTCGATAGTACACCTGACCTTGAGCAAAGTGATGTGCAGACAACCATGAGTGAGTGAGCAACCTAGCGGATCGACGTGATGTCAAACAGGGCCCGGGCAAACTCTATAGTCGTAAGACAGGGAGTTCCCGGACACGCGAGATCAGCTCCCAGGGCATGTCCGTGTCTATACCATGTGATTGCACGGGACATGGCCATGAGTACATGGATTGCATCCCAGATTGACGTAGCGGCTGGGAATAAGTTGAGGGGCAGAAGCGCCGAAGCGTGCTTAAAGGCTGAAGGCTAGAAGGGCAAAAGACCAGCTCGTGAAAGCGCCACCAGACATGTCTTCAGCTGCACACAAGGGACGGCAGCAAGTGGAAATTTGCGCTCGCGGCCATGTCCGCGCAAGCAGACAGGTGAAGAAGAAAAAAGTCGACAATGGGTGAGATGGACTGGTGACAGCAGTCACATTGCGCAATGCGCCGCCGGTGTGGCTGTCAAAGGGTGGGCGCTGAGGTTACAGGCGTCGTCAGGTCCCTTGGGTTGGCGTCGGCGAGGTGCTTGTATTGACGAGTTGGTGACAGACTATGATTACTATACTAGCATCATAGGTTTCCGTAGTGGGCCAAGGCGGGTTGCAAGGCGCTCAACCATAGTTTGGCACATGCAGGAACATGCTATGTACGCGTCTGCGTCGACACGGGACGGGATCCCCAGGAACAGGGCCAGGATGCGGTATTCCGAGATGCCGCCGTGATGCCGATGGATGGTGGATGATCAGGTACAGCAGGCGTCACAGTACAGCCGGTCGTTTCAGCGATGATGGTAGCGGCTCTGCCCCGCCTGCCGGTTGTCATGACTCATGCGCCACTTCCCTGCGCCACTTCCCTGCGCCACTCACTGAGTCACTCACTGCGCCCCGCTACCGCCCACCAAGCCTGTCGCATTTCCTTCACCCCCGCCACACAAGACAACCACGACGACAACAACCCCAAAAAACATCAGCGCCCAGCCATGCCGCCCTCGCCCTGCGCTCTCTGCAGCGTCAACCGCGCGTTGATCCTGCGCCCAAAGGACCACTCGCGCTTATGCAAGACGTGCTTCATCGCCGTCTTCGAAACCGAAATCCACCACACCATCACGACTAATTCCCTCTTCCACCGCGGCGAAAAAGTTGCCATTGGCGCCTCGGGCGGAAAAGACAGCACTGTGCTTGCCTCCGTTCTCAAGACACTCAACGAGCGCTACGACTATGGCCTCGATCTCATCCTCTTGTCCATTGACGAGGGAATCAAGGGTTATCGTGACGACAGCCTCGAAACCGTAAAGCGAAACGCCCAGCAGTACGATATGCCTCTGACTATCCTTGGATACGCTGAGCTGTATGGATGGACTATGGACCAGGTTGTAGAGCAAGTTGGTAAAAAGGGGAATTGCACCTACTGCGGCGTCTTCAGACGACAGGCCCTGGATCGCGGCGCATCAAGACTCGGCGTCAAGCATGTCGTCACAGGACACAATGCTGACGATGTCGCCGAGACGGTGTTGATGAACTGTACGTCCTGTCTCGTTCGCCATGTAGTTGCGACCATGAACTGACCCAAGTAGTACTGCGAGGCGACCTTCCCCGTCTGTCACGCACCACATCCATCGTTACATCTACACCATCGGCATCCTCTGACCCTGCATCCAACACAAACATCAAGCGCAGCAAACCCCTCAAGTACGCATACGAAAAGGAAATTGTCCTCTATGCTCACCACAAGAACCTCGACTACTTCAGCACCGAATGCATCTACTCCCCCGAGGCCTTCCGAGGCAGTGCGCGCGCTTTGATCAAGAACCTCGAACGTGTGCGCCCAAGCGCCATCCTAGATGTGGTGAGGAGCGGAGAAGATATGGCCAAACTGGTACCAGGCAGCGATGAAGGTTGCGGAGGTGCATGTTCAAGCAGTGTGCCTGTCGCTGAAGAAGAAGAAGGCGGGTGTGGAAGCGCTCAAGGGCGCAGTACCGGTGGCGAGATGGCAAGTGTCGAAGCACATCTAAGGCAGAATGAAGCCGCTGCGGATGCCAGCCTTGAGACCGAAATCACGACAAAGAGTGTTGCCCGTGGTGCAAACCCACAGGGCCAACAATCTGATGGCTCTGTCCCGCCTCCCAACGGCAAGAAATCCAGGAAGGTCTACACACCAAAGAAAACGAACAAGCAGGTCATGGGCCAGTGCAGCAAGTGCGGATATCTCTCTAGCCAAGAAGTCTGCAAAGCATGTGTTTTGCTTGAGGGACTCAATAAGGCGCGGCCAAAGAACAAGATCGAGGTTGGCTACGAGGTCCAAGACGTCAGCTTGAACAGTGTGCGCGACGAACTCGAGGCAGCAACCATTGCGGGGGAATGAACAGTCTGGCATTAAATTTTCTTTTTGGACATTGTGCGTAGGTCAAACCCGTCGACACACGCCCAAGACGAATGCCAGAACAGTGCGCAACCTCATGACCCGTCGGAGCGGCCACCGACAGACTTTCACCGCAGTCACAAGATACACATCAGTCGGTTCCCGCTATGAGCCACTGCTCACTTTCCGTGCACTAAGAGCCAACAAGTGCCTTATATGCCACGTGTATTTTGCCCTACGCGGGCTTATGGTTGAGAGGCTCGTGTGACCTACCACCTGGGTAACCTGTCAGTTGTCTTGGTCTTACTAGAGTCAACCCTCCACTACCCCGCACAAATGATCTCAGTCCCCCCCAGACGCCCTGTCTCACATCGCGCTGTGACCACAGCTAATCTGCACGACGTCACTGACGGGATGATCGGGAATGTGGGCGGCACGCACCGCTGCAGTAACGTGGTGTTATATTGACAGCATGGCCGATCAGGTATCACAGTAGTACGCGCTCGGGCATAGCAGCTTTGGCAAGTGGCCAGTAGATTGAGGGCCACATTCCATCCGCCTTGCATAGATGAGAGAAAAGCCACCGTCATAATAGAGTTGCTATGCTATGCAGCACTAGCGCCTTAAATGGTATCTCATTCATATGCGTAAATCCGCTAGCCAATGCTTGCTCAAGCTAACATGTGTATCCGCAACCCCCTTTAAAAAAGCAAAACCAAGAACGCCATTCTACATGCCTATGATAAAAACACCCGCCCCAAACACGATGAGTAAACGCCGCCACCATGCTCCACCGCAGCGCTGCCCGCCTCCATCCGAAGTAACGGTAGCAGCAGTAGCACCGCCGGCCTGGGCAATAGCGCCGCCGACAGCGCTCTTGGATAGTCACAACTCAAAGCCAAACTCTGTGTCCAAGGTCCACGGCCCCTTGACCTCAATAGTCTGCTTCTTGGCATCATACTCGCCCGTCGCGCCCTCCTGCGCCTGCCCCAGCACCACCACCCGCGCAACTGCGATGCTCTCCGCGCCCTGTGCCTTGTATCCAAACGACCCCGTAGCACTGAACTTGCCATTATCAAACGAAAAGTTAATCTCGCTAGTGCCTGCTTGCTCGATGCTCTCCCCGTCATCAAGGTACAACCGCCCCGCCGCTTTACCTTGCGCATCCGGGGCCACGAGCACGAAAAAGTCCTCGTTGCGCAGCGCCTTTGTGGTATTCGCGCTGTTGACGCGGTGCGGGATTACGCTTCCGCCGCGGATATGCACGGGGATGTCGCTGTAGGTTAGGTTACTGACTGTGACGTTTTGGCCCTGGCCCTGCACTTTGCCGTACGTCCAGTAGTCGTAGAAGACGTCCTCGGGCAGGTAGAACGTGACTGTATCCGAGTAGTCGACTGTCACGGGCGAAATTAGGAGGGCGTCGCCGTAGAACCATTGTTCTTGGATGCCGAAAGTCTTTTCATCTTCTGGGTAGAGGAAGAAGAGCGGGTTGATCATTGGTGTGCCGTCTTGTGTTTGGTAGTAGAGGGCCGTGTAAATGTAGTCCATGAGCTTGTAGCGGGCCTCAATTGCCTTCTTTGCAGCGTTGGCAACAATGGGCCATTGGTAGAATTCTTGCTGGATGGTGCTGAGTTCGGCGTGGTTGCGGTAGAAGGGCTGGAAGGCGCCCAACATGGCCCAGCGTGCGCACATGTATTGGTCTGCGTTGCCGTTGAAGCCGCACACGTCGGAGCCGACCATGGGCATCTGGTGCATGGAGACAAAGGACAGCATCTGGCGGATAGAGGTGCGGTAGTGCTCCCAGATGGAGGCATTGTCGCCGAACCAATGTGCTACCTTGCGGCCGATTCCCGAAAATGTGGAGCGGGTGAGGACAAAGGGACGGACCTTGGGACGGCGGACGAGCATGGATTCGCGGGTCGCCGAGGCCATCATGCTACCGTACAGATTGTGCGTGTCGTACTGCCAGGTTCCATCGTAGTTTGTTGTGTTCATTGCAATGGTCTGCTGCGAGACATTACCGAGATGGCTGTTGACGCGGTAAGCAGGGTCAAACCAATTGCGGTCTGGGAAACCCTTCATGCTGCCGTTGGCAGATTGACGTGGAGTAATGACACCAGCGGACTGACGTGTCTTCAAACCAGCGGAAGATTCGCGAGAAAGAAGATACTTTGAATCACGAACTTTGACTGAACTGTTGCCAGGGGAAGGCTGGAAAGATGCTGGGAAGCCAGGAATAGGACGGCCGGTATTTGGTCGTGGAGCATTTGCAGGCTTTGGTGGAATTCCATCATCGATAGCCTTTTGGCGCGGGTTGCAAGTCTGAGGGTCCTGGCAAAAATTGGACGCCTCGTTCATGTCAACCCAGAGTCCGTCAAGGTTAATGCCGCTATCAGCATCGAACTGCTTGAGAATTTCCTGCGTCCACCACTCCTGGGTGTTGGGTGCGAACCAATCGGGCCATGCGACAGCTCCGGGCCATTGGACACCAAGGAAATCAGTACCATCAGCAGCCTTGAGGAAAACCTCCATTTCGTGGCCCTTCTCGTAAGGCTCGTAGTCGCCGACCGCATGAACACCAGGATCCAAGATCAGTACGTACTTCTGATCACGTGAGTGAAGAGTTGATACCAATTCACGCATCTTTGAGAGCGGGAAACGTTCAGGGTCGGTGGTAAAGTCTTCACGAAGGTTCATGTAGTCGATATCGGTCCACATGACTTCAAGAGGAATGCCTGCAGTAGAGTAGTTGGCAACGACCTCGGCGACCATGTTGACATCCCAGTATCCGTACTTGCATTGGTGGAAACCAAGAGTCCAGTATGGGTACATTGCAGAATAGCCGGCAACGTCAGCGTATTGCTTGGAAACCTCTGCGGGCTTACTGCCAGCCATGAAGTACAAATCGATGACTCCACCAACGGCATTATACTCTAGGTACTGGTAACCGCTGTCGGCCTTTTTGATGTCCACTTGCATGGGACTCGAGTTGAGCATGAAAACGCCATGAGTACCCTTGCCACCACGGTGGTCAAAATACACCGGATGGGAGCCATAAAGATTGGCATTGGTAGGAATGTTAATGGACTCGCCGTTCAAAAACACACGCTCGTAATTATCCGTATGGAAGCGGAATGAATCGCTGTGCTCACCGAGACCGTAGAGGTTGGGGTTGTCGGGGAGCTTGGTCCGAAGGCGCACGTACTGTTTCTCGAAGACCAGGGGGACGGTTTCAGTATCAAAAAGAACTTCACCACCATCCCTGCGCTTGACTGTAAAAGAAAACGGATTCTCCTTTACGTCAAATTGGAGGGCTGTGCTGTCCGTTGATGCTTTTTCATGCTTCGGCCGAGGGAAGACTTGTTCTTGGACTTGGAAAACCTGGAGGTCAGAATCGTAGATTTTGATGTGTAGACGCTCATCTGGTCATTTTTTTTAGTATGAATGGCGACTTGGTGCAGCAACAGAACAGCGAAGACTTACTATTTTGGTACTCGACTAGCAACTTAAGGTTCTTAATATCGTCGCTGTACGCATTGCATGCGTCGCCAGCAAGAGTGAGGTCGGCCGTCAAAGTAGAATCTTTTTCGACGACATTTGAGGCAGTATAACCAGGGCAACTATCCACTTCGGCGCGGCGAGTGAGGGTGGCAGCGAGGTCAGTGGCCTCGTGCACTAGAGGGGCCGCATTAGTGAAGCTCGAGCAGGCGGCAAGCCCGAGCAAAATATGGCGTATCATCTTAGTCAACTAGCAGTGTTCACCAAGAGTTGAGAACCGGTTGTGGGGAAAGAAGAAGAAGACCAGAGTAAGGCCGTTCACCCAAGGACTATATAATGAAAGAAAAGCTTGGAAGTGAAGGCGCTTAAGTTACCGTTTACTATAACGGCAACGGGTAATAAGTGAACAAGGATGCGACTGAGACCTCTTGTCCACCGCTTGACCCACATCATACTGGCTTGGGCCTGCACCCAAGAAAGACCACATGATGCTTTTCCGGGGAAGGAAGCTCATGCTAGGTCACAAAATGACAGCATGCCGAAAGAGAAGAAAGGAAAACAAAAAAGGGGGGTTTGTTTTGCCTCGCATCATTTCCGAATGTATAGGCCAACGGTTGCCGTGGAACACACACACGCACGCAGCATAGAATTGCGTACCTTGCGCCTTTTTTCCCGACCCATAAAATACTACCGAGCAAACCGATATTACTTGCTGTGAGCGGCCAGCGCGTAGATGAAACAAAACAAGATTTGTTGTATGGGTACTAGTCGCGGACTAGACATGGGGTTAACTAGGGAATCTCGACTATGATCCGGGGTGAGAGGCTTTACTACAGTTACATCAGATGGGTCTTTGCCCGTTCTGGGAATGTATCGGCGTGCGTTTTAATGCCAGCACGCATGGTTGTCTTCCAATCAACGGCCATGTCACAGGGGGCAAAAGATACCATCAGGGGATCGACATGGAAGCGTCGGCACCTTGACCGGGGGACGAAAATGCACGAAATCGGATCAAGGTCCAAGGGGGGACTAACAGATGATGACGATTACACACGCGAAAAGTTAAAAACTGCGCAGACAACAGTATGTCGGGTGTCCCCGAGGCCCCCCTTCGTTTGCATTTCCAGACATCGTGAGGTGTCTTCGTGACGTTTGAGGGGGCAGTCTGGGCAGATCAGACGCAAGGTTCGCGTGAACGGCCTGTCTCCACTGTTCCCGCGCTAATCATCCTAGCAACATGCGGGGGGCCGAGTCACATGCCCCCCTCTCAACAGACTAGAAGGCCAACGGGAGCGGTAGCAATCTTCTCTTTTGTCCACTCTGCTCGTTCCGCTTTACATTCTTCGTTTGCTCACCTTGGGACCTGCTACTATCGGAACATGTGTGCGTGACTAGTCATTGGAAGAGAAAGTGTAAAATGTAATAGGGCTGGCCTGACCGGGCCCTTGGGCATCAGCATCATTCACATGCCGTCATCAGCTCCACCACCCCCTCGTCCTTGCATTGCCTTCCTTCCTCCACCGCCTCGCCGCCTTTCCCGTGCCGGTGCGCACGGAATCAAACGTCCAAAAGGAAAACAAGCGTCACGTATACGTAGGAGAGACAAAAAAACACTTCTTTTGACCACGTAAGTTTATTGACACGCATTGTCGTGGATTGAAACACGTCAAAGTGGTACATATCTAGTAGGGTACAACAAACAACAGTACATGCCGGTAGTAGCAAACCCGAGCAAACAAAAAAAACGGACAAGGCTGATAACCACAAGACTTTTTTTGACTCAAAAAAACAAACAAAACAGAAACCATCCACGTGCCTACCTTCTGCATACATGGGGCAGACGACAAGTCACGGAAAAGACGGCGTCCTTGCGGGCAACTTGGTTCAACTACTATGGAAGAAGTGGGCATGAGCATGTGCCAAGCTTACCTTGTCCATGTGTCTGTCCCCAAGGACCAACCTTGAAACTATACCACCCATCCACATTCCTTAACACCGTCCCCCAGTCCGCTTTTGGTCGCGAAAGGGCCTACTCTTAGTTTATATACCGTACCGACCTTTTTTTCTTTCTGTCATCTACCCCGAGGTTTTCCCTTCTACCCATTGCGGTTTTTTTGTTGTATGGGGGTGTTTAGATCATTTTGCTCTAAAATCAACCTTGTCTCATGACTTGGGTTTCTTTCTCTTCCTGGGGGTTTGATTCGCTGCTAAGGACTTCTTAGTCTGGGTGGGGTTTTTTGGGGGCTTGGGACGCTTGACTGATGTGTGCATGCGTAGGGCCGTGGGGAGTTTGTTACTAGTTGCGGGAAGAGAAAGTCCCGGGTTGCGGAGTTTAAACGCTATCTCGCCCTCCGCGGGATCGTGTTGTTGTTGTGATCGTGATCTGGATGTGAAGCCACGCTGCAAAGTCGTTTTCTAGGCGTTCCGATGATTGTTCGAAGTTGGAGCTATTCGAGGCTAAAGTTGTGGGTCAGCTTTTAACAACGGGAGCATATATGCACGGGATGACTTGTGTCCAGAAAAGACTTCTGGATTGGGGTCGCTCTAAGCTACTCGAGTTAGCGAGCCTGCTAAGATAAAATACCGAAGCATCCAGTATTCATATGAACCGGCTATGCTATGTGGCATATTTGAGAGTAGATGACCACTCACGCATTGCCAAAAGGTCGTTGTACTCTCCCAAAAAGCATACCATATGTGACCCAAAACGCCCACGCCATACCTCCCACTCGATTTCCCAAAACCACCATAGCCCAAGATGCACTTGATGCCTTACTTGTACTCCTTGCACCTTTCCAAACTCTCGACCACAGGACCCTTCAAGATCCTCGACGCCTCAGCGAACAACTCATGCAGCTCCTTGCGGAAACGCTGGCCTTCTGGCGTATCATGCTCTTTGCTATGCTTCTGTCGCTGAAAAGCATCCCGAATAGTTTCGAGAATACCGACCACTTCTTTGCGGAACTCCTTGCAAGTATTGCTGATGAGTTTTTCCACGTCTTCCTTGATCCATTCCTTAATAGCAGGAAAAACTCCTTGGAGGCCAAGGGTTTTCTCTTTGAGATATGCATGGCGGATCTCCATGAGCTTTTGGCGTTTTCCGGGTTTTTGCAACTCGGCCTCTTTGTAGACAGACGCCATCGATTCGTGCATGTATCCTTTTTCGGTAGGCTTGATGGCTTTACCAAATACTTCGATGAGGCCTTGGCGAAGCTTCGTTGTGGCGACTTCGACCGTGAGTGTAATGTTTTTTTCATGATCAACGACATTGTTCCCGAAGCAGGTCTGGTACGCATCTCCCATTAGAGCCTGTGGATCATCTGTGATAGATATATGTGTTAGCATGGTTAGCGGAAACAGCACGACGAAATACCTTTCAATAGCTTATTCAGTTCACGAAAGCTTGTCTTGATAGTATGTGCAGCGTGAGCTTTGAACGACGAAGGTCCACCTTCGATTGTTTGTCGAAAGCGACTATCGATATCGGATGCGACAAATGATAGCAGTGCAGCATTCACGTCGTGTTTGATACCCAGCTTCTTCTGATGCTATTTCCCTGGCATTCGTTAGCGGACTCTTCGCACAAATGATATCACGATAGCGTAGTACCCTGATTTTTGACTAGAGCTCTATGCGAAGCGGCAGCCTGTAACGGTGAGCAACAAGTCATTTTGAGGAACACCCAATTCTTACCATCTTCTCAAGCTCCTTAAGCTTCTTCTTAGCCTTACTATCAAACTTGTCCTGCAGCTCCTGTTTTGAAAGGCCGGCCAAAAGTTCTGTCAAGAACTTATTGTGGCATCTTTTTTCTACTTTATCAATTTTTAACTCAATATCCTGTCATTATTTAGTAAATGTCCAAATTGAGGCTGCTCCGCAATTTTGATTCCGTATGTATAAGAACACAAGTCTAGTTCATGTCCTTCCATCAAGTATATTCTTTAGACGTGGTGATCAAATAACTTACCTTGATGGTCTGGTTCAGAATCATGGTTATATACTCTACTCGAGCTTCTGTACTCTTGCTACAGCTTATCTGGAAGATGCTCAGCAGCATGGGGATTTTGAACTAGATAACGTTTTCGAGAACGGCGACTTTTCCTTGGGAAGGCTGTCCAGCAATATGATTAAAGAGCGCTAGTATTTGCGTATCCTTCAACTTCATAGATGGAACCTTGTCAGGGTTCGCGGTGTTGTATCCTCGGCGGTATCGCATGTACATACGATTAGAAACGCAAAAAGATGCAGCGCCCGCATCGTCGCCAGTGTTTTGACTGTACATCTGGTTCAGACCCGTAGCAACAACCCTGTTACGGCAAGCAATTCGAATGTCTTTGCGTTCCTTTTCCAAGGAGACAATGCACTTCTTCAATTCTTTTTTGCGTGTACCTAGGTTCTTATTGCTGGCGCGCAAGATCTCCTTCGAGCGATCATCTTCGGTGACGGAGCTTTCATTGCCAATGCTTCTGATGTGCTTAATATTGTTTTTATTAGTCTCGATGTCTTGTTCGATGATCTGAACCTCACCTGTGAGTTCATCCAGCTTTTTCTCGACCGGGGCAAGCTGTTCTTCTGCTATGACATCCAGTTGCATCGTACTACCACCATCATCATTCATTTCCTGTGATCTCAATTAGTAGGTGGAAAGAACATATTTCCTGGAGAACGTACATCAGATCTTGTAGCCACAAGTATGACACTACCATGGTGTCGCCTACGGTGCGCATCTAGATAGTGCTGTCGAAAAGATTGATCGCTCGTGGCACGCTTGATGTCGACAATTACAATCGTCTTTTCGCACTGCTGCAAATTTTCCTCCGCAGCCGCTCCTAGGAAGTCTTTGAATACTCGCAAAATACTCTGAACATCCTGTTCTGACTATTTAAATCCTAGGTGGTAGATGGGTAACTTTGGACGGCGCTGTTGAGTCAGGTCAAGTAGAGGTGCTATTGTATCTTTTTCATCGTCGCTGCTGTCAACTTCATCTTCACTATCGGTCGAGATTTCAGATACTAGGAAGTATTAGTCTTTAATCTAATTTAGATACGCACTACTATAATTGTATACCTAAACGCTTAGCGGGTAGCATAGATCCTATAGTGCTAGAATTCCAGCTAGCAATAGCAGCTCTAGAGCTCACCTCACTAGCTTTAAGTCTATTAAGATAGGTTATTAAGAGGTTTAAGATCATATTTGCTTCTAGAGCCACTAGTACTAAGCGTTTAGGTTCGAATAGAGAACTTTACGTACTATCTAACACGCATTATTTCGGCATACTATCGTCCTCTTCAATTATAACTACTAAAGGTGGAGATTTTAAAAAGACGGAGAAAATATTAGAAGGAAAAAGGATTAATGTAGCTTTAGCGGTTATTAATCGCTTTTAAGTAAGAGAGAAAGTCTCAAACTATACGCCTATACAATAGCGAGGTGGGAGACTAGAGAGCCATAGTATAAAGTCAATGGGCGTAGGTGTTGTACTACATAACTTCCATTAGCTCTCACCTGTCCTTTCAAGCTAGGGTATATAGATAAAGGTACAACCAGTCTAAGGTGCTTGAATACGGCTAGACTAGCAGAAACTAAGGTCATTTCCATGCCCTTTATATTCAACATCGCTTCTCCGTCGGTAGGAAAACCTGGATCAATGGTAGATATAACACGAGGGTGGTGACTATTAGGAAAGGATTGTTGTCGTGCTCGCCTTCCTGAACTAAGAGAAGCACTGCTTATGTCAGCGGTAAATTACGGTGCGACTGTTACGGTCGGGTGTTGCGAGGTCCTACCTGCCAGTTATCAATTTTTCTTGGAAAAACTGAAAAACTACTGGCATTTCAGACAACTGAATACGCAGCGTGATCAAGGCCAAGATGCGGGGTCCCCACATGGCGTACTTGCAGCTGGCGAGCAGGTTGATTTGCGCATGTGCGCCCTGAAAATACATAAAGTTCGGGCTCCTGCGTGTCAAAGCAGAGTTCCCTACCGTTCTACTTGGCCATCGGGCGTCTTTGGTCCGCAATTCATGGCGGAGGATCGTGGGGCATTAAAGCGAGGGATCAAAAAGGCAAGAACGCGGCATGGGTCAGTGTTGCACAGAACCAGTAGAAACGACTACAACGTATTGACTTGGTCTCCAGATGTTTGAACTGCAAGACCAGGAGGCGCAAGTGCGATGAATTGAAGCCAACATGCTCGCGTTGTGCTGCTAAGAACGACAAATGTGAATGGGCTTCTCGCCTCACCTTCCGAGCCGAGAATGCGTTAGCAATTCATCCATCACTATTGCATCAGCCCCCGGGACTTCCGCCTAAGCGTTTCAGGATTAAAGATATCACTGCAGAAGTCATGCGGGACTACCAGTGTGACAAGCCAGGAGATGGGTCCGACGCTTGCGACCAGTCTGATAACCAGCGGGTCAGTGGTTACAGCGATCCCTCGCCTATCACGATCGATGACCGGAGCGTCTCATTTCCAAATGGCTCGTGCTGGCGGGAAAACACATCTTATACGAACGCTGAGGATATCCCGAGTCAGGCTCGACCCCAAGAATACATACCCATACCTACTTCTGCAGATACAGAAGTGACATGGAACAGTCCGGTAGTTGCCGCACACCCAGACAACACCATCTTTCTTCCGGGATGTGCATACCTCAACGCTCATGCCGCATTCAGAAGTCACCTGAAACAACAGGCAGGATCCAATGATCATACCCCAGAAGCCTCGCGTGACTCTTCAAAGGACACTCACATATGGCCTGTTGACACCGATTTCGATGCAGTGGCAAAAAGACGCACCACCCAACTCCCATTTGAGCCTGTCATTGGAGGGGAACCGAGTCCTGCTCAATTGTCAGTGTTTCAGCTATCAGCCGAGGAAGAATTCGAGTTATGGAAGAATTGGCTTGATGAAATAGCGCCTTGGATTGACAAGTTCGATGGTGAACGCCATTTCCAGCACCAACTTCCTACATTGGCACGCTCCCACGAGCACCTGAAGTACTCAATGCTAGCATTATCAGCCCGACAGCTTGAGGTCAAGAACAATAGCATACACACCGAGCGCAGCCTAGCTTTATACCAAACAGCCATCCAACTTGTCTTACCGCATCTACATACACGCAGCACGGCAGTGATAGCAACATGCGTGGTATTATGCGTGCTAGAGATGCAAAGCAGTTCGTCAAAGGCGTGGCATCAGCATTTGGATGGCTGTGCGCATTTGATTGAAGCAGTTGGAATCCATGGCTTCTCCGGTGGCCTCGAACAAGCCTTGTTCTGGTGCTTCGCCCGTATGGATGTATGTGGTGGACTTATTTCATCATCCAAAACGCTCATACCCGTTGAGCGCTGGGCCTTGGGCATGAGTCTTGACGCCGATGTGCATCTCTTTCGAGCGAACAAAGGATACAACACTCACGCATGTGAAGTAGTATACTTGTGCGCACAGATACTCGACTTACTCTCCTTCCACCCCAACTTGGCCGGGCGCGCTGGCGTCTCACTCGATAAATTAGAGATTCGAGATGAAGCTTACATGGCTCGGTGGATGAAGCTTTGGAACTACGTTTCTGCATGGCATGCTACGCGTCCGGTAGAGATGCTCCCCATAACGTCTCTCACAATCCCTACATGGCCATTTCCCAAGATCCTGTACAGCAACCCTGCCGCCATCTCGGGGAACCAACTTTACCATACAGCATGCCTTCTGATGCTTAAGCACAAGCCTGCGGGGGTCATCATCACGCCTAAGCCGAACTCTATTTTCTGGCATGCGCGTCAGATCTGCGGGATATCGATGAGTAATGACCACCACGGTGCGTGGACCAATGCGATACAGCCTCTGTGGATAGCAGGCCAATAGATGAGTCACGAGAGCGAGCACAAGGCTATCTTGCAGCTTCTGGAAAAGATTGAAGTACAGTCGGGGTGGAGTACCAAGTGGCGGGCAGAAGACTTGAGAGAGTTCTGGGGTTAGCAGAGCACCTTCGTTGTCGTTACTTTTTGCATGTGACTTGTTCTCTTATGCAATGGGTATAATGCTAATTGATACGATTTAACATGAGTCCGTGTGTGTACACAGCCATTTGGTGGAGCACATAACTACCGGCGGAGATGCGGCGTTGTAATGGTGTTGATGGCAGAAAGACGCGTCGCTATGAGCGATAGCAATGACGGCACCAGTGCACGGACGATCTCGGAGGTAACAGCGGCGATGCTTACTATCGCTTGCTGCTCCATCACGGCCGTCGCCGCTGGAGACACGTAGAAAGCGGTCGAAGTCGATTCCAATCCGAGTCTTCTCGTCCTGCTACTTGCATCCCTTCTCCGCCTGCACCCTCGCTGTCACACATGGGTCATACTACCCGATCAACACCACGCATTGTTGCCTACGCTTTCCTTGTCGGCTTTCCTGTTTAGCACTGTACACTCACCCATAGATCCACGACTAATCCTACACTCTTCCTGCAGCCTGTTTGCCACTTTCTTCCATTGCAAACTGCCTGGAAGCAGATTCAATAGCACACGCTCTTCATTCGCCGATTCCATTTACCCTCCTCAACCCATTTGGGCGCCCCGCCACCATGTTCACGAGCTTCACGGGAAACCCACGTCGGGCGCGACAGGTCAATCTCAGTGGAAAGAAGACCAATCCCTTCGGCCCTCCAGGCTCCGGCGCCGGATCACAGGCCGCCCTCGACCGAGCACAGCAAGACCGAGCACAACGGCAGCGAGAACGAGATACGTTAAATGCCGCCAAGCGAATACAGAGGGTGTGGCGGGGTCATTCAGCCAGGCGGAAAGTGGCTGACCAGGTACGGGGTGAATGGGACAAAGTAGAGGCTTCCAATGGCCTCTCACAACAGGGAGCGTACGCCTCGGAAGACGAGGCTCTTGCTCAACTACAGCGGCTACTTCGTTTTGCCTCCACCCGCAGCGAGGATGACCTGAAACGGATACAGCATTATGGAGCAAGACAGATGGAAACAGTGCAGTCTTTGGGTCTGAAACCAAGCGGACCATGGCCGTCCGCATATTCAAGACTTCAACGGATATCTTTGGTTGCCATAGAACGCCTGCTCAGGCCTTCATCAACACAATGGAGTCAGATCGGGACATCTCTTACCACACTGCAGTTTTTAGCCGAACAGATACCTGCCGAGACATCCCGAAACGCCCAGAACTATTACCGGACCCTCGCACAAGTCGTGTCTAGGCTCTCCCCCGAACTTGAATCGTCCGACAATGGGCTAAATGTTGTCAACGTCGTGCTGAAAACCCTGGTCGCGCCATTGAAGGTTACTGGATACACTTTGGATGCCTACGAAGCGCTTGGAGTGCACTTCTTGACACTCCCATTGCTTAGTTCAGACTCGACATCGCCGCCTATAAAGAAGCTTCGAGATTCACTCGCCGACTCGATAAACTACAAGCTACTTGCGAATGCGCTGGCTACTCTAGCTAAACGGTCCGGACTACAAAACAGGCCAGAATTACAGAGTACACTGAGTCGGCTCCGCTTGCTGGGAACCTTCATCTATTTCCACCGCTATGCTCACAATTTTGATACCCCAGAAGCGTACGCTGTACACAAAGATTTTGTGTCTGTTGTATCTGTTCTTCTGAATTCGTTACCCGTCAATATAGTTGATGAAGACCACCCGATCACGGAGATTACCGAAGACGATGCCGTCAATTCGGATTCAGGTGCAGTGACTGAGTTTCTTAAACAGCAGGTTGAATCTCTGGTGCACCAGGAAGGAATTGGGAGTCTCTTGGCTGGGTCATCACAATCCTTTGATACTTCCGAAGACGAAAAGGTTGACGAAGCGCGACAGCTTGCCAACTACGCGCTTGCACTGCTACGCTTCTTTCCACGAAGAGGTGACGAGATACGCATGTGGCTTTATATTGGCCCATCGGAGTCGTCTGGGAAGAGCACGCGCAAGTTGCCCGCTATCCGGTACTTCTGGGAGGCATCGAGAAGGTCATCAGTCTTTTCCACAATCTTCAAAGATTCACGGGCAGCCATTGGTCTACTGAAGCCAAAGTCATCCGACACTAACAGCTCAGATCGCCCGGCAACATCCGGTCTGACACAACACGGGTTCTGGCAGCCAGCGCAACAGCAAGTGAATCGTGATGCTGCTGTTACGGATGAGTGGCGGGTGATACTAGTATTTCTAGAACTTTACACATTTGTGCTCAAAGTTACAGACGACGAAGAGTTCTTCAGTACCGGACAACCAGACGCCTATTCCGGGCAAGTTCGTGATAATGGACTACCCTTGACCGAAGTAAAGGACCTTACGACATTCTTAAAGAATCTGGGTTTCACACTTTACTTTAATGCAGTAGAAATCACTACATCAGAAGACAGTGCCGAAAGCAGTAGCACGGGCTTCAATTACTTCAACCCAAAAGCAATCGAAAATCAAAGCCAGAAAGAACAAGTCGAGCCATCTATAGGCGGAGTGGCTGGGTTGAGGATCGACTATGTTAAAGGGCTGGTCACAGGTCTCCTTCGTATGGTCTATGAGCGTGACTCACGACGCAAGTTCTTACCGCCAGACCACTGGTTGATGACTTCACGGTTCGATATGACTGGCTTCATTCCAGCTGTAGTCGAAGAGGAGGAGTCACGGCACAAGATCCAAGAAGAGGACGGAGACGATCTGGATGACCAAGAAGAAGAATTCGACGATACACCACAGCTTATTGGGACGAGTCGGACGCAGCAACAACGACGACTGGAGAAATTGCAGCGACAGCAACGCAAGGCTTCAAGAAGAAGGTACCTTCAGGCTGTGGCCCCTCGGTTGGAAATACTGCAGAACATGCCATTCTTCATACCATTCACTACCAGGGTACAAATCTTCCGAGAATTCGTACACCTGGACATGACCAAGCGAAGAGGCGGTTCTGATCCCGAGCTCTGGCGATTCAGACTGATGCAGCAACCAAATGCCCGTGGTCAATTTGAGAGGCACTCTGCCCGGATCAGGAGAGAAAACGAGTTTGATGACGCCTTCGACCAGTTTTATGACCTGGGACAGGGCTTGAAGGAACCAATTCAGATCACCTTCTTGGATCAGTTCGGTGCACAGGAAGCTGGTATCGATGGTGGTGGTGTCACCAAGGAGTTTCTGACAAGCGTCACCAACCGAGCCTTTATGCCTACAGATTATATCGACATGTTCATCGAGAACGACCAACATCTCCTCTATCCTAATCCTGCGGCACTTGAAGAACATAAGGAAGCTCTGCGACAAGCGGGCATACGCGAAGGATCACAAGAGTATCGTGCGCAAATCACCGAGCTGCTTCAACGCTACGAGTTCCTGGGTCGCATCATCGGCAAATGCATGTATGAGGGCATCTTGATTGACGTCAACTTTGCACCCTTCTTCCTACGCAAATGGGCTCTGACAGGCGGCGCCGGCTCCGCACCCAACGAATCAGGGTACCGACCAACGCTCAACGACCTTCGCGACCTGGACGAAGAGCTGTACCAAGGCCTTCACAAGCTCAAAACTTATCCCGGGGATGTGGAGGATTTCTCGCTCAATTTCACAGTCACAGACACAATTGTCGTCGATCACACCACCACACCCAAGAAGACCAAGGCTATCACCAAGGATCTCAAGCCCGACGGCTCCAACACACCCGTCACGAATCAAAACCGCCTCGTCTATATCAGCTACATGGCACGCCACCGCCTACAGAACCAACCCTACGCCCAAACAGCCGCCTTCCTCCGCGGCCTTAGCACAATGATCCAACCCTCCTGGCTCTCCATGTTCAACCAGTCCGAACTGCAAACTCTCATCTCCGGCACCCGCACCTCCATCGACGTCGAAGACCTCCGCCGCAACACCATCTACGGTGGTACGTACGTCATTGGCGACGACGGCCTCGAGCACCCGACCATCCAGCTCCTCTGGAAAGTCATGAAGGAAATGTCCGACGACGAGCGCCGTGCTGTCCTCAAATTCGTCACGAGCACCCCTCGGGCCCCGCTGCTGGGCTTCGCAACGCTGAACCCCCGCTTTAGCATTCGCGATGCGGGGAGCGATCAGGAGAGGTTACCTAGCACGAGTACGTGCGTGAATTTGCTCAAGTTGCCCATGTATCGCGATGAGGCAACGCTCAAGGAGAAGTTACTGTATAGTGTTTTTTCGGGCGCGGGCTTTGATTTGAGCTAGGCAAATGAGTTTGGTTTTCTTGGTTTGCAAATGGGCTTTTGTTTGTGTGTTTGGCTCAACGTCAGATGACCAAGGGATTGATTGGTCTTGGGGGAGGGCTTCACGAATAGCATGCATAGGAGTCGCCATGCAAAGTAGATGTAGACAATCTTTTTTTTCTCTCTTTCGACTGCAATAGAGACAATTTTTTCCTCCTTTCTTTGTCTACGTAATTTCGTTTGGAAACTTACGGTATTCTACAGCACGTACAAAGTGCGCATTTCAAAGTACAATGTGCAACGGGATGAAGCGAGGTAATATACCGTTTTCAAACACAAAAAAGACAGCAGATAGACGTGTGAGTCTGGGTGAAGCAGAACAAAACAAAAAAAAATGCAGGTTTGGGTATAGTTTGCTGCAGGTTACACAGCTTGGGCGACGATATGGCGCTTTCACAGGGGGGGCGGATATTCATAATGCCCCACTGCCCTCCCCCTTATCTACCATCTCCACAACACGGAAGATAGCTATAGGAGTGCAGGGTCGCCCGTCGTCTAACAACGACAATGTTCTACACAACACACATCTAGTGCCCGACACACTCCTAGTGCCGCTCGGGCATTTGATGCTGCCTCTTAAGATAGCTTGCCTGTATCACAGTCAGATTCGTAACGTTTCCAGACATATATATATATATATATATATATGTGTGTATCCCACAAACACCCCCCAATCAAATCAGCCAAAAAAGACTCACCTCATCAAGCACAGCCTGCAGCCTGCCTTCCTCAGCCACAACCTTCTTGACGGTATCGCTAACGTTGCCTTCGAGGCCTACATTACAGCCTCGCGGCAGCCATCTCAGTATATGAAACGCATTTGCGTATACACTTGTTGCTCCCGTCATCCTCCCGTCATCGGGCAGGCTGGCTTGTAGGATGATTTTGAAAGTTTTGAGGCCCCAGCAGTAGCGCAGGCCCAAGCGGACGAGGTCGGCGAAGCCATCGAGGATATCGTGATGCGAAGGTATTGTAAGAACGACGTGTTTGATGAGGCTACGGGAGCGCTGGTGCAGCGTCGAAAGAGTATGTATGCCGCTTGTCAAGCTGAGTGTAAACACATTGTCACTGTACAGGACCTGCCGCGCCTCCTTGTATATCTGCTTGTTCAATCGCAAAATTTCTGGAATGATGGGGTCGCTCAGTGGAATGCGCTCTGGCCCGGGACTCTGGCCTCGCCCTCGTTGATTCAAGTATGGGCGCTGCTCCGGCCCGTGGAACCATACTCGGCGTAGGACGGGCGCCGGCGCAGGAGGAAACTCGTCTTCGTCAGGCTTCTCGGGAGCACGGTCAGCATGGAGGAGGAGCGGTTCCTCGCGCACGAGCGCCATGTGGTATATGTGAATGCGAAGTTCGGCGGGAAGCTTCATGAATGGAAAGGGGGATTCGAGGACATCGTCGACCGTCGGGCACGATGACGCAGCTTCGCATTCGGACAAGTTGCTGGGTTCTGGTGTCGCGAGGCCAGTTCGAACCGGCGGGTTTAAAGGACTGGGGCAAGACGTCGGACTCTCTGGTACTGCATCGCTGGCCGTATCGCATGTGCGGGATCTCTTGGACCTGTTATCTTGAGGCTCACCCTCGTCTGCTAGTATTAATCTCTTCCGTCTGGGTGCTGCGCGCCGATCCATGACTGGCTGCTCTGGTGTGATAATATCGAATAGAGTCGAGCAACTCATCGGCAGAGTAGCAATCTTCAGAAAATTTCTTTTTTTTGGTCGGCTATATGGTGCCGACGGTCACCTCGGTGGGAGGGAATGACGCGTCGGACGTGCGAAATACCACGTTCTAGTCTTGGAAAGATAGTCCGGCTAGCTAGCTCATCATCGCAGGCGCAGATACAATGGAATACTGGGTCGGATAACGCAACAATACAAACACAATAGCAAGACTCTTGTTTATTGATAAACAAAAAAGCAGTGAATGTCAGAAGTAAGTAACAAACAAGTGGATTCGCGGGTCGGGAGGTGGGTGATTGCGGGGTCGAGAACACCGGTAGCGCGTCTGAGGATCCAGCAGGCAGGTGCCAATGCGCATGATAGTTGCGTCACGTGTTTCTTCATTAAATAGTACAAGAATAGCATGTGAGATGTGAATAAGAGCCCCGAGCGTACCATGATGCGCTGGCTTTGAGAAACATGGCTCTTATGGGCTAAAATGATGTTGCGAAAATTTGCCTCTGTCAAATGATTTACACCAAATTGTTACCTACTGCAGCCAGGACAGTGCAGACCGCCGGCTTCGTATCTACACAATCGGTGTCGGTCGAGAAATTAATAATAAAGGGAATCAGAAAACAACCACACGCCCTATCCGTCTGTTCCGCCTCCTGCAGTTTGTTGTAACCTTGAAACTATGAAGCATTCAGACACTCCCCCCCTACTTCCCCTCAGAATCTCAAGAGCATAAGGAACAATGTCTTTAGGTAACCGTCCTCCAGTTACAGACACCAGGTAGCGGAGGCGACCAAAAAAAACTAAGAAAATTCCTCCGCATACCTGCCTAGACTAACTTACAAGTCTATTAGGTTGTTGCTGCCAGGTTGTCGGTTCTGCTGTTGCTGCTGGGCACCGAATGGGTTGGCATTGCCATAAGGGTTGGCACCAAAGTTGCTCGCTGGTCCAGTCTGTGCAGGCATCAAGCGGTTTTGTTGAGGCATGCCTGTAAACTGCGAGTTCAGGAAGGGGTTGTTTCCAGTGGCATTTGCGTTGATCTTGTTCAAGCCCGCGCCGGCAGAGTTGACAAACGTTCCTGGCGCAGTGTGCTGAGCGGGAATACGCATGTTTCCTACGTTGCCAAAAGTGTCCTGACCCTCTCCAGTTGCCAAGAGTGCGTTGAGTCGCGCAGCGGTCGGGTCCATTTCCTTCTGTGGCGGTTGTGGTCGCTGTTGCTGCTGCGGTTGCGGCGTCGCCTGTGGAGAGAATGATGGCTGTGGGCTGAAGGACGGGGTGTTGAACTGCGTCTGAGTCTTTTGCTCGCTGAGAGTGTTCAGCGTCGGTTGTGTAAAGGACTGTGTTGGCTGCGGTCGGTTGAAAGACTGCGCAAACGGGTTATTGGAGCCAGTCGGCTGCGGCATCAGGGATTCCTGGGTCTTGTTGGTAGCCCATGGGTTGTGGTTGCCAGGTTGGAGTGTGTTCTGGTCTTGCTGTGGTTGCTGCTGCTGACTCATGTCTCCAAATCCGCCAAACTGGCCATACGGATTGTTCGTAAAAGCGGTTTGCTGGGGCTGGATAGTGTGCTGAGGTTGCAAAAATTGCTGTTGCTGTTGGGCGCCAAACTGATCAAATCCCGTCGGTTGTGGCTGTTGTTGGTAACCTCCATAGCCTCCAAACCCGTTCTGGAATCCCGTCTGCTGGGGCTGCATTCCGGTAGGCTGAGCGTATGCACTGTTGAGGAAACCAGTGTTTTGGGGTTGCTGCTGCTGCTGATTTGGATCCACAAGGTTGCCAAACCAGTCAACCTGACCCTGCTGCTGATAACCCTGGTTGTTTCCGGTGGGCTGGTAGACACTTGGCTGGGCGGTAGTCTCTCCGAAAAGCAGGTCGGCATTGGTTTGTTCGAGCTCCTTGCGGCGCAACTCCTCCTCCTCTTTACTCAGCTTGATCGCCTTTTCCAGATCATCATCATTCTCGTCGGCCCTCGCGCTGCGTTCTCGACGCTTCTTTTCTTCTTCGGCCTCATTCCTGCTAGCCTCAAGGGCTAGCCTAAGCTCAATGTCTTCTTCTTCTGTTCTACGGTTACGGCGCTGTTCGCCGTTCCGCTGGCGCCTTTGCGCATCGTGATCTACACCCTGGGGTCCCCCTCCAGGATATTCCTCAATGCCCGTAACTCGCGACTTCCACGACTTCCTGTCGGCTCGCTCGGCGCGCAATCGTTCCTCGTCCATGATGAGCGAGGTCAACTCCTTGGCTGCCATTCGCACTGCAAGTGTCTTAGTAAGTTGTTCTTGCTGCGGTGCGAGACGCGCTTACCATTCTGACCGACGTCACGGCCGTCCTCATCAATGTGTTGGAATTCGCGCAATGTCTTGATGATGTAGATGTTCTTGCGCGCCCAGGTTACGACGAGCTCTGAGCCCTCGTGCAGGCAATAGTCAAGCACCTTGAGCGATTTGAGGACGTGGCGCCAGTTTTTGCCTCGGTCGTTGAGTCGTTTGTCCAGCATGTCCATCACCTGGTAGAAGTCGGTCGAACTGGACAAGGTGTCAGCATAGCCGGGCGCGACCACACAGGGCGCCCATACCTATTGAAGGTGATTTGGGCAATCTCAGCCATGTCGGAGCCCACAGGGCCCCATGGATCGTTGCTGGTGGCTGCAATTGTTAGATGCGCCATACGTGTAGCTCACAAGGGTGCTCCTTACCATTCCGGACCTTGACTTCAACCTGGCTATAGCCCTTTGTCACGTTCTTGACGGATCTTGCGATTTTACTCATGGCTGCGACGTGTCTGGGAGAAGAAGATGATCAAAAGGGAGTAAGGGGCAGCGGAGCTGTTGGGAGGGAAGGTCGCAACAGGCGTGCAGCGGATCAGAGCTGGAGCGCTGGGCGTATGACGTGCCGCTAACCAGACGAGCTCAAGCAATGGGTGGCGCGATGATTTGGAGCCCGTTGAAGGTCCAGCGAGGGTGGGAAGATGGGGCTGTGTCTTCGGTGTGGGCTGTGGCAAGCTGTGGTAAAATGGACTTGCAGGAGAGCCGTGGATAGACGTAATGCGAGGCTGGTGCGCTGATGACCACCTGCAGCATAGCCAGGGCCCGAGCGACCGAAACCCAGGGTCGGAGCGCTACGACGTCAACCCCAGAAAATATCGCCCGCCTTGGAAACTCCTCAACGTACCAATCCAAGCCATGGCAGCCCTTCTCCACCCTCTTAAGCAGCCAATTTCTCAAAGTGCCCAGACGTGCTCGCGAGCAGCCCAAGGTGCTAGAGGCGACTGGCGAGCGGGCTGACGAATCTGCCTCGTCAGCCGCCCTTGGTAATGTCATGCAATGCTAAGGAACATGCTCAAGTGAACCCAACCGGTTTGGGCGAAGCCACAGCAGTGGCGTGAAATACCTGCAACAAGTCCAACAGGCCCAACAAAGGTCAAACACTGTGTCTGAGAGATGCACACTGATACGCCTATGGTAGCGGCAATTCAAAGCTGCGGTTGGGCATCATTACAACCCCCTTGCCGGCACAACGACTTATTCAACCAACACCCACCGCAAAGGCCTGCTGAGTCCAATCATCTCAAGCTTAGATACACCAAAGGCCCAGGGAATGATTGTCATTTGTCGTCTAGGGCTCGGACTTGGCTTCATCCTCCCTCACATTACCGACTTTGGAGGGATATTGCAACATAAATTAAAATTGATTCACATTTTTTGGCTCCGCCTGCGCAGAATAGTTGTAGTCTAAAAGTGGATGTAAGTCCTTCATTAAATACCAGTCTAGAGATTTGCCCATGTCCGCAAGAGAAACGAGACAGAAAAGATACAGGCCAGGACGCCCTTGCCAATCTTGATGTGTCGCAGACACGCCCAACGCCTGCCATCCTGTGGTGAGCTCCCGGTCAAAAGCAACTAGAAAGTAAACCCCGGAGAACCCGCCACCAGATAAATACCAAAAATGTAAACAGAGAGAAACTGGGAGAAACAAGGGAGGAGATGACAAAGTCGGGAAACATGTAGAGAGAAACCTCCGAGCGCTTCAAGTCCTGCGAATCCATGAAATCTGCCATGCAGGACATTTTGATGTAAACAATAGAACACGCCAGTGCGCAAAGGAAAATTTTGGTGGGCAGTCAGGGTTGTGAATCCCTGCTGGCCGAAACGAAAAAACACCACTCTAAAGGACTCGCATGTATTAGTTGTACAGACGAAAGCGATGACCCATGATGGTACCACCATGGCTCCAGATGGCCCTGTTGAGTGCATGGTAGCTCGTCCAAGCCAGTATCCGAGACTGCTCGGCTATTACAATGGACATGATACGATGGTTGGATGGAGAGTCGATCAAGGCATTACGATACTAAAAGGGTTTGTAGTCTATTGAACGGCAGGCGCCCACATCTCGTTGCCCATCCGCTGTTGGTTTGGGTTGTAGTGGTCAGGCTCAGTACTGTTTGGGCGACGAATGTTGTTGTGTTGGTAGTACATGCCGTTCTGTGCCTGGTACTGGGGCTCAGGGTAGACGTATCCGTTATCACCAGCGCCTGGAGAAGGCAGAGCCTGTTGACCAGGTGATTGCCAGCCCATGGCAGACATGTGCGGGCTTCCATTAGCGCTGTTGGTACCTCCAGACTGGTTGTGGTTGGCAGACGCAGGGGGCTCAAGGATCGGTGGAGGGCCATATGCACTCGGGTGGGATGTAATGGCGGGACGAGAGCCGCTCACGTTGGAGGTATACGATTGCGCAGTAAGCGCGGGAGATGCTCGGGGGCTAGGCTGAGGCATCTCGTGACGCATGTGCGGTGGGACGTTGATGCCGCCCATGTAGGCGTAGTCAGATCCCTGGCGGTGAAGACCAGGCATGCCACCTGCAGGCATTCCATTGGCAGGCGAGAGAGACAGCGTGCGGTCGTTGGGCGAGGGAGTGCCCAACGGGGAAGCTGTCTCGGAATAATCACCGCCGTCGGAGCGGCCGGTCCTGCTCGAAGCAGAAGCACGCGAGGCAAGCGCAGCGGCTGTAGCAGCGGCCGCCTCCTCAACCGTGCCAGTGTGGTGGTTCTGGTGACGTGTCAAAGTAGTGCGTCGCGTGAACGTCTTCTGGCAGTCGGCATAGGGGCACTTGTATGGGCGCTTGCCAGAGTGGATACGGCGATGGCGCGCCAGAGAGCTAGAATCACTAAATGGCTTGTTGATGTTAGCAGAAGACAAAGCAAGTGAGCCAAGCGTGAAAACATACCTTTCCGCATCGCTCACACATGTGAGGCTTCTCGCCAGTGTGGACACGTTGATGGACCGTCAGCGCTGAACGCTGGATGAACTGCTTGCCGCAGTTTGGATAATCGCAGACATGAGGTCGGATGCCGCTGTGGATACGTTCTGCGAGTGTGTCAGTGCGCTGCAGTTTTAATGTTGCGGTCCAAGCTCCGTACCATGACGTGCGAGGTCACTGCGTCGCGCGAAGCCTTTACCACATGTCGAGCACGCGAACGCCTTTGGTGGACCCGTATCAGAGGCGGGCCGCCCACCATTGTGCTGGTGCTGGACCTGGTTGTCAGGCATCTGTTGTTGCTGGGCATAGGCGTGATCTGGGGGGTTTGGAATGTAGTTGCTGTTGTTCAGCATGGGCATAGGCGCCTGCATCTGCGAAGGCGAGGGGTAGCGGAGGCCGTTCATGTGCTGCTGGGGGATGGAAGGGTATGAGGGGAGTTGCTGTTGTGGTTGCTGCGATGAGTAGCGCGATGAATCTGACGGGTGAGGCGAGACGCCGCGTTCAGAGCCGTTTTCAGACTTGATGTGGCCGCCGTTGAGGTACGACGGGGGCGCGCCAAAGTGCTGTTGCTGCATTGCGTGCTGCATGGTGAATAGGGAACCGTGTCCTAGGGAGGCTGTTAATCTCGCGTTCAGAATCGTGTCAAGCTCCATTGTCTCAGAGCTCGCTTCGCGTGACGGGTGACGTGGGAAGAGGAAAAAAAGGGCCAAAACGGGGCGGTTTGAGGGGGTAAGAGACGGGGGGCGGAGCGCACCAGGAGAGAGAAGGAGGGTGGAGCGGGCTAGCTGAGAGCCTCGCAGTTGCACGTGTCGCGCTGGAGTGAAGGAGAAACAGAAGGGCGGAAATCAGCAGGCGTCGACGACAAGAGTCGGGATGCTTTGGAGCGGCAGTGAGTAGGAGTCGAGTCTCGTGTCGGACCGCGCGCAGGTCAATGCAGCGGAGGGACTGGACGAGGGCAAAGTCAGTCGCGTGGGTGAAGGAGCGTGGAGGCAGCAGAGCGGGTGAGCGAGTGAAGGGGCAAAGGAGTGGCGCGCCAGAAATTGTCGGTCTGGCAGTCGGGCTGGCCACGGCTGGGGGGAAAAGGGGAGTGGAGCGGTGAGAAGGGTCTTGTGCGGGAGGTTGCGGGCAGCACGGAGCGAAAGCGGACCGTTCTTGTGGTGCAGTACGTACCTGAGATAGATATAGACGGGTGAGGTGTCGGGGCAGGGGATGGGCGGTGATGGGGGGACGTGGTGTTGAAAGTCTGCAGGTACTTCTTTACTCGCTGCGCGTAGTTGCCCAGAAAGTGAAAGGGCGCTAGAGCGCTTACGGCCTTGGGCGGATCCTGGCCACGAGCTAGTCAACAAAAGGGACCACGATGTGCGCCCGGAGTCCGAGCGCGAGAAGGGCCTCGTTAGTCGACTGCACACCACCTGGGCCGATGCCGTCTGGTGTCTTGGTGCTGGTGCTGGTGCTGGTGCTGGTGCTGGCCCTGCTGGTGCGGGTGCGCTGCTGCGAGCGAGGACCGACTGAAACTGCCAGTCTGCCCGACGGCTTTCCCACGCGACGGGCCCGGACAGGGGGGGGGAAGCACACACTCGCCGATGGCTGCGACTCCAACCTAACTACTGATCCCGCCAACCGCAACGCCCGGCACCGTCAAGTGGCACTGCTGCAACGCTCCCGAGGGGCGAACCGTTGTCCTTTCCGAGCCACCGCGTCCTCGACGGGCCTGGTGACGTTGGCGACGGGGCAAGAGACGCTGCTCGCTGTCGGCGCGCGCGCACACTTGGGCAGGCCAGATTGCTTTGGCCCAACAAGCTGGTCGACTGCCTTTTTGCGACTGGCTGCTGCAAAAGGCGCAGGATCGCCTTGTTGCTTTTGGGCGGCAAAAAGAAAACGTCAATGGAGGAGGCGGCGGCGGCTGCTGCATGTCATTGTGTTAATCAGGTTCGCGAGCCGTGCGCTGACTGTGTTCTTTGGAGGAGGGGAGCAGCGCGAGGGGTGTCATGCGGCTTACCTCTCTACCCAACTGGCCCGCGGGTTGCTGCTTGCCCTCGCTTTGTTCGCAGGCAGGTGGTGTCAAGATCTGGAGAGGATCAAAGTGCCGGTTCCGTCGTGCGGTCCCTCTTCAACGCTCTGGACAGGTGGTGCGTGTGCTGTCTGTCCTGTCTCTTGGTACAGTATACCAAGTACTACTCTACATGCAGAGGGCGTCATGGCACGTTCAAATACACGACATCAGTGCATCCCAAGCAAAAGTCGAGTGCGGAGCAGCCCTATCCTTGCGCTCATCTCGCGCTCGCGACACTACAGCTTCACCATGACCAGGACCATTCCTGCAAGCATGCCCCTCCTGGCTGTCAAGGAGCCAGGGCAGTCATGCGACCTTGTTTGAGGCGTCTGTGGCGCCTTTGTGCACAGATGGAGATCCACAACCCGGGCGACAGCACTGTCGCCAACGTATCAATGTACTGACTGTACATAGACATGTACACACGTATACATAACCACGTAAGTACTCGAGTACTTGTCTGCCAACAGGCGCCTCAACGACGGCTCTGTCGCGTCTGGACCAGTGGGCCATGGGACGTGTCAGCTGGTCGCTCACGTCGCCATTGTTGCCAGCACTGCCAGGGCGGGCTCGCTCTCCCTTCCGCACACGGCGAGCAGCCTTGCGGAATTGGAATTGCATTGCAAACATGGCCGGGACGGCGACTCAGCGGTTCCTGGAGAGGTGCTGGGATTGGGAGGGCATGGGCCAGTTTGGAAGAGCCATGGAAGGCCGCTAGAAGGAACAAAGGCACGGTGCATAAGACGTGTCCTAGCCGTGCAGCGGGCGACAAGTCTGCGTGCCGGCAAAGGGCCCAAGCACAAAGGTGGGTTTGAGACAGCAGAAAGAAGCATAGCATTCTCAATCCCCAAGACGTCTGGCTCTGCTGCAGAGCAGCCTATTGGCGAGGCTTGTACAGAATGGCGGAGGCTGGGAGGGGGGATGCCCTTCTGGCCTTGTGAGACGGCCGTCGACGCCCCTGAAGCTCCGTGGAAACACTTTGGGCTCACGAACGACGCGCCTTTCCCACCCCCCACGAGGCCGCCACACAGCTGTAACCCGCAGAAACACCTGCGTATGTTCGCGCGAGGGGATTGGCCATGGCCGACGATATATATGGCAACACACACACACACACACACACACATGCTCCCCCTGGCGACAGGTCCCTTGTGTAGAAGCAATGCCAAATCGACGATGGCAGCAGTAGCATGTCTGTCTCGAGGCCATTCAACACCCCCTCGCCTTTGGCCATTTGCGGCCCAGCGCCGTGGGGAGACGGGATGGCATGGCAGATTGCGGCCAGGCTAGGTAAGTAGGTGCAAGGCCAGGACAGGCGGCACGTGGTGCGTTCTCGGACAAGGGCACGACGGCTACGCTGTCTGAATCTCCCACCGACATTTCAAAACATTTGGGCCATGTAGCTGGACGCAGTTGCGGTGAAGGAGTCGTGGACTGGCCTGGCACCGGGCTGCTTGGGGCGCTCGGTATGCTTCCGCTAGATCCGTCTGTGCTTGCGCGTCCCACCCCGGCCAAAGTATCTGCCGGGGCCCACCAGTCCCAGCCTCACTGTGTTTCGATCATCGACACACGTACCCCCTAAACAGTTGTGCACCACCGCACGCACACAGCATGCCACCACCTACTACCCTGCATTGCGACAATGGCCATCACATCACAAAAGCACAAACAAGCCCTCCCCAACTGCGATTGTCGCTGATCGACGCCTGCCGCCTGCACCCAACCTGCACCCCATCCGCCCGTGTTTCTGCGCATGCTTCTGCCTCTGCTTCGCCCACCACTCCGCTGTCTGACCCTGCCAACTCTAATTGCTCATAATGCCCCGGCCAGCGGCACCCACCACCACTAGCCTGGCACATTTTGTCCCATCATTTTGCAAATGCAACGACCTATTCTTGTCTTTGGAAGCACAGGGCGCCTCAGATATCCTGTGTCATCAAAGCGTGCCACTGGCCCAGCGGCTGCGGCCCCAGCTCCCCTTGACCAACGTTCCGGCGCAAGGGCGACTTGTTACCAACCCTGCAGCCAGCCAGGCTTCGACAATATCCAAGCGCCCTTCTCTGCAATTTCTAGAAGCCGCATCCATCGCTGCTCGTGTCACGGAGCGCTGCACTCGCCCACACCCTGTCGTTTTCCAGAAGATTGCCCATTTGCGCCCGTCTATCGCACATGCACACGCACACGCACACACTCACACCCTCGATAATGGCTGCCAACACCCACACACATACGCAATTCCTCCGTCATGCTCGTTGAAGCCACCTTTTCTACCCGCCCGAAAATGCGCGCTTTTAGCTGCTAACAAGAAGATGCCGACGCGGGATCAAATCCGACTCGCTTGCATCCGCATGAAAGCCACAACCCTTGCCTTTTGCTATTCGGCCCTATTCATCGTCCGCTCCTGATCTGCCCGTCCAGCCTTCTCATCAATTGCATTGTGAGCCCCCTTTTTGTTCAATTGCAGTATAGTGCACTATGTCCTCGTGACTACTGCCCTTGTTGGACAAACTGCCCTACTTACATGGTCTTGCAAAATGTCGCTCAGTAATCTCTGGCCCCAGGCTCACGACATTTGATGTTGCCGCAAAAAAACCCTTCATTTACCCAAGCATCTACATCCTCGGAACAAGGCCAATGCAATGGCCGCCGCTGTCCAACATGGGCATCTTACCACCATAGCTTGCCGTTCCGGGTGCACGTTGTCCTTGGAGCCGTTGCAAATGGCATCTGACGGTATGCGCGGTGTACAAATCGTACGTATTACATGGTTAGCACCAAACGCCGCAAAATACAGGTGAAACATGACGACTGCACAGACACGTCGTGCTCAATGAGTCAGTTGCGTCATCAAATATCCCCGATAGGCGGGATGAGCTGAGTCTCCTAATAGCAGTAGTATACATAATACAGCACATTTGCGAACCCGAACCCACTCCTCGTGTCGGTCCGCACAAACACTATATGTAGTAAGAAAAAAAAGACAAGTGGCAACTGCCGACTTACGCCCGATATCAAAATACAATCATGATCATCAGAGGGGGGAAAAATTGAAGATCAAAAAAAAAGACCGACAATGGAGTACGTAAGTAGTGGTCATGATTCTCAGATCCTAGGAACTCCACCAGTACCAAACAACTCCATCTTCACCCGCTCACTTGGAACGCCATAGCTCTTCAACTGGGCCTCAACGTCGAGCATGAACGATGTGGGCCCGCAACAGTAGTACAGCGTGCTGCTATTGTCCGTGTGGAGAATTGTCCTGTCGACGCGATCGAGATCCACACGGCCTTTGATATCATAGTCGTGGCCCTGCATATCCTCTTGGCTTGGGCGTGACAGGTAGTAGATGGCATGCACGTTCCCATGGTTCGCGACAACACACTGGTCCATGTGCTTCTTGAAGGCCCTGGTCTGCGAGTTGCGCGCACCCTGGATCCAAGTAATGGGCCTAGCTGAAACTCCCTCGTCAATCAAAAAATTCAACATGGACATGAGCGCAGTCACACCGACACCCGCCGAGATGAGCACCACTGGGCCTTGTCCTGCTGTTGCTGCTGTGTCGTTGTCGTTGTCGTCTTGACCCGCTTCCCCGGAATCTACAAGGTGGAAATCTCCAAACGGATGCGACACTTGCACCACATCGCCCTCGTGCTTTGCGTCGTGCAGCAGATTTGAAATGTACCCCACATGCGTCATGTCCTTGTCTTCCCCAAGCACCACTCCAGCCTCTCTCTTGACGCTGATGCGCAAATAGCTCTTGCCCGGTGCATCACTCAAACTATACTGTCTAGCCTGCCACACACCACCATCCAGCTCCTCCACAAACACCCTAACCGAGACGTACTGCCCCGGCTTGAACCGCGGCAGCTTTAGTTTAGCAGCATCCACCGGTTCGAGATAAAACGACGTAATCTCCTCGCTCTCGCGGACTTTCTTGGCAATTCGAAAGTCCTGCCATGACGGCCAGTACGACGTCGAGCGGTACAGCTGGCTCTCCTTGCTGATCATCAGGTTGGCCAGCTGCCAGTACGCGGCGCCCCACGCATCCAAGATCTCGGGTGTTGCGGCGCCGCCGAGCACGCTCGCCATGGTGGACAGGAGGTGCTTGCCGACAATGTCGTATTGATCGGCGCGGATAAAGAGGCTGGCATGCTTGTGGCAGATGAGTTCAACCGCGGGACTCAGCTTGCCCAGATTGTCGATGTTGGCAGCGTAGGCGTACAGGGACCCGGCGAGGGCTTGCGCCTGGTGGCCTGTGGCTTGGTGGGTGTTGTTGAAGATGTTTTTGAGTTCAGGGTTTGCTTCCAGCATGTCGTGGTAGAACCGAGTGGTTATTGCCGTCCCGTGTTCTGCGAGCACGGGGACGGTGCTCTTGATGATTTGGACTTGGGTTGGTGTTAGGGTGGCCATTGTGCGTGTGTGTGTTCGTTTTGTCTCTCCTTGCTAAAGTTTAAGTAACTTTTCTTATGCTTGATAGTCGAGTTACTAGTATGTAGATATGAAGTCTGTCGTTGTTGTCTATGTGTGAATATGTGGTATGAATAAACCATACTCTTTCACCATGGCATCTATATACCTTCCTTTACCATCCACCCAACTCTGTCCTTCCTACATTCCCCGTCCAAAACTTCTAGCATCTCCGCGGTACTACAAGCTTCACCTTTCTATCCATCCCAATCCATCATCCCTCGTGGCCTGTTTTCCCGGTCCACATGCGGATATCTCGCAAGGCGCACAGAAAAACCGCGTGATATAATGCTGAGTCCTTGCACTTGCGCAAATAACGCCCAAAATAAAAGGGCTTGGAACGTCTGCAAGAATTTGTAAGGTAAACTCGCAGCTTTTTCGTAGTGGGGCGGGCCACCAAAATTACGTATTGGTTTGGTTACATTTTGCACGTTACTACTATAATTTTTGCTGTGTTGAAGTGGTTTCTCCGATACTTCCGTTGCAGCTCTACTTTTTTTTTGCTTCGGCTGCGTTTGCCCTGGCAGGGGGTTTTAATTCTTATTTCATTTTCTTTGGCAAATGTTATTATTTTACCACCGTTGATCAATTTTGATAAATAGAATTTATCTGGTTGGCTGAGGTGTGGAAATGCGACAAAAGTAAAAAAAAATGCAATGGGTGCGCATACGATAATTGGGTTTAAACTTTGAGTCGATCAAAAATGCGTCATACAAGCATGCAGTTGTGAAACCAAGACACGTGCTGCGGCGAAATTGGTTCAGCTGTGCGAATTCGCTCACCATATTTTTTTTGGTCCTTCAAAAACACCTGAGGTTCAGTGTAATGCTGCGCTGCATTGCATCGAGCAAAGCCCTCACGCGCGCAGACTAAAAAGAGAGGGCTGGGAAAGAAAACAGACATATCACACCACAAACGTCAGATAGCCACATGATACTTTTTCTCTTACTAGCAAGCCACGACGGCGAACGCAACACATAGTCCTTTTGGTACCGCGCCACAAATGTGCATGCCGACTTCTTCCGAAAAAGAACTCGTGGTTACAGGTTTTTTTGATTATTCAGTTATGGGCCCCCCGGACCCCGTAGGGCTTGGGTGCGTTGTGTCTGGATGCACTGTGGAATTCGGAAATTGATAATGGCTGATGGGGACGTTGGTAAGGCGCCCCTGTGACATTGGTTGGGATGACGCTGAGTGTTGGGTTATGAGCCTTTTTTGGTGGTTGAGGTGTTTGTGTTCTCCGCGGAAGTGTGGAAGAAGGATGTCAGAGGATCGCATGTATGACGTGGGAAGAGAGAATTTGGTACAATCATATTCTTTACATATCTGCTTACAAGAAGACTGGAAATATGTACATAGTATATACGTCAGGGACTATACAGAGGCATGTGTTTGGTGGATGGACTAGTAGGTGTCCACCTAAAAGGTGTTTTTCCCCAGCACTGAATGGTGCGAGCTTTGTGCGTTGCAGCCAGGACCATCCCTAATTTTTGGTCCTTGGATTTCTGGCAGTTTCTGGCCCCAGGGACTAACAGTGGCAAAGTCCCTGTGCTTGACAAACGGCGTGGTGACATGAATCTAGCTCTGGGGAACGGCGGGCCTTGCATGTGCTATGACTATGCGATGGCCAGCGCTTCAAGTTGCCTCCACCGGGGCGGGCGGGACGTTCCGACTCATCAATACGTACCCTGTGCATAAGATTTCTAGACCGCCGTTCTATTGTCTGTGTAGAGTTTCTGACATGACTCTTTGACTTTAAAGGTTTTATGCAGGGCCTTTTTCACATTGGGAAGGCGTTGCCACTGAACTGGGTCCCCAAGTATCTTGCGTACGGACTCAACCTTCTTTTTGGTACATACATACGCGAGACGTCTTAATTATTAGCTACTTCTTGAATAGCGTTCATCTTGTCTCCATGGAGTACGTCTCACCAGTAGTCCTAGGCACACCGTTTGTGGAACTACCTGCATGGCGCCTTTTTCATATAAGAACAACAAGACTGACAATCCCAACCTTGAATCCACAGATTTCCAAAATAGAGCAACTCAAAGAAGCACCCAAAACTTGAGGCAACATCAGCCATGCAGCTCGCGAGTCTATGACGCTGCATGCATATTTCGAACACAAACAAAGTTTCAACACATTCAAAACATGCATGAAGGCTACGTGCGACACAACCACAAACACATGCAATGCCAAACTCACGCCTCCTTGGGATTGCCTCGGCCATTCACTCCGCAAAATGCGGTCTGCCAGCAAAAGCAGTAACAATGAGAACGGTAATATCGCCACTCTGCGATAATCCGGCTGTGGGGCCGGCGTACCCGTAGCAAAGTTCTTGCTAACGAGCACGACCCCCCATATACCCATACTATAGGCTTTTACGGCTTCATTCATATACTGTACGACAAGTAGACGCAGTACATGACTAGAATTATATAGTCGGTGAAACTAGGTGGATACTTTCTACGTAAGTTCATTGTCATGGGTATTTCGAAGACTGAAGAGAACAAGTCGCCTGTTCACGAGAAGGTCCGAATGTTTTGCAGTGGCTGGGGGAAGACAAGAGTTTTGAGATAGTGGATAATGCGATACTGGAGATCGAGACAAGAGAGGCAAGTAGGCTAAGGGGAGTGTGGCGTTTATTTGGGTGTTGGCCCGAAAAGTGGTGAGATTCCAATGAATCCATCACCGTGCTTCTTTATGAACGCATTCAACACCATTCATAACACCATTACGATTTCGCAATCCATATTCACACCCCATTCCATCCCATCCCATCCAATCCACCGCTTCCCAGAATCTCCTCCGAAAGTCTTCACACCGCGGAATCCAGTCACACTGAGCTGAAACATCCACCATCGCACCCTCCATCCCCACTACGAACTTTATCCCCCACCCACCCGCTTCTCTGCACAACTCTTTCTCTCTCTCTCGCGTCGAAGAAGCAAATAAAAAATGATCTCTCATCAGAATCTAGTCCAAAACCGAGCCAGCGGTGTGAATGCCGAAAAAGGAAAAAAAAATCCCAAAGATGACGCGCCTCCTCCCCCTTCCCCTCGCGGCATATTTCGAGGAGAAAGAAAGAAAAGAACAAAAAAACGAGCTAGTTGGGCTGGAGAAACAGAGAGAGAAGAACAAATTAAAAAAAAAAAAGTGTTGATCGTGTGTCATCACGCCCTTTTTTTGGGAATTAGGCTACTGGAACTAGCGCGGCTTTGCCAGAAGGGTTTCGCTTGATTATCCTCGGACTATTGGGAGAGGGAGCATAAAGTGGTGCATTAATTTTGTGCAGCGTAATGATGACTGCGGTATAGGGGGGTTCCAGCTGTGTAAAAGCAAATCCACGCGACCTAGAATTTCTCGTCGCTTTTTTTCTGATTGGGTAGCCCGGAGGAGGGTTGAGTGTAATTGTTGCTTTCTAAGTATGGTTTGAACTCCAGGTGTCGCGGTTAGGTAAGTGTTCTTTTCAGCGGAATGTTTGGCGCGACGCGAGGTATTCTCGTCGTGGATAGAGGGTGTTGTAGCGGAACAGCATCGGCTAGAGCAAACGGTAAACGAGGAGATCAAGATGTCGATTTACATCGAATTGAGTTGGATCTGATCTAATTTTTGTCTTTGCTACGTCTGAGACTAAGTACTTGATAATGGGAAGCTTCGTACGCTTACGTGTCGTCATCTCTTCCTTCTTTTTGCTGTAGAATACCATGTGAATGCAAAGTTATTGGGTACGCTGCAAAATATTTCCAAAAGGTTACATCCTTGTAACACAGATATGCAATCACCTCTCTTCTGTCTCATGGATATTTCTGCTTTAGGTTGATAAGTCGCTCTCTCTGCTTACTATCAACGGGGTGTCTAACGCCTTAGAATATCCCGTAGCCTTCTTGAAGAACACACATGAGGGGAGAGGTATCCCTTTTTATGGATCAGTTATGTGACACTTCACTAATTTTGAAGGACATTTTTGAATGTCTTTTTTTTTAATCTGCTATCAGCTGGAAGTATTATGAGAGAACTAGAGACGGGAATATCACTATGCTTTCAGTAAAAGTAGGTGCGCGGCGGTTATGGTAAACACAATAAAATGTCGTAACTGAATCATAAATATCACGCATGGTTCCAATGACCATATTCGATATCAGTAAATGCACCATGTGAGATGATTCGAAGATGATATAGTAATATTAGACATGATTTGAAAATACAAACTTTTTGCAAGATGTTTTTTCTCTGCCAAGATTTATTGAGTTGACACACACTCTTGCATTTGAATAGCTTATTAAAGCTCAATGTAAATGTTGGAAAAGGACACCATTTTGAGGCAGAAAACGAGGTGGCGGTTCTATCAGACTGTAATGTAGCCTATAGACGGTGTTGACAGTCTGCAGCTTTAGCTACATATTTCCCTGGCTGTGCTCGCTATCCTACCTTCTCTAGCTACTTGCTACTAGAATTGCAAACTGCTCTAACTCTTCCCTCCTCTTTAATCCAAGGAGAAGGTACTCGTTGCCTGCTGATAATCGGCAGCTGAATGGAGAAATTTATTCGCTGAATTCAAATGACAGCCTCTACCTGCCGCACAAAAGTATAGAGAACATTGGAATAATAACCAGACGGATGATAGCAGGCTTAGTTATTCCATGTGCAAAATAGTAATGGATAGGAGCCAAATAATAAGGCCGCTAATCCATAAATCACCAAAGGGAGGGATAAAAGAAGAGTGTGGCTTTGGATGCTAGACTCTAATTTATATTAAGACTCTACCAAAGTAATCAATGATATCTGGTGGCGTTGACTGCCTGAAAGATTAAATTCAAGGTCTTTATAACGGTACTGGAGAAGTGCATAGATATAGTCAGGGGTTTCCAAAAAGCCAGAGCATGGCGTACCGCATCTGAATACTGTGTAGGTAAAGCTGAAGTTTGGCCTGGTGTAAGCAAAACTCTTTAGGTACTGTTTCCCAAGTCATGAAATAGTCACATCCACGCGATGACCAGGTTGAGTATCATAAGGAGAAGTGGTGGAGGCCACATGGCGATATAATCGACAGGAAGCACGTCCGTTGCAAAAGAGACTTTACATTCACCTGTTCTTACACCTCAGGTTCCTAGGTTTTGCTGAAGCATTCTACACACTTACAATTTTCCTACCGTTTTTTTTGTAATGCAACCAGCACTGTCAAAACCTTCCCGATATTGAATGAGAGACGTGGGTTTGGGTGCTGCAGATGCTAAAATTGAGTCCAAGTACCCTGTAGCGAAAGCTTCCAAGAATGAAAGAAAGGAAACCGATCAATTCTTTGAAAAACTGTTGAGGAAGAGGACATTGCATACGGTCACTGGTCCCTTACCTGATGTTATCAGACCAACTGTGACCACCAGCGTCCTGGATAGGATAATCTTTGACTTTTTGCACTGCAAAATCACTCAAATACATTCGTACTAAGTCTTTGACCCGTGAAGTAAGCTGAGTTCAATATTGGTAGGCAATCGAGTCACGTGGTCAGTGCGACGGCAAAAAAAAGACAAAAAAGACTTTTTGGACAATCAGAGGTGGATTCGAACACTAGAGCCACCACAATAATGCCAAAAAAAAATAGCAAAAAAAATGGTAGCTTCTCTTTGATTGAGCGTGTCATCCTTAGTGCAGGGGCCATGCTAATCTTCTCTGTATCGTTTCATTGACCAAATGCCCGAAGGCGAAGAGTAGCAAAATTAAAAAAAATATATAGTTGAATGCAACCAGGGCAGAGCTAAAAAGGCGCACCAATGGGACGTGCGAATATAACCCCTATGTGGACGATGCACGGATGGCGCACGGATCATGAATCTTCGTTAATTACCAACATCTGACGTAAACCCTTTCCACCGCTTTCCCAGCCTCCACCACCAATATTGTCTGTGCAACTCCGCTTGTACACGTGCTTTGAATGAATGTGGTTTCACGCCTTTTTTTGTCCTTTATCTGCATTTTGGATGAACTTGCCACCAGTCAGAGGCTGTGCTACTATCACTTTACCTCCAACCTACGTGGAGGCAAAGAGCACTGATACATTCATTATCTGCAGCCTTTAGAATAAGCGATTTGTAAATCTACAAAACGGCTAGAGCACTGATTTGAACCGAATCGCCTGACTTCTAATGTTTGTCTCTATCTGGCGTCGCGTTGGAAGCATCAATTAGGGCACAAAGGGATTTAGAGCAGGCTACCAGGGCTTCGACACCGATATATTGAGATTACGTACAGTTCATAATTCAAAATTGTAGCGCGGATCAAGCTCATCTTGGTAATGAACTACGTCTTCTAAAAAAAACATGCGCTTTCGAACCGTGAACGAGCTCTGTATTGAATCAGAAATTGTTGAGTGACAGAGATTAATACCCCAACAAGGCGATGATTCGGACGCTTGGGGTCATGGGATAACTGCGTACAACATGTTTGGGAACGATAAAATCAATAAGAAACCAGGGGATCGAATTTTCGCTACCTTCGCCGGAGCATTGAGAAAGTAATATATTTGGTTACAAATGGCAATCTCATGTCAAAGACACATCATGCGAGGTTAAGCAGGACCTGGTGTATTCACAGTTTTTCAGTCATAAATATTCCTATCTCGGCTGGCAGCAACAATGTGAATTTTTTAACATATCAGAACAAGAAGTCTGAATTAATTCATTCGTGGCCACATACAGGCTGATCTATTGCTTCGCGCTCAGAACCTCCTTGACGACCGCAATGACCTGTGGAAATGCATCCTTGGGAGCGGCGACTACACCCTTGTTTTCTTTGAGTGTCCTACCAAGACCAAAGTCAAGCGGCTTTCCATAGGCATCAGTGACTTCACCACCTGCCTCTTGGACAAGCACAACACCAGCAGCATGGTCCCAGATCTTTTCTTGGTAAGTCTTACTGGTGGGCAATCTCAAGTATAGATCGCCAGCTCCACGGGCAATGGAGCAATATTTGGCTTGAGAATCCATGCGAACGGAGGGCTTGGTGATCCCGAGCTTGGAGGCAATGGCGGCGTTGTCGCCTTGTGATGAGTGACCCGCTTCAACAGACTCGCAAAAGGTAGCTTGAGTAACATCTGACAGCGGCTTCATCTTGATACTCTTTGGCTCTTGAAGGGCACCCTTACTCAGCGGTCGGCTGGTAGCACCTTGGCCCTTTACTGCAGCAAACAAAACACCCTTACCTTCCTTGTCATCTGCATCTTGTCCAGTAGTGACATCAAGGGGTGCTTGGTCGTCTACTGGGAGGTTGGGGCATCCAATCACGCCCAAAGTTGGAACGCCATCTACGAGCAACCCTAAGCAAACAGCGTACTGTCCGCCGCGCAGGAACCCCTTTGTGCCGTCAATGGGATCAAGTGCCCAAATCCTTCCCTTCCTGCCTCCCTCGCTGTTTCCTTGGTCGATAGCAGACAGCATTGCGTCGGCGCTCTTGATCGGCCCGCCAATCTTGGATTCTGCTGCACTGTCGTCCAACTTCGCTGCTTGTACTAGATCCCAGACAAGGTCGCGTAGCGAGTCGTTCTTGCGGAGATCATCTGCATCCTCTTCTCCAACTATCTCATCCTCGGGGAAAGCGTGCTTTATGGATGCAATTATCAGGGCCTGTGCGCCAAAGTCGCCAATCGTAACGGGGGACGAGTCGCTCTTGGACAGGGTGCCTTTGGAATGGCTCGAATATACCGACTTTGTGAGTATGGAGGCGCGCTGGACGGCCAGGAGAGCAATCTCAAGCTCTTTCTCATACGCCATGATGTGCGTACTAGAATTCGTATGTAGGAATTGTGACGTCTGTATTGCGATGGATGGGTAGATGTGTTGTTTCAATTGAGAAAGACGAGCAACACTGCGAGAGAGCAAAGACGGGTTGAGGAGTGAGAAAGCCAGGATGACAAGAGCTAGCAGAAAGAATCTTGATGGCGCGATGTGAGTGGACATGAGCTAATGGTCTTGTACCCCTCCACGCGCTGGTGGGGGTGCTGCCGTGGGATGGGTTCGCAGCGAGGGACCGAGCTTGGCAACGGCGGGCGGAGGTTACTGCTTTGGTAATGGCCGCCATAGCAACAACAACAACCCTACAGCTTATATGACCGACTAGCTGCTTTCGATATTGCCATCACACGCTGCTTTCTCTGTGTTGGCATTTTGACGTTTCTTTTTGCAACATCCGTCTGACATTCGGCTAAGACCCTGACTCTCTCGTCTGACCCGCATGAGAGTAAACAAAGACTGGTACACACAAGACCACCTACCTACCACATCACGGCGCACGCCACTCTGTGCATCAAAGCTCGAAACACGCCTACCCGCAATATCGCTGCCCAGCCAGCTCAATAGTACATAATGGCTTCGACACAGCAGCAGCCAGCGCTTGCAACCACCAAGCGCAAGTTCAACAAACTCCTCGACAACCTCACCGCAAGTACATCTACCACTTCACTCGCAAATAGCCTCCAAGAATCGAACGCATCGACGGAATCGCTTTCGGATCCAGATGACCCAAATCAACCAAACAAACGCCCACGCAGCGCAGGCTTGAGCACAGAGCGAGAACGGAACATATCAGAGGGCCAGGAGCGCATACGGCAACTGAAGGAGCAACTCATGACGCCGCGAAGAGAAGGAACCGTCAGAGTTGTAGGAAAGACACTATATACCCCCAAAGCCTCGACACCAAAGGCCTCAACACCGCGCAAAGAACCAAACTTCCAACCCTATAGCCAAGAGCATTTCCTCGCGAGGCTTAAGACGTTTGCAGATGTGAAGAAGTGGACCACGAAGCCAGATGCGATAAATGAGGTTGAGTGGGCCATGAGAGGGTGGAGCTGCGATATCTGGAACACAGTGGCCTGCAAAGGAGGCTGTGAGAACCGTGTGGCGGTCAAGCTGAGGCCTAAACGAAAAGACGCAAACGGAAGAGATCTTGAAATGAGCGAAGACCTCACAGTTGAGGTCGATAGTGCGTTGGTTCAAAGGTACAAAGAACTGATCGTTGAGGGACATGCCGAAGATTGCTTGTGGAGGAAGCGAGGCTGTCAAGGTATGCGCTGAGATGTATATGGAATCAACGCACTTTCTAACAACCGAAACAGAAGATATTTATCATATCCCCATCGCATCGCGAGCAAAGAGCTCGACTGAATTGCTCGATCGATATCGGTCTCTCAGGGCCATAGCTACCGACCTACCCTTTCTCGAACACATCACATACCCCGAGCCGTCGATACGCCGCATCGTCGAGCGCATATCCTCTACATTCTTCACATCGACGCCCGATACTCCATATCCCACGTCATCAACCGACATTGTAGCATTTGGCTTTGCTCTTTTCGGATGGACAGGTGTCTCAGAATCGCGCATCTCCCTCGCAGTATGCAACCACTGCTTCCAGCGTCTCGGCCTCTGGCTCTCCTCTGCCGAGCGCCTGCAAGAAATGAGCCGAAAACTCGAAGTACCCGTGGACAGCCTCCGCCTGAACCTTGTCGAAGCCCACCGTGAACACTGTCCCTGGAAAAACGCGGAGGTACAAGGAAATTCCAAAGACGGTCCCATAGCAAACATGGCAGCCTGGCAGACACTGCAGTTCATACTCCTAGGCAGATCTAAAGACGCCTACTCATCTTCTTCCGCCGCCGCTGCTCCAAATACCCCGCAGAAATCGACACCGAGAAAATCGCATGCCGGCCGTACAGACAGCGTTGAGTTAGATGCGGAGCTGGAGTATCCGCGCGGCAGTATGGATAGCGTTGATCGACCTAAGTATAATGATGAAGATGAGGAAGGGGGCCTCAAGGAGAAATGGATCAAGCTGAAGGCGAAATTGAAGCGCAGTGCTAGTAAAAAGAGTATGAAGAGCACGAAGAGCGGAAAGAGTGGGAAGAGCACTTTCACGAAAGAGAAGTAGATGATGCTCGGAGGCTTTTTTTTCTTTTTCTTGGAGAACAACGGCTTTCATGTGGTCAATTTGGTTACCTTTTAATGAATACTTTTTTCTTTTTCTTTTTAGGTACATAAAGATGAAGGATGCAGGGCAGATCGGAGGGAGAGAAAGAACGTTGTCGAGGATGGATGAATTACAAAATTTATAATCCTACTCTTCTAATTCAACCACGCTCGAATTGTCTATGTCACGCTTCCAGATATTTTCAAAGCGAAAAGTCGTAAGATTGGGGATAGGATAGCTCAAAATGAATTGCCATTTTAACAACGAAAATAAAACGTTGTAGTGCAGTCTATCGAAAAAAGGCCCGTCAATGTCGGGACTTTCACAAAAAAAAGGATACAAGAGAAGTTCAAAAAAAGGGTAAAGAAAGAAAGGTGTGGAAAGAATGGTTAAACTGATTGAACAACCGAAAAAGATGCAAAAGAGACTATGAAATGCAAAGACCCAGGAAAAACCAGCTACTATGACACAACAATGGGAAAAAAGCCAGCAGAAACCAATCACATAATTCCCTCCCTTCCCTAACCCTACACCCTTCCTGTTGTCCCTATCCCTTCCCCCCAATTGATTGACCCCACCCACCAAATTCGCCCCATGCTTACCAAGTGCAAACAAGCCCAAAAAGAACAGAACAGAACAGAACAAGAATAAGGACAAAAATAGATAAAATAAATTTCCCGAGTTTAGGGTATCACGTATTGGAGATGCCCACCGAACCCCCACCAACCCGCACACTTCGCCCATTTCCGTCCTTCCGCCCCAAACCCACTTTCCCTTGAATCCATTTCCGATTTGCCAAAAGATAAGTGAATAAATAAATAGACAAGATAAGACAAGTAGGTTCCAAAAAACGAGTAAAGAAAAGGAAAAAAACGGTGATGGATTCAAGTAACGAGGTGAAAAAAAAGAAGAGAAACCAAGAAGAAGAAAAGGTCCAACAGGGATTCTGGAGACTTCTTTTCCTCGCCTTTTCCTCATCCCCTAGCTCTCATCAGCTAGGCTCCTTTCTTTCTTTCTCAAGCGCTGTTTCCTCCTTGAAAATGCCCTTCAACTCCCCCCTATCCGCGATGAAAACTGCATATCTGATATCAAAAAAAAACTATGTATATATATGTGTATTGTTATATATTGCATTTTTTTTGTCAAGCAGCAATGGTAGGGGTGGGTGTAAGAACGCCGCCACCCATGGTATCTTCGTCATCGTCAAATTCGTCGACAAAAGTGCTTTCGGTACCTGCGTCCAAGTCGTCCGTGTCAATGTCTGCTTCTTCACCAGCATCGTTGAGGTCCTCAACTTCCTCTAACCCCTCTGCTGCGTGCACGTGTTGGGGTTCGAGTTCCACGGGCATGTGCATGGCGTGAGTGTTCATGCTGTTTCCATATGTGTTCGGGGGTAGATGAATCTGCGACAGCTCATGTTGAAGAGCTTCAATGTTCTCATGCAGATGCTCCGTCATCTCAACATTGTTTTCCTCGTCGTCGGAATGGTCGTATGCGGTGTAAAAGGGCGAGGGACCAGATGCGGTGATGCTCGTAAAATGTGCTGGTTCTTCCGTCACGCCAAACACTGTCGTTACGGTTATAGAGTCAGGGCTCGGGATGGGATCGGCGTGGTACACGCCCGAGAAAAATTCGTACATGGCTCCAGCTAATTCATCGGCATGTCCACGCTCCTCCTTGTCCTTTTTCTGTTTCGCCATGGCCCGTTGTTCTGCTTCTTTCTTGGCTAGAATCTCGGCTTCTAACCTGCACTTTGCGCGAACACTGGCTTTACGTGCGCATGTCGGGCAATGGTAGTTGACGGTACAGAATGTGCATGTGCACGACTGTGTGGATGCAGAGCATTGCTAAATCTAGTGTCAGTATCATATGGTAACCTTATGGAAAGAGGGGGACGGACATCACAAACAAGGACTGCGCACTCGGAGCACTCTTTGAGCATGGCAGGACATTGCGGTCTGCTGTCTCCCACCGGTCTCGGGTATTGGCAAAAGTAAGCCCCGCAACCTTCCCATTGAACAGGGTGACGTGGATTGCATGGCAACGGAAGCGGATTCGTGACTGGATGATTGACAGGTACTCGTTGTGGGTTTTGCAACCAAGGGCTCGTAGATCGACCCCTGACACCAGAAACACTGAGGGATCGTGGGCGCGCTGAGCTGACAGGAACAAAAGACAACGAAGAAGCAAGGGGAAATGGGTCGGGATTTGGCATCGAGTTGAACGAGGTTGTAGTCGGCATGTCGATTGAGGAATGCTGTGGAGGAGCAACAAGGATCTGTGACTGTGACATTGGTGTCTCGGAGGATTCAGACTCGTTGTCTCCGTTGGAGTACAAGTCGATATTCGATGAAGATGCAGTAGGCGTGCGCTCGGGGTCGGGTGTACTCGCTCGGTTTGGGTTAAACTCGGGGATGACGAGGCGTTGTGGTGGCTCATTGTGTGCTCGAACATGCTCCCGCTCCGTGTGCAGTTCCCTGTAGCCACACTTGCGGACCTTCAATGCCCTGAAGTCATGTTCCTTGCAAATGGGGCTCTTGCAGGCCCGACACGAGACCTTCCATCTAAAACTCCTATAACAGTCATTGCACAAGCCTCTGGGACATGTTTGCTGCTGTAGGTCTAGCGAATCCTGCTTCAGGTATGAGAGTATGTCAACGTCCTCGCCAAGCACATATTCATAGAGGCCATTGTTCTTCAACTCCCGGATATAGTCGACAGGCCGGAGCGAGTTGCTAAAATCAGGGTCTTCAAACTCTTTCTTGCGTGGCAGGGGCGCTGCACGTATCTTGTCTGCCCCTCTGCCTCCCAACCCAGTGCCCAGCACGGCGATTCCACCACCACCAGAAAATATAGGCTCCAGGCAGCACCAATGCATGTTGAGCTTGGGAGGTTCACGGTTAGCAGGTGGGGCAGGCATTCCGTTGTTCATGTTTCCGCTGTCTTCAGAGTCGGAAGAATCGTCATCGTGCGCGCTCTCATTCATGAGGTTTGGTGATCGCGTCGCTCCGGGTGCCCACCAAAAACGATTCCGGTCAGCCCTCTCTTCTTGACTGCGCTCCTCTGCAGACGGAATCGACCCGGATGCTTGTCCAAGTGAACCCAGCGTACCCAGAGTGCCGGTATTTCCGAAAGCCAGGTTTGTAAAATGCCGTGTCTTTGCGCGTTTTCTCGGTATTGGTCTGTTGAAGGCGCAGCTCGCACACAGCGTCTTCCGACAGCCCATGCAGTGCATACGAACACTGCACGACTCGCACCGCTCTAGAATGATGTCATCGCATTGTGAACATTTGACGTCCTTGACAAAGGCTGTGTGACTCCTTCGTTCGTGCACTGGGACGTGTTTGCCTTCTCCTGCAAAGTCGCTGTTGTCAGGCCCAAGTGGCTCACCATCTTGCCCCGTCTCAGCAATTTCCCATAACCTGCCATCGTGGTCGCCCAGCTTCTTGGTGCCATCCACTGGCCCTACGCGGTTACTTGATCGCCAGAGCCTGTCAAAGGGGACCCAGACCTCCATGTTCAACGGACCTGCTCTTCCTGCATGGTAGTCTTTTCGCCGAAAGCACCTGCCGCCAGGGCTCGGACACCATGCAGTGTCGGTCCATATTCCCAACTGATGGCATATCTCGATAAGCTGGTGAGTGGGGTCGGAGTCGGAGTCTCTTCGGATGAGAGAGGAGGGAAGATAAGGGCGTCGACGGTGGTGTCGGCAGCGGTAGGTGTAAAGGCTTTTGAGGGCGAGGTCCTTTTGGATCCATGGGGCGTCCTTGAGGGTGTAGGGTTCCAGGAATGGGACAATGTGGTATTTGATGGAGACGTTCTTGCAGCCGCGGACAGACAGGTGCTGGAGCGTGTGCATGCGCGGGCCGAGGACGCTCCCGACCAGGGCTATGCCTGTGACTGCTGTGTTGCAGAGGTCTAGGCTGGTCAGCCGTGTGCCGTTGGGGGATATGATGTGTTTGAGGAGGGCGTCAAAGGAGTAGGCCTTGGACTGGCGCTCCCGGTTGTCGGGCGTCTCATTGCCCGGGGAGCCGACGGTTACGGCGGGCTGGGGCAGGCGAAAGGACAGCGTCTTCCATGCGAGCGGGTACTGGCGGAGGAAGTCGCGCAGATGACGCGAGGTGTGGTAGAGTTGGAGGAGGGCGGCGGTGGAGATTTGGGCGAGGAGCGATTCGAGGATGGGGGGATAGGCGGTGATGATGGATTCGAAGAGGCTGAGCGAGGCGTCGTGTGCAGCGGCGTGGGCCATTGCCGTGGACGTGGGTGTGGGTATGGGTGTGGTGGTGAGCGAGTCGCAGGTCCATACGGCCGCGTGGACGTGCTGCTGTTGCGTGGCCATGAGGGAGCCAGCCGCGACGGGGGGAGGAGAGAGAGTGCAGACAGAGACTCTCGAGGGATGTGGACATGCACAAGCGCCGCGCGTGGGTTGTGTCGCGCAGGCGAGGATGGTCGTGTGAGTGAGGCGTGGGCGGGCCGTGGGTCAGTCAGTAGTCAGTAGTCGGTAGTAGTCAGTCGTAGTCGGTCGTCGGGAGAGCGCACACACACACGCACACACGCACACAGGCTGCTTGACGGGCCAAGCATCGAAGGCGATCCGGTTGTCTGGCCGGGCGATCCTGAGCCTCTGTCTCTGCCTCAGCAGCCAGCGGGTCCAGCTACGGTCAATTCGCCATGGACAGGTTGGAACACCGTCCCATGCCACGGCCGCCGCCGCCTCTCTTGAATCCACACCAGCAACTGTTGGGCGCGCCAAGCACACGTCTTCTGCTGCATAATGGCATACATGGGCAGTCGGCCCTGCTGGCGCTGGTGGCGCGGCACACATGCTACGGTGGGTTGGCGTAGCCTATCGGCCACCAGCCCACCAGCCCTGCCACTGACTTGCATCTGCATCCATTGTCTGCCCGCCAGCTCAACACCGAGTGTCTGGCTGGCTGTCTGCTTCAATCAGGCCTAGTGTCTTTGCTGCGTGACTACTAACTGCCCATGTGGCTGCGTAACGTTATGTGTCTATGTCCAGTACATACGGTACATGACACACCTGTCTACAACCCCTCCGTCGCACACACACGGCCTTTGGATGCTCCTGCAAATAGGCATGAGCAGTATGTAGGTATTGATCACGGCCATGTCATGTCCACTATCGTCTAAACAAAGGCGCCAGCTCAAGCCCAAAAAAACCAAACCCCCAATCACTCCAAACACACCCGCTTGCACAATCGGAAACGCCAAGCCAAACCCACAACCCAGGTCACCACCCCTTGCGCCTAGCAACCCACGTGAGCCACGCCGTGGCCAGTAATCCTACAAAAACAAACAAAAGCCTCCATGGCTTGCTGCGTTACCCAGACCGGGCGCACGATGAAGTGGCACCCACTCGACACAATCGTCAGATAACCACCGCCTGGCCTTCTGACAACCACCGCTCTGACCCCACTTTGCCACTGCCAGCACCACCACACCTACTGCCGCCCTGACCGCCAGTAATCCCATCCATCCTACTGTACCTAGAACACCCAGTTGCCCTCCGTGTCTTGATCCTCCAGCCCATCAAACAACACAATGTCCCAATCCACCTTCGATCCTGTCCCACCCCCCCATGATGGCCATAGCGAATTGCTAGTAAACGAGAGGATGGGCAGACGATCGCCAGATGCCGTCGCATTCATCAGCTTCCCCGCGTCAGAGTCAATGTCAAACGCCGTCCGCACCGGCGGCTTTTGGAACTCCATCTCCACTGTCCCAAAAAACGGCAGCGTGTGTCGTGTGCTCCCAACCGCCTGTCGGTTCGGATCCAACGACGATAGCATCTTCTTCAGTGTGATGGCACTGCGAGCTGCTATCTTTTCCCGTGCTCCTCCTGCCTTGGCCAGCCTCTCCATCTCGCCAATCAACCGGCATATCATGGCAAAATCTGTTCCCTTTGTCTGTTGCACCTCCATCTTGTCCTTTGAGCTCAGATCAATCACAATGTCTAACGTAAGCGTCACTGCCGCAAGAAACACGGCCATCTCCGCCAGTCGACAGCACGCCTGTGTCATGTTGGCGTTTCGTAGCGCAAACCATCGCATCAAGACGTTGCGACTTGCATGCAGTGCCGTCACCTTTGAGTAGTCGTATCGCCTATCGTGCTGAGCTCGCAGTAAGTATGGTAAATGAATAAACATTCGTGTCTCATAGTGAGACATCTGCACAATCAGTCGCTCCAGTGCTGCCGACGATTCAGGCGATCTTGCCGTAGGCGGAATATTTGGCACCTCCCAAAACTCTTTTGGCATCTCTCGCATGGCTACCTCGAGCTTCTCATCCAGCTTAAGCGCTGCAGAATACCCTTGTGGCGACACTTCGCGGTCCAGCTCTGCCACCTGCCCAATGATCTCGTTGAGCTTCACACGGTGTTGAAGATACAAGTCCGCATCCACTGGCACTGGATAGTTCTCCGCCCCCAAAGGAAGCCGAAGATGCAGACACAGGTACCGATCCACGTCAACAAAGGTACGCCATATACCTTTTGCATTCGACACCGTTGGAATCGGTGGCTCGTGGTCTGGCTGCGCTATGATGCGCTGGAATCCCATGAGATGGGCCAGATTGAGCCCACGCCGAACCACCAGCCACGACTGTCTCAGTGATGCGTTAGTTAGGTGGTAGAATGCGAGTAGAAGTAGCGTCTCAAGCCCATGCAGTGTCATCATCTGTTCATCTGACGAGGCAACAATAGATTTAACCGTTGCAACATAGCTCTGCACGGTCACGTCCAAGTCATGTATGCTCGACAATCGCGATATATCAAAGTCGGCCGGGAGTGAGTTAAGACAGATGGCCAAGTGCAGAAGCGTCCGAGCCACAATGATTGATCTTTCCTGAGCAACTGCTTGCATGTCGAGGGCGTATGACTGTATGTCTTTGCGCACGTAGATTTCCGGCGACGCTCGATATATGTTCTCGAGTATCGTCCAGCCGTTCGATGACTCAAACACAATATCCGCGTCGTGTTGCGACGGCAGCAGAGCCACTAACGATCCATGGGCATGGTTATATACCTCGAATGATTCTTTGCGCTCTTGCTTATCCACAAGCGTTTGTATCGAAGGCGCCGAAGTCCATGTTTTTGCACCGAGCTGCTACTGTCAGTGGGTCATGTGCCAGCAAAACATAGGGAACTCACAATGCCGTCTCCTATCAACGACTCGCTCCGCGCATCGCTTGACACGCCTAACCTACACCATTTACTAATCTTCTCGCTCGGTCCTGAAGCGGTCAAGGGCGGACTTTGCAGCCCACTCGGTGTGCTATCTGTGGAACTCTTGCGACACACAAATCTTTCAAAGAGCCGTTCAAGCTTGCTCAGTCTTTCCGCCATATGTATTGAGCATGTATTCTCCTCGTCTGCAGACCCTGAATGACTTTGGTCCATGCTAACCAATGGTGGCATACTGGCTTGGCCTACATGTACGTGAACCTTGCGTTTCTTGCCTATGGAAATGTCAGTACACAGCCCCAAACATAGTATATCATCTCCTATCCTACATTGCCAACAAGCCCGATGGGGGCTTTTGGATATTCTTTTCCTAGAATGGTTACTCGTGTGGCTGGGCATATCCATAGTAGCTTCATATAACATGCAATAATTGGGTTCTCTGATCTGCCTGTTGACATATCGTTTTGTAAAGGGTGCGACCTTACTTTCATAGCGGGGCGAAGGTAATGCGATAGCGATGGCGGATGTGGAGCTGACAATTGGGGTGCCGGCCGCAATTCGTCCGCACTTAAGGGTCAGGCCGAGAATAATCCATACTAACAGGGCGTCCACGCCCGGCCCTTTTTTAGTACCCGCATACTATCGTAGCCACTTTTACTTTGGCACGCATGGTCGTTACGATGTCCTCATGGATGTAATTCGTTCTTGCACCTCTTGGCCCAGCCCATCGTCGTCTCCAGGTTCCAGAGCGAGTCGATCTATCCGGATAAAAAACAAGTGCGCTGTATTATTGATACCATGCCACGGATCACGCATCGATGGAGCGAGTAATCGGAGCGCGACCGCTGCTTAAACGCCCTATCTCCGCGATGCGCAAAGCGCACACGGAAAGCGCATGCACAACATCGACAGGTTGCACCAAAACTGGCTAACGCTTACGCTACCGTGTCCTAGGAGATCAAACTTTCCCGGATCTACTGTTCCCGTCGTGTCGCATTACTCAACTGTTTTGGTCCATATCATCGGTGATGACCATCCCTTTCCGACGTCCGTTGCCCGAGTAAAACTGTCCGGCAATGACAAGTTTTGTTGCTACAAGGCCCCACGCGATACTGTTGCAAGACACGTCGTACCTTTGAGATCGTCTCCAACTGGTGGGTGCATCTGACAAACGGGGACTTTGTGATTGGGTCCTGCGATTGCCGACATCGACTACGCGGACGACGCGCAACAACTGAAGACGGACTATTGTCACGAGTATAACTTAAGGATTCATTGTAGAAACGCTAACGCCAAAATTGATGCGTACTCCTCACCACCCCGGCATCTGCATGTATGGGTGACCAGGGCGGAAGGGAACTAAAATCATTCGTTACCTACCAGAGACGGCAGGTATGCGGAGGATCAAAGTGCGCGATTCGATCTTCGGTTTTGAAGAAGGCATCCGACTCGATTTTCGATTGCCAGAAAGAAGCACGTGGCCTGCTTTATGTGGGGCGAAACGGTGCCCAAACGCCTGGGTTTGAGATTCCGAACATAAAAAGGTTTGCATTTATACCCCGACCGAAATATGGGCATATGCATATGTATACAGGTAGCCCCGCCGGGTAATTTTTCATGTGATGCTGGCCGATTCCTCAGGTACAGTGCTGAGTCAAATCGAACTTGCGCTGCCACAGTGATTATAGTCATGAATAAAAGTGAGGAACTCGTTAAAGCCATGTAGCTCTGTGGGCAGAGCCAAGAAGACGATGCGGGAAACGAATGAAAGCCACACACATTCGAGCTGGGTAGTAAGTAGTAAGCGTGGATAACAAACAAAGTCTCACATCATTATTCGCGGATGGACAAGTGGGAAAGGGTTGCGCATGACTGCTATGCTCTCCCAACCGTTGAGAGGTAGCCAGTGTATCTTCTGCAGGCGCAGATGCTGACGGAGTCCGTAGGCGTACCCGTTGTCGATTTTGTCAGCACTCTTATTCACTATCTGCGGCGAATGCCTAACTCCGATGCAATGCAATCTGTGTAGTGACCATCTCAGGCATACATGTCGTCATAATCCTCCTCGTCGTCAGCGAGCGGTGGAGGGGGCTGCTTTTTCTTCAACAATTCTTTGCGATCAAGAGGGCACGTAGAGTTCAGCTTGAGCCACGGGCCTATGCAGTCGAGATCAAAGCGGTGATCGTCGTGACATGGAAGCTGAACCACAAGCGGATATTTGTCTATGCACGCCTTGGTCAGCTGTGCTCCTTCCTAGTGCGATATGCAGCCTACCTTCGAGGAAAGGGTTGACACATATTGGACATGTATCGGAAGGTTTTAGTTTCTCCTTGGGCACCCTTTCCAACTCGTCCAGGAAGCTGTCGGGTACGCCCTTGAGTTCAGTGGGCGGATCATCGGCATTCTCGCGCAATACCTCAATCATACTAGCCAACAAGTCTCCCTCTGCGTTGGCCGCGTCCGCCGGTCGTCCGCGCATTGTCTCGAAAGCGTTCGCAAGTAAGCGGAATGCCGCTGCCATATTCTCGGGCTGGGGGAGAGCATTGGGGTTTGTGTGTGACCGTGGATCGGATGTGTCTACAAGTTCGAGCTGTGAAAAGAAGGTGGATAGGTCTGGCCGGCGCGGAGGCTGCTGCGACTTGTCATCCTTGGTGGATATATTGTGCTCGACTGCCTCTGGTTATTCTACCGACTGTGTTTCCGGACGAGCAGACTTACCCTCGTAGCCAGACATTGTGGCAATAGTTCCAATTGCGGTGGGTATATGGAGGCTCCCGATGCGCTCGCCAGTTCGGCTTATGGAGCTGTGCAAGACTACGCGTCACAGCGGCTGCCTTTGACGCGAGCATAGGGAAGAGGCGACCCCGCTGTGGCACGTGTGTGGCGCAGCGCGTGTGGCGCATGCCACAGGCAATTCTTGGCTCGACGTCGCCTCTTTCCACTGGTACTTTCGGACACTGCAAATGTCCAACGGCCGCTTTTCCACTCCGAGTGGCGCGCTACGTCTCCATGTCCCCGGAGCAACAAGGAGATTGGGTGGCGAGTAACGGTGAGCCCCTGCCCGACAATCTGCGCATGTGCGCAATATCGTTTCCGTGGGCATTTTAATTCAACGTGTCCTGGCACAACCCCAGCTTCGAGCTCCTGTCCAAGCAACCAGATGGGCATCACCATCTTGACAGTCGGGTTGCAAGAGCTGACGAAAGCTTATGATCGACAAGCAAACCCTTAGCCCTGCACCACAGTCAGAACAGGTCGAGACTGCCTGATTGGGAGCGGTTGGCGTCAAGTCGGTGCAGATAACTGGGGCACGGTGGAGCCCGGTGATCCAGATCATGCACAGCCTCCTACTCCTAGTGCCCGCAGCGTCACACATACTTACCCCCTCCAAACACACCTTCGTAACGTGCCGAAAGGGGCGCAGCCTTTTCACAGCGGCAACACCGATAAGTAAAGCTGGTCTCACAAAAAGGCGCGATAGCCACTGTTCGCCATTCAAAGCCTAACCTGTTCGTCGCCAAAAACATTCATCTTCTCATTGTACACACTCACCGCCTTGGCCAAAGAGTAACGCTGACGACAATTCTACATTGTTGAATATCCCTTTTAAAAAATTTCCCGGCCCGCTCCATGTCGCTGCTCATCATGTCGACCGATAACCCCTCTGCCTTGGACAAATTATCACCGTCGTGGATCCGTCGCCCACTCTCGCGGCGTTCAACGTCACCACAAAAAAGCATGAGCCCAACAACAGCAAACGGTTTTCTGGCGCCAGAGCCAACACGAAGTAACAGCGACGAATCTCGCTCGCCACGCTCAAGCACTTCTAGTCGCCGTGGTTCAGTACGCGAAATAGTCAGCAGACTCCGCTCCTCGTCAAGCACCAGCATGGCCAGCAGCAAATCACGGGACATTGACTTTAACGAGGTAGAAAATTGGTTTCATGGCTTCCGAAAGTACAATCAGCTCGTCTGTAACACCATCTCGCCAAACCAGGCGTACCCATCGAAAGAATTCACAAAGGCATCTAAAGCCTTGTCCAAAAACTGTGGTGGCCAGTTTATTCACGGCTTACCCGAGGCTGTATTCGATTTCTCATTATTATGGTGTCCTGCAGGTCACTTGACTCGAAAAGATACGGACGAACCAAGCTGGAGTTGGTCTGCATTCAGCGGCCCAGTGAATTTCCCCTTTGACCCTACTACCTGTCCAGACGTCTACAAGACGCCGCGTGGCGAGGGCGAGTGGTTTCGCTCCGAAGTCTTGAACTACCACATTGGACCCGAATTCGCACAGTATACCATACGACGCGAAAAGGGCAGCAGCTCGCTCCGCATCAAATACCCACCTTATTTTCACGCCCCACGCGGCTCAGATCACAAGACAAATTCCAACACTTTGCGCTTTGCCGCATCGACAATTTCCGCGGATGGCTTTAGTGCAGAACAACTCGACCACGAGGGCAAGCAAATTCCCTGTTCGCACCTCATAAACGAAGACGACCAGCACTGCGGTGTAATTATGGACTACGAATCTTCTATTTCCCAACCATCGTCCACAGGGCCCTACGAATTCATCCTGCTCTCGCGCAACCTATGGCGCAAACCGTGTCCTGAGAACCGCAAACCAGCTGGTCTCAATACCATGCATCCGCCTGGTACGCCCATCTGGGCTGAAGACCATTTCTTGTGGGACAAGGAGGTCGACGATTTTGCGGCTGAGCAGTTTGAAGCTGGGCCTTGGAAAATGCTCAATGTTATGTTGATCAAATGGGTGGGTGAGCATGCTGAGCGGGTGGCTGTGGCGAGGATACACGAGGACGCGTGGACTCGGCGGAGCCCAGTCAAGAAGGACATTGTGCTCCGGTAAAGATTTCCTTTTCGTTTTCATTTTCTTTTGTATGCTCTGTTTTGTAAATGGGGCGTTTTGTGTTCTTCTGCTTAAATAAAACCTGACGATACCCCTCTCTATAAGCTTGAAAATTAATCATACTATTCTGTTACTGGGCAATGCACATAATCACATCGAATGAAGTGCTACAAGAACAGAGTACTTTCTACTTAATCATACATATCAAAACATTAAACTGACAAATAAAGTGACCAGAAATCTGATTACTATATTCCAGTCCCTCCACAGTGATTACACTTTCTTCTTGAACTGCCTTGCTACCGTGAGCCTTGCAAAGATGACACACAGTGCAGATACAGTCGCCGTACCGCCAGCATAGAAGATGGCCGGGCGATAAACACCAATACTCTGACCCGCAGCATTCTCCTTTCTCCCACCTGCAGCTTGCAAAAGATAGCCAGCAATGGGTGCACCCATGAGATAACCGCCGGTCCACCCCGTCACAGACATGCTCATGGCAACGGCCGCACGGCCAGGACCAAAGATACCAGCGACAACAGTGGGCTGAGTGGTAAAGTAAGCACCATTGGCGACTCCGTTTATAATGGCGAACAAGACGAGGGGACCCAAGGTACTCGAAACAGGCCAGATAGCCAGCATGCTCGCCGCATTGAGCGCCATAGTAATGACAAACATATTGAGCGGTCCCAACTTATCGCACAGCGGCCCAGCAATAAAACGGCCAATAGCACTGCAAGCGTTGAATGCAGAGACCAAGCCCGCACCCGTTGTAGGACCAAGGCCAATCGACTGCGCAAACAGCGGTAAATAGTAATTCGGAACAAAGAGGGCAAAAACACCAATAGCACTCGCAACAAACGTAGCAACAAACGTCCCGCTCCGGAACATGCTCACATCCACAAACGGCACATTCCGCAATGGTACTCGATCCTTGAGCATGCACGCCGCCGGTAGCCCCAAAGCCAGCGTAAGCAAGCCCTGGATACGAAATGTCCACGCAATCCCCACACGTCTGTACAGCGCCTCCAACACAAGCGCCATGACGCACCCACCTATGCCGCCGCCCAGCTTGATAAGCCCGTTGGCGAGCCCGAGGCGCGCGCTAAAGTACTGAACAGGCAGCGTATTCGCAACCGCATACACCATGGCCATGCCCACGCCCCCAACAACGCCATACGTGCCGAACAAGCCGGCCAGGTTCTTGGTGCAGAAACTGGCGCCGATCAGACTCAGCGACATGAGGCTGATGCCGAGCAAAATGGTGGTTTGGCAGCCGACGTGCCGCATCAGGCGTATGGCGAGCAGGCCGTAGAGAGCGCCGCCGGCGAGACCGAGGGAGCCGACGTAGGCGAGGGTCGAGGGAGGCACGGTTCGAAGGGTGGAGTTGAGCAGCGCGGCTTGGAGGACGCCCCAGCAGTTTATGATGCCGTTGTGGCAGAAGGTTGTTATCGAGCAGCCTAGCACTATGATCCAACCGTAACCGCCGTCCGGGATGGCGGATACCGAGTATGCTGCATGTTCGGGGGCTTCATCGGGGGTCTGGGTGAAGGATATGGGAGGATGGAGCGAGGGTTTTGTTGCAGGGGGTTTGAGAGTGGTTGTGTTTGGCGGTCGTATGGGCGTTAATTCGATGTGGTCTTCGTAGATTGTCGTTGTGGTTGTAGTGGCCATTGCGCAGGTGGTTGTAGCCTTATTTATTTATTTTTTTGCTTCGATGGTACGAGGAGAGGAGCTGTATGAGACAATGTTCAGTCATTATGAAGCGGTACCTTTTCTTTTAAATAAACATATTGCGGGAATCTCTTAAAGTTACTTCAACGGTGACCTACGGTTTACCATCGGAAAGCGCTAGAGCACGCCCTTTGGCACCTCTTTTTGGATAGCTAGATGTCAATATTACCTAAATGAGTCACATTGGTCGAGGAAGCTAGCAATCCCAACAAACTACACATTCTATCACGTGTCAACGCTTTGCATTCGAGATGATTTCGCATCAAAGGCGTTAAGCGGGTGATGGAGTGCGGGGAAAGAACTGTATGCATTGCAGCTGAGGCTTGCTACTAGTCATTCAATGTGCTGCAGGGTCCATGCCCTTAATTCCATACACGCAATCCCCACTTTACACCTCATTGATCATCACGCCAGCTTACAATGTTGGAAGCAACGTGAGAAAGCAGGTTTACGCAACCAGACCCGAGTTTCAGGGTCATGCTTGGCAATCTAAGTTACCCCCCGCCTCTCTCTCTTGCTATACATACTTGAATCAATGGTATCCCAAACCACTTTCAACTACCTGACTGCTTTCCTATCAATTCCCTTAAACAAAGCAGTCTGAAGCTTTCTCCTCCATCTTGACTCTGGGCCAAAACAACAATGGCAACCGAAGACACAGTGGACCTGTCCGACTCCCATGCCCCGCACCAAGCCTCCCTCGACGCCTTCTCCTCCATCCTCGAAGACGTAAAGGCAGAACTCATCAAACTGCGTCGTGATCATGATAGTAAAAGAACCACCCTTTCCCATTTCCCTTTTTCAAAAAAAAATCACCCTCAACCATCCACCCACCCAATCAATCATTCCTTCAAGAAGGAGAACATAACAATACAACTCACAACCCCCCCCCCCCTTCATTTTCAAAATAACACTCTAACATCCCATACACAACACCACCCCTAACGAACTCAACCTAAAACAGAACACGAAGCGGAATACTTTGCCAGAGTCCGGCACCTCTCCGACGCCCAACTAACATCCTTCTCGGCCTCGGACCTGGAACTCGTGCGCGTCGCCACATCCGCCTACGGCATCCATCTCTTCGGCAAAGTCAAGCTGCGCGCGCTGGACGACGGTGACGACAATGGCGGCGGATACATCCACATTCGCATCTTCGGGGCTGCAAAGGAAGGCACGGATGGAAGTAGTGCCGACGAACGCGTGTACAGTTTACATAGCATACATACGGAGGAGGTGGTCAAAGAGGATGGGGATCGAGTGTATCGGGCGGTGTTTGGCAAGGAGGATGCGTTGGAGTGGTTTGATACGTAAATAGCGAGGGAAAAGGGAGCATGTTTGTTAATGGATTGGATGACGGAAGAAAGAAAGAAAGAAATGTGTATGTATGTTTGTGTATGGCTTGGTTTGGGAGAGAGAGAGAGAGAGAGAGAATGGAAACAGTTGATGATCAAGAAAAAAGGTGGGGGTTCATATTTTTTTTTCATTCTACATCAAGATAATAATATAAGAAAAAAAAACGCCAGGAAGGGTTTAGAATGAGTCGCCGAAAAATTGGCTGGCGAGGGTGATGTCTTTGTCTCCATTGGCAAAGTCCCAGCCTACGATTGTGGGATCTTGACTGCAGCAGATGATTCTACGTGCGTCGAATTGGAGTTTGAACACTCGCGAGTTAGTTCCGTTTGTGTTGAGGGGTGCAGCTAGTGGGTGTGGAGCGTGGTGATGATGATGGTGATGGTGGTGATGATGTGGTTGCGCGTTTGCTGGACCTTGCTGTCCGACTACTGCATGATTGACTGCCTGGTTGTGCGCCATGGCAGACCCAGCTGTATTGCTACCCACGGCGGCGTTGTTGCCGATTGGGCCATGCATAGCTTGTGAGGCTGCATGAAGAGCATGTGCTTGTTGTGCCAGAGTCTGAGCTGCTTGGGCTTGTGCCTGAGCCTGCTGTGCCAGCGTCTGGAAATTGTTTTGTTGGGCGGCATTGGGCTGCTGATTATGATGTTGTCCTGCAGCATTTGCGTTGGCTGCAGGTTGAACGACTGGCCTCCTAGGTCGGCCGCCCGCGGCTCGAACTGCGTCGTTTTGAAGCAATGTCTGAGACTTTTCCCAAGCTCCATCAGGCCCTCTCTTCCAAATAATTACAGTTTCGTCATAAGAACCGGATACTATGCGCGCCCATTTGCTGCCTCCACCACCTGGGGGTAACTTGGCTCCGTAGGCAAAGACTTTGGTTGGGTCGCGTGACCCAGCGTTACGAGCACGTCTCTCCGCTCTGCTGAGATTTTGTTCAGATAGCATTCCACTAGCTTGTGCGGCAAAGTAGTTTCGATCCACAATACGAGCCTCAGCCTCCAGTTCCTCTTCATTGCCAGGCAAATCTCCGAACTGGGCTTGTACGGTACGTACAAGATTACTATGACCGTTCAAGCAGGCGACCTCGGCGCCGGTAGCACGATCAAATATCCGCACGCTCTCATCCGAGCTTCCACTAACGATGCGTCGTCCATCAAACTGGACGCAAGCAATGCCCTTTGTGTGGCCAGAAAAGGTTCGGGTGCACGCACCAGTCCGGACATCCCAGCATTTGACGCTTCTATCGCCGGATGCAGAGACAATCTGTCCGTCGAGAATCTGAATGGCATTCACTGCTGCGCCGTGACCTTCCAAGGTCATGATGAGGCTGTAAGGGGCAAGAGGCTTAAGGTGCAGATGCTCCTGAGCGACGTAATCCTGCATGTTAATTATATATGATGGAAACTTGGCAGCGGATTTGGTGGTTGACGAGGGATAGGTATCATCCGTGGGCATCATTTCCTTGCGATTCCAGACTTTGATGGTCTTGTCTTTTGAGCAAGTGACCAAGTAGCGGTCATCGAACCTGAGATTCAAGACTGACTCTGAGTGGGCCTTTTCAATTTCCTTGATGATGCGTCCAGTTGAAAAGCGCCACAGAATGACTCTGCAATCACTGCCGCCAGACACTATAATGTCTTGGTCGGGCCGCTCGTCAAACTGTAAACAGAGAACTGAAGCCGAGTGGCCAGTGAGTGGTGGGTGGACTAGGCGCAAAGTATCCAGGTTCCAGACTCTGATGGTTTTGTCTCGACTTCCACTGACGAGATACTTGCCTGAATATTGAATGGTATACACGCATTCAGTGTGGGCTTCTTCTGGGTGGTTAGGGTGTGGAAGTTGAAAGTTTGTAAATCGGCCAGCGCTCCAGTTGTCTTCTAATCGTCTCTTTTGCTTGTATAGAAATTGCCAGTTGATTTTAGCTTCAGGACCAGGAAGAAGGAGCGATGGATGGATGGGGGGTCCATTTGAGACTACAGAAGTTGTCGAGGATGTGGTGTCTTCGGATGGTAGGCCTTGGCGTCTTTCCCGGCGTAGTGCATTGGTAGGCGAGGCGAGAGGCGAGGTGCCGTGGAACGACAGGCCTTCCATCTTGTCCTCTGATTTGACAGGGCTGTCGTCGGCCTCGACTGCACCATGCTGCTCACCCCATGCGTTTCCGGTAGGGCGAACAGCAGAGGAGTCGACTGCATTTTGTGCTCCGTTGTCGGGCAGAGTCCCGTCGCCGAAAAGTTGTTGATTCCGCACGCGCTTCTTATGGGACGGCTTTCCGTAATCGGTATCTTCGGCTGCTCTATGTCGTGTCTTGCGCTCCTTTTCCTTGAAATCCGCGCGCTTCTGCCTTTGCGACTCTTCAAACGCACGCACCTGGGAGAAGTTTGAGTTCCAGCCCTCGAGCCTGAAGAGTAGTTTCCAGAGAGGACTGTCAAGCACGCGTTCTCTCCATGCGCGTGATAATGTGGATGCGCGCAGCAGGGTTTCTGGGCTGAGGTAGGAGAGGATCTGGAAGGTGATTTCGGGTGGTAGGTGTATGACGGGATCGAGATGGAGAAGGGGGTTCAGCTTCTCGACGATGCCGGCTATGGACGAGGTGCGTAGCGAGCGCAAGATGGCGTAGGCGAATTCTAGAATGGAGTGTTAGCATCAACTCGGGTCGGCTGCATAGTGGCAGACTTACCACTGCGCTCATTTTCGCTCAGAGCCAGAACCCAGTCGGGCAGGCTGAAGGGTAGATCGGGATTGCGATGGGAGTCACCGAGTCTCAGGTCGGTCTGCATAACCATGTCGCTCTCATTCTGGCTCCGGGTATCTTCCGAATAGCCCTCGTCGAAACGGTTGGCGCTCATGGAGGAGGCGGGACGGAAAGGATGCATATAGGGTGGGCCGGAAAATTGGACGTTGGCGTTGGCCAGAGGGCCTGCCATTGTGGTGCGCGCGCGAGCGGCGGGTGACGTGTGGGCTGGGCGAGTGGAGACGGGTACGGGCTCGAGCTAGTGGGCAGGCGATGGTATGGGGGATGGGCAAGAGGCTATGCACGGGTATGGATGCGGGTATGGATGGACGTATACGGAGGGCAGGCAGAGGAGGTTCTGTTTAGGCATGCGGGTTGAGGGGGGCTGCAGGTGCTGGGGCGCAGTGCTGCCTGGCGGGCTTTGTGATGGCCACGAGATGGGGCGGGTGGCGAGATGACTAAAGTGAGGGCGCGAGGGTGAATGGCAGAAAGGCTACAACATGTCACGGATGGCAGACGGATGGCGGATGCAGAGTTGAGCGTCGCGTTGAAGCGTCGACGGTGCTCAGCCGCGCCTCGACAGGCACATGTCGTTTGTTGCGGCAACCATAAGGCGGCCGTGCACAGAACCGCATTCACTCTTGATCTGCGGCTAGCCTTGGGCCTAGGCGCATGCGGCATCCGGGTGGTGCGGCGACATGGCTCGGCTGTGAGACATCAGATGCACGCCCACGCTAGAATCAGGGCCATGGAGCAGCACTAGAAGCTTGCGGCCAGCCTTATCTGCGCCTGGCGGCCGTGGTGGGAGAGTGCGAGTGCGAGGGGGAGCGGGAGCGTGGGGCAACAGGCATGTGGCGGGTGGGGGGACGAGGGAGAGGGAGAGGGAGCGACAGGCACGGCAGAAGGACAGGAGAGTGTTTTAGTAACGGGGCAACAAATCGCATGTGTCTGAGGAAGTGGAAGAAGAGGAGCAAGGAGAAGACGGAGACAGAAGATATGGCGGTGCCGGAGTGGAGCAGGTGCAGGCTGGTGTTGGCGGGCGATGGTCATGGTGGTGAAGAAGAAGACTCGCCAGTCGTGCAGCGTAGTCTCGAGTCGGCCATGTAGCGTCGTGGCCAGCAAGTGCGGCAGCGGGCATGTAGCTGGATAGCGTAGATGGTAGTAAATGGCATGCAATGTAACAAGGCGGTGGATGGCGGCCCAAGGCATCCCCTTCTGCCGGCAGAACAGCGGGCGAGCAGACGGGGGCCTGTCGTCGCAAGGGAAGGGCGGCGCCTCGTCGATCCACTCATTTCCACGGCGCACATGGTGATGAAGCACCCTCTGCCACGCCCGCCCGCCTGACTCACGGCGGCTCGCCCTGTGTGTGTGGGCAATGGGCGGGCAATGCCCAACCGACGACGCCTGTCATAGCCATCCGCCTGCTTGCACGGCGGCTTCTGTATGTGCCATGCACGCACCCATCACATACATACACACACACACTATCCCACGACATGGCAGACGCAATCCATGTCACGTGTCGTTCTGCCGGCCCGGGTGAAACAGCCAACGCGCCCCTTTGAGCGGCGGGCGGGCATGCCACACAAGGCGGGCGGCATCCTCGACGCCTTTCCCAGACACACACACGCCTGCTCCTCCTCTCCTGCTCTTCTCCTCTCTGCAACATCCACACGCCCTCGCACATCCACTCCCTCGCCGGCACACTCGCGCAAAAGCCGGAGCTGCAGCCCTGTGCCCAAGAGCCGCCATTTTGCATGCTGGCCGTCGGCCGCACGACCCCCCCAGCCCTTGGCCGCCCCGTGTGAGGTTTAGCTGGCAGCGACCCTGACCGCCTAGGGAGCCTAGCGCCTGGTGCAAGGAGATCCATGAAAGCAGTATGGAGGGCGGACTATCGTTTCACTCGGGTCTGGTGAGAGCCCATACCACCTATACCGTCTCCCATCCTCCACCACCACCGTCGCCGTCGCCATCTACGCAGACAGCACACGCCCGGATGACCTCGACCGGGCCGCCTGCCCTCATGTCGCACCAGAGCTTCCAGAGCACCTACTCGACCTACTCGCACAGCAGTGCGCGCGACACCCAGAGCACCCAGGCCACTTCCACCTCGACCCTCTTTGGGCCCCCCTCGACCTTCCCCTCGTCGACCTCGTCGACGCCCGTCAACGGCGGTCCCGTCGAAGCCTCGGAAAACGTTCTCAACAAGCGCGCCGACAAGGACACCTCACTGTTCCAACGATGTCTGACGCTGCAGATGCGCCTGCGCGGCATCCCCGGCTTCGACCGCTGGATGGCCGAGGAGGAGGACAAGGCCGACGACGATGCTGATCCCGTCACCCTGCTCTGGAGGACCTTCCGCCGCGGTTACCCCCTCATGGAGCTCTACAACGCCCTCGGACCCCGCACCCTGCTCACCATCCCAAACTCGAAGCAGGATGAAAAGAGCCTCAAGAAGAACGAGAAAATGGCCTGCTACAAGTTTATCCAGAGCTGCGTCGCCGACCTTGGAATCCCCCAGGAGAGCTGCTTCATTCTTGGCGACCTCTACGGTGACGACACAACTGGCTTTGTCAAGGTAAGCACAATTCTATCTACACCCGCATCTACCTCCCATTCCCCCCTCCCTCTCCAACCACTAACCCGCACTTTTTGTTCTCCCTCTGCAGGTCACCAACGTAGTTAACCGAGTCTTGGACGAACTGGTAGCCCAGGGCAAGATCTCTGGCGTTACTGCCGAATCCGGCGAGGATGCAGATGGCGTCGTCACCAAGCGCACCCAACGCGAGCACATCATCGACGAGCTGGTCAAGACAGAGCGCACCTATGTGCAGCACCTGGAGCTGCTGCAGGAATTCAAGAAGCTTGTGGAAGAAAAGGGTGTCATTAGCGGAGATTTGGTCCACGACATTTTCCTCAACCTAAACGCTCTCCTCGATTTCCAGCGCCGTTTCCTCATCCGTGTCGAGCAGACAAACGCACAGCCCGCCGACGAGCAAAACTGGGGAAACCTTTTCGTTTTGTACAAGGACGCATTCAAAGTTTACGAGCCGTATATTGCAAACCAAAGAAAATGCGAGGCAACGGCTATGCGCGAGTTCGACAAGCTCAAGGAAACCGGAGGACCACCAGAGATGCGGCAAATGGTTGAATCGCCCACTCTGCTCGCATCCTTTTTGCTCAAACCATTTCAGCGACTAACCAAGTACCCGCTTCTTCTCCAGGTATGATCTCGGGCCCTGCCTACTCAAATCCCCCCCCTTTTTTTACTAACGCAAACGGTGCAGCAACTCCGAGACAAAGGCGATCTGGACGAAGGTCGGAGAGAAGACATATCAAAAGGTATCGAAGCTGCCTCTTCCGTACTTGCAGGTACGAATGATGCAATTGCCCGCGAGGAGCGTGTCGAGGCGGTCGAGGAACTCAAGATGCTTGTGGAAGACTGGAAGGGTCATCGCATAGAAGGTTTTGGTGACCTTCTTTTGCACGGCCAGTACACAGTTTTGAAAGGAGAGGGCATGAGCTCCAAGAACGAGGAACGAGAAGTAGGTGGTCCCTTCTGCTTCAGTCCCACAAGCAGTCAGCTAACATGCCCCAGTACAAAATCTACCTCTTTGAGATGATTCTACTCTGCTGCAAAGAGATCAACGTCAACAAGCCCAAGAACAAAATGTCTACACGATCTCTCGTCACCAAGGACGGAAAGCCAAAACTGCAGCTCAAAGGCCGCATTTTCATGCAAAATGTTACAGAGACAATATCGCTCCAAAAACCAGGTAAGACTACTACCAACCACATCCTCATTCCATGTAGGCCCGACTCACACTTGTAGGTTCATATACCTGTCAAATCTTCTGGAAAGGCGACCCTGGCATTGAAAATTTCATTATCAAATTCACCTCGGAAGAGACAATGAAGAAATGGGCCATGCAAGTCGACACCCAAAGACGCATATGGAAGGACCAGGCACGGACCAGTGCCAGTACGACACACTCCAAACCCTCGGATACCCAATTCGCGTACATGCGCGACCAAGTTCTGGAGAACCCCTACCAAGAAGACGATGACGATGAAGGCGATGATGACATTGATCCCGCGACTGGCTATCTACGCAATCCATACGGTGTAAGACAAGATTCCTCTACTCCTTCCCTACGGTCACGTTCCACAACCGGCGAAAGCGGCCCTCCAATAAATGACGGAGACGCCCGAGTACCACCTCCGCGTTTCCCTATGGGCTACAACGGCCAACCACCACTAACACTGCGTACTCAGCAGATACAGAATGCCGCCAATCAAGAATCTTACTTTTCCCCGACAGCAGAGACGCCATTGCAAACCCCAATGTCAACACACTCCAATGCACGAACCAGTCAATCATCAACTAACGGCAATTTCCCTTTTCCCCGGCAAGCAGCACCAAATGGTTATCCACACGAAGAGAACAATCGACATACTGCCCCTGCGCAATCACGCCACGCATCTCGGGGTGAGAACAATGCACACCAGTCAGCCCGTGCTCAACGCCCATCACTTCCTGCCAACGCCACTATTACAGCCCAAGGACGGATGCGCGCGGCTAGTAGCCCTGATATCAATTCCCATCTCCAAGGCCAACCACGAAGAGCACCCCAACAGCAAGTGCCCGAAGTACCGCCCTTCCCCACGCATTATGCTTACAACGCGGCCATTGTCAACCGCAGCGCCAGCAACTCTCCCAATCAAGCACCACCACGGGCAGCGACTCAATCACCTGCCATTCAACGTGACCGCCTCATTCAGCAACGGACCGCCTCGGAATTGGCCAACCAGACGCCCGAATTCCACAATGGTCCATTGCGCCGTGATCCAAGTTTCACTTCTGTGAACCGTACCATGACGCCTGCATCATCTTTTGAACGCAGCCAAGGTACACTGACGCCAGCTTCGATGGATTCTCGAAACATGTCACCGCCACTTGGCCAGGATCCAAGCATACCGACTCAACTCAAGGTCAAGGTCCATTGTCCTTCGGCTGGCAGCTCAATGGTTCTGGTCGTCAGCACCAATATCAGCTACCAATCGCTCAAAGATCGTATCGATGCTAAACTTCAGAGGTCGACATCAGTGTCTCTTGGATCCGGTCAGGTCAAGCTAAAATATCTGGACACCGACAACACCTATGTCAGCATACAATGTGATGACGACGTTCAAGAGGCATTTGAAAACTGGAAAGAACAGCAAAGCAATCTCAACCCCGGTGGCGGGCTCGGCGAGATTGAACTTTTCTGTCAACGATGATCTTCTCATTCTTCTTCTTTCCTTTCCTCTGGTCCAACATAGAGAGAAAAGGGTGGGGCGGGGTCCAACCATTTGTGCTATACGTTGCTGCTCTTGCATTTGGGAGTTCTTTTTATACAATGGGGGGATTGGAGGGTTTAAATCACCTTTTTTTCCTTTTCCAGATGGAGGGGGGGCATGGGTTGGGAGTTTTTGATCCAGGGTGATTTTGATACACACATACACACACGCACACACACACACACATACAACTTGGGGGGGCCCTTTTTTTCTCCATCCAATTGAGGAGCAACATATGGGGCCTGTTGTCTGTTTTTTTGTTTTTCTCTCATGCCTTTTTCCAAGAATATTCACAAACTGGGCGAAGAAAGGGAAGTGGCAGTGAGCAGGAGGAGACGATGATGATGATGCAGGAAAGGTAATCTTCTTTCTTTGTTTGTTTGTTTGTTTATCTTGTGTGTGTGTGTGTGTTTTCTTTTACGGGAACAATTTATGAGCATGTCATTGAGAGAGAGAGGAAGAAGATGTAGGAGGAGGAGGAGGAGGGGGATCGAAGGAAGAGAAGGGGAGGAGGGGAAAGAAGAGTGTTTTTCCCAATGTGGTAGCGGATTTTGATATATGATACACCTCTTTTTTTCCTTTTTTTGGTATTTTCCGGCCTGGTAGAGAGAGAGAGAGAGAGCAGATGGTGATGGGAGGAGGTTAGATGGGGGATTGGAGGGGGGTTTTTTTCTTTCAGTTTCAGAGACACAACTTTATATACCACGTCTTTTTTTGTTGTTGTTGTTGTTGTGTGAGTAGGAGAGAGTGTAAAAGAGAGAGAGAGGAGAAGGAGAGAAAAAAGAAGTTTGCAGATGAGTTGTTTTACCCCATATCTGCCTATTTGCAAAGTTTCTCTCTCATACTTGTTTTTGTCTATTCGTTTTCTTCCTTCTTCTTCTTCTTCTTCTTCTTCTTCTTCTTCTTCTTCTTCTTCCTCCTCCCTTTTACACCTTTTCTTTCTTTCTCTTCTTGGTCATCATCTTTCTTTGGTTTTTTGGACTTTTGTTCATCGCTGTTTGCTTCCTGTTACCTCTTTTCTGATTTTTTTGGTTGGTTGGTTGGTTGGCTGATTGTGTGTGTGTGTGTGTGAGAGAGAGAGAGACGGCATATTGTGTTGTTGTGTTGTTTTGATGTGTGCCGCCGTGTGGGAATAAGACTTTCGTCCTTTTTTTGTTTCTCTATTATATGAATGAATGATGGAATGAAAAATACAATCTTCTTTCAGACGACTTCTTCTACTTTCTTATCAAGTACTTTGAGTTCCTGGGGTGTTTATTTGAGTATGGCATCAGTGAGTATACCGGGGTGGTGGTGTAAATACGTGAAGAGGTCGCTCGGCTAGTTGATTAGTAGATATGGCACACGTGATGTAGTTGTATGTCGGGCTTCTGTTATTATTTTGAAGATGGATGTAAGTGGTTGTAGCTGGGTGAGCTTGGGGTGAGGGCTTAGTATAGGGATAAGATTGGGAAAGAAGGATAAGTTGAAAGAAGGCGGAAGAAGGGTGAAAAGCATTTGCATGTCTAGTTTGTTGATTATTGTTTTATGTTTCTTCTTTTTTGCTGACTTATAATCTACATGTGGGTTGGAATCTTTTCGAATGTGTTGTGTAGATGCAGTGAGGTATCTTATGCAGCGGTAGTATAATCATCAAAAGTCGACAAGTACAAGGATGTACAGTTCATATGGCTCACGTGTAGCAGTATTGTTTGTGGTATTGCTACCTTTCCTTCTTCCCGCATACACACCTGGCGTATTTCCACAGCCGAGAGAGAAAAAAAAACGAGGAACAGTAGAGCCATCATCCAGTTGCGCAGTAAAATAGGAATATTATTTCTGGCTAACTTGCATCAAAGTCCAAGTCACGTCTGGAGGCGACGGATAAAAGGTATAATAAAACTCGTTACATTCGTTGCACTTTGATTTCATGATCCAATTTTGAAAGATAGAAAAAGGAACATGCAGTCTTAGGAAAACAATAGAGGAGATATAAAACAACCATTTGGTTCTTCCTTTCCGTCCTCTGTCACATCAATATCCCATTGACGTGCATACTAGTCCCCAACACCTCTCTTTCTCGTCAACAACGAGGCCAGAAAAGTGCCAGGGGCGTGGCCAGAAAAAAAAAGAAACTTCAGTTCGCTAAAACGCTTCAATGCCGTCGCTATGCAGCCATCTGGAACAGAAGGAATGGGCAATCAAGGAAAAGAAACAAAAGGTGTAGAGCGAGCGGAAAAGGGTTCATGTGGTTCGCCCGGTAGAGAGGAGATCGTCTGGCGCACTGCTAGTGCATACGCATCTATACACACGCACGTTGTGATCTCTGACCCAGCCAGGGCATAGGGCAACAATACACTGCCCGTCTTGAAACAGATCAAAAGAAAACGGGAAGCGAGGAGTGTCGTTGTTTCGAGCTGAGAAAAAAAAACAGGGTCATCATAGCACTTCATTCCGTAAGAACAGATGTAAACAGGTTCGTAGTCGTTTGGGTCGTTGGTATCGCTGAGCTTGGGCTCTTCAAGTCTTTTTGAAGTGGGAAACATCGATGCGGCTGTAGAGGGGGGTTTTCGTAAGATCTTGTATCGTTCGTTGTTGCTGAAATATTCGATTATCATGATGGACACGTTGGTTCGTGTCGTGATCCATCGGAGTGTTTTGTTTATTTTATTTTTTCGTTTTGCGTATATTTCCTTCTTTACACCCGGTAACCAGCATCCTGGAGACAGCCTGAGCACCGCTCATAGGCTCGGACGTAGCCGCGTCCGCAGCAGCATGCAGATGGAGTAGATGGCGTAGCGGAAGCCTTACTTGGTCGTCGTCCCGCTGCAGCCGCTTGTGCAGCGTCAAGGCCACAATCGGAACTCCTAGGGCTCGTACCACCACTGATGGTACTTGAGCTGTCATAGTCGTTGGATGAGGCCGTATTCCGTCGGCCCGCCCCGATTGGGGTTGGAAGGCCTTGGGCTCCCTCGCCGGGTCGCTGTCCTGGGTACATTCCATCATTTACCGAAAAGTTACGGCAAATCATGTAGGCTCGGGTAGCGGCGGCATTCTTGGCTAGCTCCTCGGATTCATACTCAACATCCGTAGAGTATTCACGGTTGTTTACTCGTACAGTTGAGCCGTAGCCGTAGCGTGTGCGGAAGGTCTGGAAGAGTGGGTCGGGCCAGTGGCGTCTTTGGCAAAGGCCTATCGTCAACGGTTAGTCCTTAGATCGTCGGGCAGTCAAAACAAAGCACATGGTGCAGAAACCTTGATCAGAACGTATCCCCTTGAATGCCTGGTCATGTGGGTCCCTCGATACTAAGCGGTTAGGCAAGAGTACCAGACAAAAAGTCTCACACCAATTGGTGCTTGTATGGGATTTCTCACATGGCAGCTAATACCCGAATACACGGTACACGGTCAAGAAAAGGGGCCTTGCTGGGTACTAACCTGTCAGGTACATGACGTAGAACATATTGAAAGGACGGATTTGGTGGTTGACGTGTTAGGGAGCGATTGGGAAATGACGAATGGGTGATTCAATGGTGACTTGGCCGTCCGAAAGTAGGGCTGCGGTTGTACAGGAATTACTGAATTGGCAGGCGTTTGTTGGCGGCGACGATAGGGCAGGGCGAAGGGAGGTACGTCGTGGCAGTGGTTGTACAGCAGATTGAGTTCAAGGTGTGGTTGACAGGTGCCAATAGAGAAACGACAGCTGTTCAAGGAAGAGGGAGGATGCCAATGTATGAGGGGCAAGGAAGAGGGAGCGGCTTGCAGTCAGTCGAACGGGGGTGGGGGAAGCATAAGTGCCTACTGTGGGATGGAGCAATATAATGCACCAGACCAGTGTAGCACGTACCCAAGCGCGTCTCGCCCACCAGTAGCAGGCGAGAGGCAAGAGGGCTTGCGGAAATGAATAAGCTGCGGGTCCTGTTGCGGCTCTGTAAGAGAGAGACCCATAGTATGTGCTGGCGAGAAGGGAGCCAACGGCAGAGGTTCGAGAATTTACGGCTAGTAGAGAAGAGTCAAACCTCAAGAGGTACAGCCTCACCGGCTCACTCTTGCCACCGTGCTGCCCGCAGTAGCGCTCAAAAAAAAACGGCTGTCGATCGGAGACAGTCTCTGTAACCCGTTCGTCAAGGCTGGACATGTCTCGATCGGCGGCATGCAGGTTTAGACGCCTAACAAATATGCATAAACAACAGAGTGGCAGCCATGCACCCTTTACGGGCGCTCTTTTCTCGCATTTCTCGCTGCAATTGGGGGGCCCACTAATGCAATATGCAACGTGAGGAGGGGAGAAGGCAAAAAAAATACGTCAGACTCTGCAACCTTTTGACAAGTGTACCGAAACCAGGGAACCTTGGCGACAGACTGCGTGGAGTTTCCATGTAGGGTTTTTGGATGGGCAGGGTCTAGAGGGGTTCAGCAAGACTAGACCAAACATGCATGGCAGAGCAAAATAAAAATGGGCCGGCTAGTCGGCTAGGGGAGGGGCCCTTTGGAGCGCTTGAGGTTGGCAGCGGAGGAGAAGCCTGTACACGATTCCGTGAAGGGAGCGAGGATGCAAAGCATAGTGTCTCGAAGCGAGAATGCATCGCATCCGGCATAGCATGGGGCTATCAGGGGTGGGCGTGGTCAAGCGGTCAAATGAGGGGAGCTGATTGATGCGTTCGAGGGATGTCGAGATACCTGGGGTTGGTGCTACCAGAAAGCATCAAGCGTCACTGCCAACGCATACATGCAGCGAGCACGGCCCCCAGATCATGGCTGCTTTGCAATGCGCCTGCGTCTCAATGAGGCAAAGGGTCAACGGCTGTTAACTGTGAACCGTGTCCATGCAGGCATAAATTGGCAGCTGTGGAGATTGTGTGTCCGGGGGGTGGTCGCTCGGGCTGGAGCTGGGAGCTGGAGCTTGAGCAGCATGGCAAGATGTAGTGGAGCAGATTTGAACAGGCCATGATTGACGAGAAGGGGAGCAGCCAGTAGGGGCCATGCGTTCCTGCGCAGGCCTGCCGGGCCATCAGAGAGATTTCACAATGCCACTTTGACAGACCCTGGAGGCGTTGACCGAAGGCAGCGGTCCAGTGCCATGATTGGGTCCACACAGCCATGGTTGAGCGAGGCAGAGATGGCGAGCATGTTGCCGAGGACGAGATAAAGATTTTTTCGTCTCTCTTCTGAATTGGATACAAAGGGATCGTGCGTCGGGCGGCTGCAGCGTGTACTCGATGTCTGGCCTGCCGCGTAGTGGGTTCGAGCAGCAGCACAAAGGCTGGGTGAGCACAGAGCAGGTCGTCGTGGAGCGGACGCATAATCTCGGTGAATCCATAGGTCGAGGCGGTTCACGACAGGCAAGCGGTGCATGCTAGGTCCCAGGGCCAGCAACGGCCGCTTTTTGCCTGGCGCCGATCCAAGGCGGTGGTCGATACATGGTCTCTCTGCCTACATGTGTACTGTACATATGTACACATCCAAGTACGTACATGGTGCGGGGCCAGGGCGCTTGTCCATGGCGGCAACGAAGCGCGAGCAGCCATGACTATGGCCGACCAGACCAGATCAAAAAAGATAGCCGTCGTGCTGTGGTATTGGGGCGGGCGCCGGAGTCGAGCGCCAGCCATGACCTCTCCCCCATGTGGAGAAGGCAAAGAGCCTTCAGAGCCTGTTTCGCGCGCGGGAGATCTGTGGATGACGCGAGCGTACACCCGCAAGCACGGCCAGCCGCGCCCCCAAGCTGCAAAACAGGCGGTGAAGAAGGTGTCGTTGTCCGGCACGGCCATGCGCCCCTCTCTGTGCGCACTGATGTCTCTCGAGAATGCATGAGCAGTCGAGACAATACAGAGCGACGTCCGGGACAAGCGGCGGCGGTTCGATGGCGGCCGTGGAGGAGGCGTCCTGTTTCGAGTCGATGCCGTCTTCAAATCGGCCTTGTTCCATCCATACTAGGCGATGCTAAGGCCCACATGTTCTCGCGCCACTCCAACCAGCCGCTGCCTCGCCCTCGTCTTCAGCCTCGCCGCGCTGCCTGACCGTGACAGCGACACTGGCCATGCGTCCAATCGACCGAGCGGCCTGCAGGGCAAGCTGCTAGCTGGCGGTACATACGCATGTACATGCGTACGTATACGTGTGTAGAGGCGAGGGGGGCCGGCCTGTGGCCATGTCCCGTCCCCGATGCCTGCGACTGGGTGGGGGGCATCCCGAGACGCTCCAATCCCGTGACTTTGCCTTCACGCTTCTTTCCGTCCATACATGCACAATCGCAATACGAGGCCGACACGACAAGAGGCTCGGGCCACTCGCCTCCGTGCTCGACGGGCAGCATTGCCATGGCCGCCAAAATACACCGGCATTGGGTCCTGCCTGTGTCGCCGTGTCTGCCGTCTCTCATGCCCAGCCCAGACGGCCGGCAGCAAAGAACCCCGCAGCCCAACCCCGCCGTCAGCCAGGATTCCCTCTTTCACAACGCCTGTACTAGCTCTGATCGCTCTCCACTGCCCGACAGGCATCGAGCCGCCTAGTTGCAATCTACATACACATGTACATATGTACACATATGCCCATGTCGCCATGTCGCCAGTCCACATATCCATCTACACGATGCCCGTGGCGCTGGCGAGGGGCACCACCTGCCGATAGCCTTTCTGCGGCTGCGGTATCCTGAGCAAAAAAGCACCCATACCACAAGTACGGAGCTGGTCTCAACCCTTTTCCTATGCAAACCATAGGGGAACCGAAAGGGCCGCTGGGTTTCACATGGCTCTCCACCTATGCCGAAGCTTGAGGCTCCGATGCCCACGGCCTATACATATACCCTGTGGCCTGTGAATGTTTCAATTTCAACACTATCCACACGTCAACGTATACACTAGGCCTAGACTCAACTCACACCACCCATTTTACTTTGTACCCGCCCAATAATTTAGCGAGCCGCCATCATGCCCAAGATTGTCCGCCTCACGCTCTTCAAGATCGGCGACAAAGACACCATCCAGGAAGTAATCGGCCTGTACAGCACTCTGGCCCAAGACGCAACAAAGGTACGTTAAAAAAAGTACGCTTCTTGACTCGTACTCCGACCGTCGTCTATGCCCGACCTTTCCCTTAGAGGAAGGCTCCCATACTGCGTCCGCTCTTCACAGTACCCCAATGGGCATTACACAATCGGACCGTGCATGCACGTCAGGCCCATTTCGTCATCTCCGACACGCCCAGAATCTTATCGCCCTCGGGGCATTTGTTGCGCCTTTTTCTAATTCCTCCCCGCGGACGAATCGTACCATGGCTACATGTTTCCCCTAGTCGCTTGCCCATGTTTCGAGCGGCTACGGTACGTGGCGGGTGCAGAGTACTGCCGCGACTAGGAAAAATGGGGTGGAGTGACCGTCGTGGGAGTCTGCATATCGCGGAAACTTCCTTGTGATCGCGATGCATGTGGGCGGCTCAGGCTACTCATTCCTAACCGACGTGGTGCTAAATATACCCTACCCGCCAATCTTGTGCCCTCGTGATTGCCGAGGTGCTTTGTCTTTGTACCCTGGTATACAAGCTAACGTCATCTCTCTAGGACGGCAAGCAGTACATCCAGCTGGCCCAGGCCAGTGCACCCTACGACGACCACCGCAGCCAAGGCTACAACCTCATGGCTCGCTGTGTCTTTGATTCTCTAACCGACATGGAATACTTTGACCAAGATGATGAGGTCCATGCTGGCATCAAGAAGCAATTGCTGCACAAGTTTGAGGAAAGGCCATTGATTATCTACTCGGATATGCAGTAGACTATCTGAAGTTGCAAGTGCTTGGAAGTCGGTATGCTTGCAAAGCAAATGTGCATAGCATTCTCTTCATTCTGCTTCCAACCTTGCCCGTCCTTCCAGCTCACAGGTGCTATTGTATGACGGGATGCCCTGTGTTTGCAATCTAGAACATGAAAGCATAACGAAATAACGAATGACAACAATATCTGATCAAACTCTTTTTCGTGAATCTACTGTTTGTGAAGGAAGTAGCAAACGCTTGGCCAAACACCACCCATTCACCCATACTCAAGGTCTATTATACAACTCATTTCCATTCGACGTTACCCCAGGATACCAGACCATTACATCATGCTATATACATACAATTAGCTCCAAAAAATACCGATACAATGACAGAATACTAGAAGATGACAAGCCAGTGAGGCGAATTCACCGCAGCGTACCAAACGTCCTTACTGTTATCCACAATGGCTATTGTATCAAGGCATCATCAACCCCATTGTCTCAGATTTCTTCTTTATTCACCTCTTTTTTCCAGCGTACTACAAAGACCTTATCCCCATCCCCTCGCTCTACCAAGTCCCACTCAAATTTTCTTCTTCTTCTTCTTCTTCTCAACCACACAGAAAACAAACCTCGAAGATTATCAAAGAACACTTCATCATGTCGTCCACACCTACCACCCAAGCGCCCACAACGCAGGAGATTGAAACCTCCTTCATCCGAGTCCTCAGCAACGGACCGCTGAGTCTCGAAGCCATCACAGACCGCATGAACGGCTTTGGCCAGGGACATGAAGACGCCGTCGTAGCCGTCTTCGAGTACATGGTCGAAGGCGCCCAAGACGAAGGAGAAGGAGAAGCAACCTACCAACTCCGCTCAGAATACCGTTCAACCACCAACACCACCGGCAACCACGCCACTCCACCATTACCATCAAAATCTTCACCAAGACGCAAGACAGCACCCGCACCACTCTCTTTCACCCGCTCACCCACACCCTCTCCACAACTATCATCCTCCTCCTCCCTCCTATCCTCACCACCAACCCACCTCAGCTCACCAGCACCATCCCTCCCACCCCGACCACGCCCCCGATCCACCTCCACTCCGCTCTCCAGCCCACCGCCGTCCTCACAACTCCGCTCTCCAACACCAGCGCCATCCATCAGACCCACACGGCGCGCAGGACGAAAAGGGAAAGGGAAGCCTACCGGGGCCAAGGGCACGACATCCCGCGTGACCAACAAGGCCAAGAAGACTGGAGCAGACAAAGGGAAAAAAGGACGAGGAAGAGGGATGCACAAAGTACAATGCAGTCGTGTTACGAAGAAGAAGATGAGGTGTGGGTTTAAGAAGATGTGTGAGGTGGGGAGGGTGTGGGATTGTGGGAGGCATGGGTGATTGGGAAGAATGAAGAAGAAGAGAAGTGATTAGGATACCAGGATATTTCATATATGGCTTTTTTTAAAAACCCTTTTTCTTGTAATCGTTGTGAGAAGAGGAAAGGAGAGAGAGAGAGCATAGGAATTTATGGAAGGAAGAGAGGATGAGTGTATATATATATATATATATATATATATGTGTGTGTGTAGAATGAAGATGGGAATACACACCAATGAGGAGACTGGGCACATAGTATGCCTACTAGAGACTGCTAGTATTGCACAGTACATCCATACATATCTATCCTTGTCATTTCCCCCCACACCTCAAAACAAGTAATTATCAAAACGGAACCAACTATTCAACAAAAGTGCATTCAATAAACACTAATAAATATCTTATAATATGCATTTCATTTATGCCACCATCTTCACGCATTTTTTTCTGTTCCCCTAAAACCCGTCTCTAAACAATGGTTCTGCAGCTACTACAACAAAACCCCATCCCGCTGAAACCCGCCGAAAAAAGACCCCAAATCAGGATATCAGAGAAAAAAAAAAGCATCCCAACCTTTCTTAGACGCTTTTTTTAGTGTGTATGTGTTCATGTTTCATAAAACCATATGCTGAAAAGGATGATTCGACGCCCTTGTTGAGAAACAGAAACACCTGCGCACTCTATATGCCCGGATGGTATGCGCAATATACAAAGAAAGTACACAGTATTAAAAAGTGTAGAAGCTCGGTCGTGTCCGATCGGGTATCGCGTTTACATGATGATCGAAGGTGCTGGGTGATGTTAGTCGGTGTACTGACTAAATAAATAAAACATGAATAACTTACTGTCGACGTTCTGCTTGATCGACTTGTGTGGCAGTACGGAACCGCCGTTGACGTATACTTCGTCGCCAATAGAGACATCGTCGCCAAGAACGGTTACGTTCTCTAGACGTGCCCACTTGCCGACGGTGCTGTTCCAGCCGACAATGGTCGACTTGACCCAGGCGTGGTCCTTGACACGGCTGTTCTTGAGAAGCACGCATCGCTGCAGACGCACACCATCACCAATAACGACATCGGGTCCAATGGTAACATTGGGTCCAATGCGGCAGTTCTTGCCAATCTTGGCTGAGGGATCAATCAGGACGTTTCCGCCATAGACGTAAGGCTCGGATGCTGGTGTGAGCAGCTTGGAGTTCTTGCGCGCAAGCGACGAAAGGTAGAGGCAGGTACCGGACAAGAAGTCCTTGGGCTGACCAACGTCCATCCAGAAGCCCTCGAGATCAAACGAGTGGAGCAGACCATCCTTGACAATAGCAGGGAAAGTCTCCTGCTCAATCGATGTAGGGCGGAGCTCAATGCGCTTGAGTACGCTGGTGTTCAAAATATAAATACCGGCGTTGATGCGGTTGCCCACGAACTCGACAGGCTTCTCAACGAAACGGTCAATCTTGGAGGCATGGCCAGGCTTGTGTACAACGACACCGTACTTGGACGGCTCCTCCACCTTGGTTACGACAATGGTACCCTCATCACCGTGGTTCTTGTGGAATTCAGCGAGCTGCTTGAAGGGGTAGTCGCAGGTGACATCGGCGTTGAGGACGAAGAAGGGCGAGTCATCCTTGCCCAGGACGTTCTCGGCGAGCTTGAGGGGACCGGCGGTGCCAAGGGGTTCGGTCTCGACGGAGAAAGTGATGCTGACGTTGTACTGTTTCTCGTACTACACAGGCGGTTATTGGAATGTTTTGTACAATCATGCGAGGCATCTACTGACGGTCTTGAGGGCCTCGGCCATGATCTCCGGGCGGTAGTTAACAGCAAGGACAACATCGGTGACACCAGCGGCAGCAAGGGCCTCAATCTGGTGCTGGATCATGGGCTTGTTGGCGAACTCGACGAGCGGCTTGGGGTAGGTGAGGGTCTGCAATTAGGCGTCAGCATTGCTGCTCGTTGCTTTTGCCAACGCGGGGCTCGCAAAGGCAGAGGAGGTGCGGAGAGACATACCAAAGGCCTCAGACGGGTTCCAAACCCTCCGACGAGAATGATGGCTGCATCCAGGGTTAGCTGTGAGTGGGTGGAGCACAATTGAGTGTGCATACCTTTCATGTTGGCGGTGGTGTTGTGAAGGGGTTGTGAAGGGGGTGGTCAGGAATTAGGCGGCGGCGGCGGCGTTGTGAAGGCTTAGCAATGGGGGTGCTCCAAGCACTAGAAGCGAAAGGCAGGTTGCAAAGGGGAGGACAGAAGTGGATGCGTAAGTAGGTCAAAGCCAGAGAGCTCGGTGTGTGATGAGGCCAGCTGGATGTTATATGGTCTGGTACTGCGCCCACATTTAGCGGAGCTAAGCTGCTCCCTGGCCTCTTCCGAGCTTCTAGCGTCCAGCTTCCCCTTTCTTCACCCACCGCATTTGCAGCCCGTCGGCCGCTACGCTCGTCAATTGTCCCCTAACGGCACCAGCCCCTGCAGAATTCGAGGCCCAGATGCGACCGTCCCTGATCACTCAGCCTATCCGCTTCTAATTGCAGCACAGGGTCACAGTGCTCTGCGGGTAACGTCGTATACCACCGCCAATTGCCGCCAACGGCGCATGACGAGACGGCAGCTGAGCAGGTACTAATAACCTCAACGGCGGTCATGCTGCCCGCAATTCCCAAGTCCTGTCCCTTGTACCGCTTCGCCCCTGAAAATGTCCCACGTGCCTCTATGCTGTGAAATTGGAGGCGTTGGAGCAACAGAATCTTTTGATCACGCCCGGTCCACGCAGTCGGAAGCGATCCGCGCCCCTGGTTTGAGACGGGTTGTGGCTGACGACTGTGGCGGGTGCCGGGCCAATCACAGACCACTTCCGAGCCGGTGACGGCCGCCCGTCGCCTTGTCACTGTGGCTTGACAAGTACGCATGATCAGTGTGTACGGAGTACGAGGGCGCATACCCACGGCCCCCTTCGACTACTGACTAGTGGCCCCTTCCACACATCTCACGATAGGCCTCGAAAGGGACTTAAGCCTTATGCGACGCGCGTCTTACTGTACATCCGTGGCGAGACAAGCACCCCATTCTGCCTTTATGCTACATGCTGACGCCGTTGTAAATAAAGCAACACTCCATATATTTAGCAATCCATCTGCCGACGCCTCTGTACTCTATCTAGCATCGAGTAAGTACTCGCCGCCACTTTGGCCATTGCGAACCATGGGCATGGGAGACCCGGTACCACGACCGGTGTGCTCCGCATCCACCAAATGATGGTGCCAAGCCACAGGCCCCGGCAAAGTCTACCCAAACAATCCGCACGGCTTACAAGTCCCTTCGTCTGCAGGTTTCTTCGTGCCAGTGACGGGCTAAATTGAGTCAATCAACATGAAACTGTGAGTATATTATACATGTTCTAGTACAAAAAGGGACAACGTACATCGAGTCTAAACACACAATACTTCACGACATCACACATTGCGATACGTCGCTCAACTCTTGCGTCGAAAGCTCATCGACCGCAGGGCATTACCAACGCTACTTCCCCGTTTGAACATGCTGGGCCTCCTTGCAGGACCTCCACTGGGACTCTGCTCACCCTGACGAGCTGACCAGGTCGAGCTTTTGCTACCCGGTGATGACCCAGGCGTACTCGCTGTTGAGGGAGTTTTAGTGGCGTCGCCAAAAAGAAACTCCTTGGCAAAGATCCAATTCCCGCGCTCATACCTCCACAGATCTAACCCCACGGCCTGCCCCTCCTGATTGCGCTCAGACAGCTCCTGTCGGATAGTGGAAAAAGCACCGTCAACCTTGTGCTCATCGTCCACCTTGTTCATAACAGTCCAGTGCGGCCGGAACCCGCCAGCGTCCTGTTCACTTAAGAAGGCAGCCCACTGCGACTGCAAATCAGCATGCACTTGTTTCATCGCCTGGTACCCCTCGTCAACATTAATGCCCACGCCTTTGCGCATGCGGAACGGCTTGCCAGACGAGACGGCAAACGGCTTCACACTGCCTGCTACCTGTGCCAGCCCCTGCTCTAGCGTCTCCATCTTGGATTCAGGCAGTGCATGGAAAAGCGTCAAGTGCGCACCCGTGCGATTCAAGTGCTTGGGAAAATACCGGTTCCGCATTTCTTCCATGGACTCTGCAAGCTCATCCGTCACCTTGAGCGTAAGCACGTAGACATTTTCTTGCTCGTTTCCAGAGTTGGGTATATGCTCTGCCCGAGGGTACTGGTCTGACGGTCGGCTGTCTTCGACAATATAAGGCTGGTAATCACTTTTTTGATGGTACTGCTGCTGTTGCAGAACTTTCAGACTCGTCTTGCTTTCCTTCTTGGTTGCCCACCCCCGGAAACTCGTCTTTGCTCGGACCCCTGCCCCAGGCCGCTGCGGCTTCTGCTTCTCTTGCTCGGCTCCGTGTGTCTTTATTGCTGATGCCTCAAACGACGCTCGCATGTCAGGGTCGGAGCAGGCACGGGCTTGGATTGTTGGTTGCCGCAGTGCCCCATTGGGTATGCTGACGGCTGCTGCGTATGTGACTGCCATATTGCTCAAGCGCTTTGTAGACGTGTGTAGATGCAAGGGGAGATGTAAGCTCGGAACGGTGACTGCTGATTGAAAAAAAAACGATTGACCAAGCTGCCGAAAGACAGCTATCTTCATCGATTAGAAGAAAGATAGGGTTAAAGCGAAAAGTGATAGCAAGGCTGGTGCTGGTTTCGTTGCTTCTTGTGGTCTTGACCCCCTGTTGGGGGGTCGTTCAGTAACGGAACATCGGAAGATCCATACGTCACTGAGCGGACGCTAGTGGTTGCGCCCGCGCGATGTGGAGATCGCCGTCGCCGTCCGTTCAGCTTGTGTCGGGTTAATGTTGGTGCGTTTGGGGGCCTTGCACAATCCATGTTGTAGCATCGAAGTAAAGAAAAGGCAAAGTTGTAAGTGAGGCGATGTGCTTGGAAATGTTTAATTAAAGCTTGTCGTGCTGGTTGCATGGGCAGGGTTTGTGGAGCCAACCCTATGTAGCGTACCACTAACCATCACCTCGAGGCCACACTGGGCGTACTCTCATATTACCAGTATCATATATTACCTAGATCAGGGTCTGCTGATGGCTTGCCATCTTCCATTCTCCCACAAGACTCTGACTGGAACCTTCGAGAACCCATGCACTCGAACAAATGGCTCTGAATGTCTCATTGTCTCTTGTAGCTTCCACGCGATAATAAATCAGCGCACTATCTTTGCCCAGCAGAACCGCCTCGTCATGGCTGAGAGTATACGACTTCCAAGGTCTGAAATCGGGGCCCTGAAGCATCTCGTGAATGGTCGGTGAGGACACGGAGCTAAGGATCACGTCGCCCGGAAATATCATGACGGGGTTGCTCGACAAGAGGGGGACAATGTCAGAGCCAGAGCTGCAGAGCGCTGCCCATGCCTTGTGTTCGAGCGAGCACACGGCGGCCGTCAGCGAAGGATTTGTGAGCGTCGGGGTCGCCATTGTGGAGGTGGAGCACGTCGTAAATCGACTAATCCGGTTGCGCGCCGATAGAGGGAGTCGATTGCTGGGCTTCGAGAAGGCCTGACGTGCAAGTTCGGCCGCGGTAATCGTAATCACGCCGCAGATAGGAGCTGGATTCAGGACAGTAGAGGAAAGACTTACCCCGCGATGCGGCTGTGACGTTCCATGATCACAAATCTTGTGTGCGTCACAGCTGCGTATTCACTACTTGGCACATGTTTGATACCTTCCGAGCGATGTAAATGCTTTCTGGGAGTGAAGTTCCACACTTGATGGCGTGCTTGGCCATGCGTGATGAGCAGTTGCGCAATAGATTCACTGTCGCAGTTGCCTTGGCACATTGAACATGGCGCGACAGCGGCTCTGACAGGCATCAAACCAACCTTTGATAATGCAGAGTCAACCAATTTAGGTTCCGGTTGCGGACTGTCCGTTGCTCTACTGGACGTACACGTATGGCGTTTGGTACCGGGTCGGTGAAGGCGGTTGGCTTCTTTGGGAGCGTATATACGTCACATGTCCGGGGGGGCAGGGGGGTCCAGGCTCCAGGCGATAACGGTGGGCCCAGCGGGGGGAGGGCTGGAGTCCATGATAGTTCAAGGTCGCCACAACAACAACAACACCATGGGCCTCGAGGCGGCGACGAAAAGAGGCAACAAACGGGTGGCGCTGCAGTGCAGCAAGTGAATTGCCAGGCTGAATAATAGCACACCGACGGCGGCAAAGAATGGGTGATGGGCAGCGCTGCGGCGAGGCGGTGGAAGCAGCCGGAATGTTCCCGTGCGCCGCCGCTGATTGGTGCACGGACTCTGGTCGCATCATTACTCGCCCTTTGACCCCGTCACTGCCTCAGCCTGCCTCCATATAAGCCACCTCTCCGCCAGCCCTGCCCTTTCTCTCTTTCCTTACTCTTACCCTCATCCTACAGCACCAAACAGAGCTGTTTCCAGTCCATACACAACCCCATCACACATCAAACACAGAAGACAACACGCAACCATGCAGATCTTCGTAAAGACCCGTAAGTAGTAGCCATCGCCACCTTGGCCTTTACCGCGCCTCAGCTGCTAACCAGCTTCGCAGTCACCGGCAAGACCATCACCCTCGAGGTTGAGTCCTCCGACACCATCGACAATGTCAAGGCCAAGATTCAGGACAAGGAGGGCATCCCACCAGACCAGCAGCGCTTGATCTTCGCCGGCAAGCAGCTTGAGGATGGCCGAACCCTTGCCGACTACAACATTCAGAAGGAATCAACCCTCCACCTTGTCCTCCGCCTCCGTGGTGGTATGCAGATCTTTGTCAAGACTCGTAAGTTGCCACCTGGTTGTCGCTCACGTTGGAGCTGTCACTAACATCACTACCAGTCACCGGAAAGACCATCACACTCGAAGTCGAGTCATCCGACACTATCGACAACGTTAAGGCCAAGATCCAAGACAAGGAGGGCATTCCCCCGGATCAGCAGCGTCTGATTTTCGCCGGAAAGCAACTTGAGGATGGCCGCACCCTTGCCGACTACAACATCCAGAAGGAGTCTACTCTGCATCTCGTCCTCCGCCTGCGCGGTGGTATGCAGATTTTCGTCAAGACGCTGACTGGAAAGACCATCACGCTGGAGGTTGAGTCTTCGGATACTATCGACAACGTTAAGGCAAAGATTCAGGACAAGGAAGGTATTCCTCCAGACCAGCAACGTCTCATCTTTGCGGGCAAGCAGTTGGAAGATGGCCGTACTCTTGCCGACTACAACATCCAGAAGGAGTCGACACTGCACTTGGTGCTCCGTCTGCGTGGTGGTATGCAAATCTTCGTCAAGACACTGACTGGCAAGACGATTACTTTGGAGGTCGAGTCAAGCGATACCATTGACAACGTAAAGGCGAAGATCCAGGATAAGGAGGGTATCCCTCCTGACCAGCAGCGTCTCATCTTTGCGGGCAAACAGTTGGAAGATGGCAGGACGCTTGCCGACTACAATATCCAGAAGGAGTCCACGCTCCACTTGGTGCTCCGTCTACGTGGCGGTCAGTAAGCGTGACGACAGTTTACGATATCATTCTGGGTATGGCGTTTATGACATGATTCAGCCTACGGGCTGCGTTAAAGCGGGTCTGTTTTATTCATAGTTCATACGGCTACTAAAGCCTCACCAATGCATCCACATATGCCTACGGGCTTCGAGTTCGCTCAAATAGTACTGTTGTGCCCATGCCATGTGTGATGAATTGTCTTCGTTGATCCACCTCTCAGACTGTGCGACTTCTTGCACAAATTATGTGTGCACAATACATGCTTTGCAATCACTGGCTTGTTAATGTGATGTCCATGTCAAGTTGACAGTTTACGGTGGACAGCGACACCACCATGTTGGCTTTACTGCCATCGCGGTACTGCATTTACCGCGGCTTAATTCCGAAACCCCCACCTCAGTTGACGCCACTGGCAATATCTCCGCTAAACCCCACCCCAATTTTAACGGCTACATCATCGAACATAGATTGGCAGAGGCGAGTCCCCTTCCCAGCCTTTCATGGCTTAAATTCATTTAATTGACTTAAATCCGGACGGACTGGGCGGCTTTTACGGTAAACCCCGCGATTCTTCTTCAACAACACTGCCATCTGATTTATAGACCCCCCCCCCCATTGCCTCGCTGCGAAGGTCACAATCGCAAAATATCGTCACCAACTCCCTTCACACAAATCTACAAGAGACTCCATATACACACGCAACAATGGCAGAGAAGAAGATGGAATACGTCAAGTGAGTTCTTCACTGCTGGAAGCAACCAGAGCTTTCAATGGCGAGTATGCTCATGTGAAATAGCTTAGGAAAGTCTGGCCTCAAAGTTTCAAAGGTCATCTTGGGCGCCATGAGCTATGGCTCTTCCAAATGGCAGCCATGGATTCTGGACGAAGCTGAGAGCTTGCCACTGCTTGAACATGCATACAAGTGCGGTATCAACACCTGGGATACGGTATGTTTATCTTCCGGGCGACCTCCTACACATCATTGCAATGATAGCGCATACGTGAAGCAGGGCTAACAGAACACTTTCAAGGCCGATGTCTACTCCCAGGGTATCTCCGAAAAGATCATTGCGAAAGCGCTGAAGCAGTACAATATCCCGCGCAGCAAGGTTGTCATTTTATCGAAATGCTACTTTGGTGTCGTCGAAGAAGACCCCAGTATCCCAATTGCACAAGCATCTGCCAACGATGCCGAGATGGTCAACCAAGTTGGCTTGAGCCGTAAGCACATCTTTGACGCCGTAGAGAAGAGTGTGGAAAGATTGGGCACATACATTGATGTCCTACAGATCCATCGTTTGGATCGTGGTACGCCCAGGGAGGAAATCATGAAGGCCCTGAACGATGTCATTGAGAAGGGCTGGGTGCGCTACATTGGCGCCAGCTCGATGGCTGCGTGGGAGTTCCAAACATTGCAAAATATTGCAGACAAGAACGGCTGGCACAAGTTCATCTCAATGCAGAACTACTACAACTTGCTCTACCGCGAGGAGGAGCGCGAAATGGTGAGCAACAGATTACAGGAAATTATGCGGGCCGCTCTAATAATTGTCTAGATTCCATACTGTCAAGACACTGGCGTCGGTCTCATCCCATGGTCGCCCATAGCCCGTGGTGCCCTCACACGCCCTTGGAATGATCGATCTACAAAGCGTGCAGAAACCGATAAATTCCAGGACCTACTCGTTTATTCGAGGGAAGACGCTGTTGACAAGAAGATTATTGAGCGAGTCGAAGAGATTGCAAAGAAGAACAACGTCAGCATGGCATGCATTGCAACAGCATGGACTATCAAGAAGGGTGTTTGCCCCATCATCGGATTGGGCAGCAAGCAAAGAATTGAAGAAGCGGTACAGAACGTTCACTTCAAGCTTACCGATGAAGACGCAAAATACCTGGAAGAGGCATACGTACCCAAGTTCAGGCAGGGGTTCTAAAAAGCGATTAGATATGATACATCAACATAGAAAAATATCATCAGTGTGTAGTTACTGAAGTTTGCCTTTGGAGAATGAGGAAATGGTGATATTTTACCTGAATGCCTTGTCTCCTTTTTGACAACTTTTTCACAAGTCGTCTTGAAAAAAGGATATTTATCAGCTCTGGAAAGAGGAACTTAGCAGCAGCCCAGTGTGTGTATATCGACTCCCGGAAGATAGCACCATGTCTTTTTCCGTCCAGTGTCTTCACATCGACTATGTCTCCTCCACCAAGTTACCTTCTTGTATATTTTCCCAACAATACTGACACCACAACGAACGCCACTATCACGCATTCACACCCACCCTCTTCACACCGCCTCAGCTCCCCATACCCCAACCTCAACCTCAACAGCAGAACTATTTGCAGGTGACACACATCCCATGCTCATGAAGTAGTGTAAATGCACTAACGAACATATCCTCGTTTTCCAAATCCGGTTGACGCAGTACTCTTGCTATTCACGCATGCAATCTACGCCGGAAACAGATTGAAGTGTAAGACTTATCAAGGGAAAAAAGCAAACGGACAGAATGCCATGGAAGAAGGGAGCCGTTGAGAAGATGTACGCTGCACTTACCCGACGGGTTACACAAATGCAGCTTGTGTTGTATGTGCATACATGTATGTAAGAACGAATGCAGTTAGAAGCTCACTCATGCAATATACACAGGGAGTATGTTTATGTGGGTGTGTCTCCGCGGGTATGTAGAGTAGCATATTGCGGTGTATGTAGATTACCATGTATGTATGCATACGAATGCCATTACAACAGCAACCTTCACCACCACCACTTTCGTCATTATCGTCGCACCAAACTAGCATTCTGCACGTAATCGA